TGGCCGGCGGGCAACTGCTGGAACTGACCGCCCAGTATGTCTGTTTGCCCTTGCCCCACCTACCACCCACCAACCACCCAGCAACCACCCACCGCCCATCCAACGTCCTTCGGATCGCTCCTGTTAACGTGTGCTTTGTTTAACGAATCGTGCAAATGCGGGTGGAATCGGAATCCCATTTTTTAGGAATGGGTTCGTTTTGGGGATTGTTAAGGGACCTGGAACTGCAGGCCCCGAAAATGATGAGCAGTTTATTTTGCACACTTTTTTTCGAACGACTGTTGTTGTTTTGGCATTTATTTGATTATCCTGAGTATTTTATTTTTCAATCAAAATGCGGCGCCGCACATTAAATTTTGATTGTTTTTCGGCTATGAAAATCACGGCAGCAAAAAGTTTCCCCCACAACAACAAATTATTTTGATGGCTACATAATGGCCGAAACACCCTTAAGACATTCCCTTGATGCCGTTGAAACTTCGGAGCATAAAATCCCTGGCCGAGGCAAATCGCTTCAGGCATTTGGCCAAAATGATGATAATTAGCCGGCAAAACCGAAAAACCAGCAAGCAAAAAGTAAAAGTCAAATCAAAAACTAAACAAAAGTGCCGAGGAAATTACTGGAGGAGGTTGGAGAATCGGGTGTCAGTCATGTCCCAATGTGAAAATTAAGTTGTAAGGGCGGCGGCGAAGCAAACACCTCCGAACTCGAGTCCCGCGAGGATAACGATTTACAATCAGGAGCCAGAAGCGAAGGCGCCAGGCGTCAAAATAAAAACTTTTGCATTTCATGCTCGACTTTCTGGCTCGCGAAGATTTCCTCGAGTGCGATTAAATTGTTTTAATGGTTTTTGTTTCTTGGCAATACCTAAAAAGGGAAGGGAACGGTAAGGTGAAGAACCGCTTAAAGTTTTAGCTTTTTAATGGTCCACATTTTGTGGTTGCTTTCGGAGGAAGGGAAACTAATTGTGGCAGGAACAACAAAATCGTTTAGTAGCGTAGCCATGCAGAATTGTATTTTATTGGAAGAAAAAAATAATAAGGCAGCAAAATAAAGACAAATATTTGGATGATTAAGATCACAATATTAAATAATAAAATATTTGAACAAGTTCAACAGGATTAATACACAATTGGTATACAACAAAATATGGATGGGTAGAATTGAATTACTTTCTTAAGGCCTAACTTTTGTTATATATTTTGTAAAATTATATTGTAGTAATCCAAGGGGATATTCAAATGTATAAACATTTTCTGTGGAATTCTCTACTTCTTTCCGAAACAAAAATTCATTTTTATTAGAATTATTTTCCCTGGCTGGCAATCTCTGCCAGTGCCAAGTTCATTAAAAGCTCTCAGGATTCTTTCACCCTTTGTGAAGTCATCTTCAGTGACCAGACTGACCATTCACATGCACGACTCTCCTCAATCTTTCCACCCTTGTGAACAGGACATTGAGCGCAGCAGGACACACGGAGAAGGCAACCATGGCACTTGGCCCTTAATTAAGTTAAGCCCCAAAGAAAATGCCGGCAAGTGTTGGCAACGCACAACAGAAATTAACAATTATGAATTTAACAAGAAATTATATTGCGAACGGGGCCAAATTAGATTTTTATTGTTTAGAGCGGAATTATGCAAATGCAGCTAAGACAAAGGCAATTAACATTAACCGCAAAAAATGGAGGAGACTGACTAAATAATTAATGTTCCTGGGCAATCGTGCGTATGAGTAATCTACTCAGTCACTTCTTCTCCTTGATTGTCTCCATTATCATCATCGTCTTGGTCTTGCGGTTAGCCTGGCCTGGGGTTTTGTCAACCTTTTCGAGCAGCTGGTCAAAGTTTTTGCCACCGCCTGGAATTATTCATGGCGGCCCAGGACGAACAGGACCTTCACGACCAGGACACGAAGGCACGCCTCGAGCGTGTAGCAAACTAATTACCCCCAACGCCAAGGTTATGTGGTTTCCCCTCCATCAGAACACTATCCTGTTTGCTTGTTTGTTTGTGAGACATGTGCGCCTTGTCTGCTCGCCTTTTAATAGTTTCATAAGCTCCATTTAAGATTCGCCGACACATGGTCCTTGGAATGGTGGCGAGGCTCGCATACATTATACCCAATCTCGGGCCAAAAACAAAGAAACATTTACATTGACATAAATTGATATCAGAGCGTTTATGTCTTCATTGAGATAAGACGGCAAAGGGACGGTGGGCGGGCCATTAATTGACATATTTATGAGGGTATCCTTATGACCGTGATTTGATTAAGGCGTTGAGTGCCTCAAAGGATGGGGGAAGGTAATGTCCTGGACGGAGATTGATTTGTTAAATTAGTTTATTGAATGGGATAAATGTAGTTAGTTAAGAATCATATGACCTTTTATTGCTTATAAAAAAACAAACTGTTTTAACCATCATAATAAATAAAAGAAGTAATCAAAGAGATAAAGAGCCATTATTATTTAATTTAAGTTTTCTAAGAAATTATTCTACTCCAATAAAGCTAATAAAGTAAGCTAATCTCTCTTATTGAACTGTTTCTTGGAAAAAGCTTCCTAAAATCATTTCTTAAGCCCCATAAAGCAAGATCCCAGAAGAGCTATAATAATTGCCCTAAGCTGAAACGTTATTAAACTAATAATTTACATGGACACACATTGCCGTTAAAAACAATTTCGTGCACATAAACATAAAACCCAGAGATTTATAAGCGGCTTGCTAGAGCACCCCAAACCTGGTCATAAACATATTTAAAGCGATAAAAAGGTCAGGACCGATTCTTTCTTTCTTTTTGTGACTGTTGTTCAGTTCGGCGTAAGTAAACTTATTGAATGTCTTAAGTTTAGCTTTTCCCGTTTGTTGACCGCCTTCTGCTTGTTTTCATTTCATTTTTATGACAACGTTTAGGAATCTGTTGTACATTTTCCTGTCGCTGCTGTTTGTCTTTCCACTGCCGCCTTTTGGCCACATTTAGCCAAGAAGAAGCCCGTCTCCCCCGATTCGCTGTATTGACATTTGATCTTTATGTTGGTCCCGCTCTATGCTCGTGTGTCGCTTTGTTTGTCTGCAGGCATCTTTTTATGACTCGAGTGTGTTTGCCTTTTGGCTTTTGTGCATGCCATAAAAAGCGGCGACAAGAAAAAGCGTCTTCGAAATCAAACTTCTGGGCAGGATTCGGGGTGTGGGTGCCGCAAATATGAGGTCATCTGTTATGAACGCCTTCGAATGGCTTGAGAAGCCTTTGGGCAAATACAACTTGGGGTCGAGGCGGACTGGCTAAAGATGGCAAGGTTCAATGAGTTTGACTGCGGAAATAGAAGCTTAAATTTGGTTAAATTTAACTATGGAAATTTATAAAAAGAAATATAGATTTTTGAGTAGTTCTTCCAATTATCACAAAAATCAAATTTCCTCCTTTTTATGTATAAATAAAACTTTAATTTCAAACCCCACCCTTAACTTGAAAAATCTTTTCAAAACGCCGTTTTCAATTAATATGAAATCAAGCATTAAAATTGAATTAGCAAACCGAAACTGAGAACAAATGCTTTCTCGGTCTGTCTGGCCTGGGTGAAAACTTGGCAGCAACTTTGGCCAATTAGAAAATTATGTTGTTCGCCCTACAACGACAATATGTTGCCCACTTTGGCAGCGTCTTGAGACGTTGCTTGAAATTGGCCCAAAACCACCGCCCGCATCCAGGCAATAGTAAATATTGTTTAGTCATTTTGGTGAGCGCTAATTTTGTATGTTAGCCGGCGGCCAAAACCTGGCAAAAGTTCAGCTAACAAACAAAAGCGATAATTACAAGAAAACAAGCCAAGGAGCAGGAAAATTGGCAGGAGTGAGTTACTCGATGCCAGGACAACTTGCTGGCCCAACTTTCTTTGCATTAGTTTTGTGCGCGGGCGAATGCAAATAATTTCACAAAAATTAAAAGCAGAGTCCAACAACTTTTTGACTCGCACATAGCTATTCAATATTTATTCTAGAAGACTTCCTACACAGAGGAATTTGTCTGAAGCTTTCATCATAATCGCATAATCAATATAAAATGTTTGTTAATCATTCAAAAAACCCAAAAAAAATCTTATTCTTAAACCAAAAATACACATTTCACGGAAAAGATCTGATGACGTAAAAAAAAATCCTAATCAGTGACTCAGAACGCTGTTGCAGAACTTAAAAATACCTCCCAATTTATTTATAAATTGGTTAAGATTTTTTATTTAATTGATAAATATATTTGCGGTTTTTTTTTCTGTGTTGGCCAAGACAGTTGTCAGAAAGGGTTCGCAGTTTATGTGGCTGTCTAACGGCATTTAACCTACGCCACTATAATTCACGCCGTTTCTCCACCACGTTGCCGGCATTTAAATGCAACGGGCGCGGGACATACCCCCAGAAATCCTGGATCATCGTCCCGGGAGTCCCACGATAAGCCAAACATGATTTTACGACAATGTTATTACCATCAGCGGCAGCAGCCAGGACAGCAGCTAAACGTTCGCAGGAGGCGGGAGAACCCCCTCCACATCCTGCCCTCCTGTTTTTGTGTGTGTTTGTATTGTGTTTGCCGAGTCGCAAATGGATCGGGGCGGGGGAAATGGAAGGACCAGTCCCTGGGGTTACAAGGATGATGCTGACGTCGCCGTGATTGTTTAAAGTTATGAATAATTAAATATTTGTGCAGGTTACGCGAGTCGGCAACTCTCGAACTTTGTCCTATGCTTGTTTTGGCGTTTATTCTACTAGTTACATATATGTATTGTTTTAAGCAAAATATTTACTAAAATTCTAATTATTCGCTTTGTTATAGATATTCAATATCTTGCATTTAATTTGTTTATTAGAGTAACAGGTATATAATAGTCGAGACACTCGAAACCATTCCGATAAGCTATGAGCTCATTGAAATTTTTCAGAATTATGGGATTTTCATAGTAATTGTATTAATACTGATAAGAGAATAATGGATTCTTCTATAAAAGGCCGCCTATTTTGTATGTTAGCAAATCAGTCTCAACTTCAGTTTCAAGAAATGGCACGCTGGATTTTGGTACTTTGTGCAACCTCATTTTTTCTGGGGCTCTGCCAAGGATATGGAATATGCGAAGCAGATGGAAGGGCTCATTGTGTTAAGTCGGACAACTGCAAAATTAATTTCACTTATCGCTCGAACGGACAAGCTACCGGACTCTCGAACGGACAAGCTACCGGACTCTCGAACGGACCAGCTAGCGGATGCCCACATGGTACAATTTGCTGCAAGGATGAAGACGTAAGTTATAGAAAATGAACGCGATCTTTTTGAAAAATCTACTAAATGGTTTCTATACAAATAAAGATTGCGTGCGGACCGTATGGAAAACACAACTGTATCCGTCAGGATTTGTGTAAAAATCCTGAAGTTAACCCAAAAGAACTAAAGGAGTGCCCAAATAATTATATATGTTGCAAACCTGTAGAAGTAAGTTACAGAGTTACAAACCCACTTAGTATATTACAATGAATAATGGCTATTACTGTTTTTAGAAAACCATACTGAGCACATACGAAAAACTATAAAAAACCTTCATGGAACGTGGAATCTAAAACACAAGAAAATAGTGAACTGTACAATATAAACTTGTTATAATAAAAAAATGTTAAATCAAGAATCATCAGTGTAAAATTTTAACACCTTTGGAGATGCGGGGCATCGATCCCCGTACCTCTCACATGCTAAGCGAGCGCTCTACCATCTGAGCTACATCCCCTTCTGCATTTCCGGCCGCGAAAAGGTCTTGTTTGATCTGAAGGCATCAAAATCCGGCTAAAATATGCAGTTTACCTTGTACAAAGTGTCAGCTGAAAAATAACAAAAGGCATCAAAACTAGTTCGCTGAATATCAAATGAAAATTTCACTTTTTGGTATAAATTTAGCTTTCAGCTAGTAACTTTTTGCTGATTTGGGCTATTTTGACGCATTGGAAACAGGAGGCTCAATGGTCTAGGGGTATGATTCTCGCTTTGGGTGCGAGAGGTCCCGGGTTCAAATCCCGGTTGAGCCCGGACTAGTTTATTTTGGTCATGTTCACATTTTGAATAACCGTGGCATAGGCTATCACGCCTTAGTTTTGTTTTCAATTGCTCACCAAAAAATTACTTTAAATAAAAAATAATTTTATTGAAATGATGTTATAAATTACTCATATATGTAATTGCACTGAAATTTATTATTATGTAGGTAAATTATATTTTCAGGAAAAGATCTTTGACTTTATTATCTCATTCTACATTATCTCTGCCTAAATAAGTTGTTGCCATCCAAAGCTGAGTCAGAAATGTAGTATATTCATGTAGGAATAAATATTATTTGACGTATTAAACTGGTTTACACCATTTCCTTCAACCAGTTTTTATTTAAACATTAAAAATTGTTTTGAACAATGCCTTCTTTCCTGGAGTGATTTCTCTTGCATAATAATTTCGTCTTATCAAAAGTTCAACGAAAAAATTTGTTAGTTATCGATTTAACCGGTGTCATTGCAATGAACACTTTAAATGCTTTAAACGTGTTGTTGGCCAATCTACAAATAAATGATCATGGTCATGAATATTAAGCGACAAGTCTATTTATAGAGCTCTTGCACTTGGTTGTTATTTGGCCTTTAATTCCATTGACCATAAAAAATAAAATACCGTTATATGGGGATGTAGCTCAGATGGTAGAGCGCTCGCTTAGCATGTGAGAGGTACGGGGATCGATGCCCCGCATCTCCAAGGATATATTTGTTTTTTGAAGAATCAAAACTTCATTTTTTTATGATTCCAGTATACAAGGCTAAACAAACACATTAATTAATATTGGTAATAAATTATTCCATATTCTTAAAATTTTAGGTAACGAACTTTATTTTCACTGAAAAAATCCTACCAAACCAAGAGGATATTCTCTGCCTAAGGCATTTATCGATTCACTTGATACAGCCAATATTTTGTTGTTTTTAGATATGTATTTAGTATGGAATTGCATGCTTGAAAATAATCTTTAGAGAATGATATTTAAACATAAAAAAAAAGTTCCTTCTTTGGAGATGCGGGGCATCGATCCCCGTACCTCTCACATGCTAAGCGAGCGCTCTACCATCTGAGCTACATCCCCATGTGATCGAGTGCGGTCGAATTCGCTTGTGGTTTCACGTGATGTTATCGAAATCACAGTCTGAATCGATCTGAAACGAAACGTTTAGAGATGCCCGCAATAACAGCCACCCAATTAATTTTCGCCAGTTTATTTGTTTTAATCTCGTTTCGCTTTATTATTTATTCACTTTGATTGTAATTTAAAAACTGTCAATATTTACACTTTGTCGCAGGTTTATTCTGCCATAAAAATAACGAAAGCACAGACTCACACACAAATTGTTCTTGGTGGCCCTTCTTTTCATTGTTTTCCAGGATTTGTTTCTCTCCCCGGGTCTTCCTTTGGCTTTTTCATTCAGTCACCTGCCAGCTGATGCATATAATTATGGAAATTCAAAAGTGGGCTCCGAAACGAAGACACAAAACAAGCACAAACAAACCGAAATGAAAAATCGACGCGCAAAATAAATACAAGAACAAAGCAAATGGATGTTTTATAAAAATAAATAAATATCAAGCCATTAGCATAAAACCAAGAGAATACAGACATACATGCGCATACATTACGTGTGTACTTTAAAAACTATTGATCATTGTTAGTAAAGATATTATAATACCAACAAAACAAACAAATATTTTGCCAATAAAAAATCTTTTATAAATGAACATTTATAAAAAGAATTAAAATATTTACCAATTCAGTTTGAACTACCGCCTGATTGAAATACGAAGTGGCAACGCTACCACCCGATTCCACTTTTGCTTTGCAATCGATTACAAATCAGCTGTCCACGACGCTCTCTCAAAATTTTGTAAACGTTCTGGCGTATTATTTTATTTATTTTGGTTTCGTTTCTGTGCAATCTTTCGGTCAAAAAGTATTTTCAGAACGCAGTAACGTTCTCAGGAATCCTGGCTGTTGAAACTCGGTCAACTTAAATCACTGCACCAAACAAAACAGTACAAACACATCAGCGGTCCACTGCTGGGCAAAAGTGATTCGCATATGCCTTAACCAAAATAAACATTTTTTACCGGATTCGTAATGCCATTAAATTGTTAAGGATTCCCTAGTCATGAGTGGACCAAGGCAGCCAGGAGATTCGGCAGGAATAGCTCCGGCAACCGCTGGCGGGGACTCCGCCAATTGGCCATCAAGGGACTTCAACGGCGGAGGACCGGGAAACTCTGGTTCGAGCGGCAACAACTGGTAAGTCACAATCCCTACATATTATTACCAGGTTCATTACAAATCAGGAGTAAAAATTCAGGACGAAAAGAACTGTTTTCCTTCCGTTTAAACTTATGTTAAGCATTCCCATCTTAAATTTTAATAAATATATGTATGTATGTAAGCTAAATGCAGTTGGTACTGATTGTCTAAATACAGCAGTCTCTCGCATATTTCTAACTATTACGACACCGCTATTGTTAGAACCCACATTGTGTATAAATTATAGTGCCACATACAAAAAAAATTTTTGAAAAATTTATTTTATACAGTGCCTTATAAAAATTTATTTGTGTTTTGTAGTAACCCTTAAAACCCCTTAAAAAAAATGCGAGCATCGCAGATTCCCGGGTTTTCCCAGTTATGATAATGAGGGCAGGACACTCGCGTGCTTACTAATTTTATGACGCCCCCAGCTTTATTTCGTACCGCATAAATATAATGTGTTGCGTACGAGATTTTTTTTTTCTGACTCTCATGCCCCAACGCCTCGTTAAATAGCTTACCTAAACGAATTTTTTCCCCCTGTTTTGCATATTCAAGTAGCTGGGTCCTTTAGCTTTGAAGTTGCTATTACAATCTTTTCGATCCAACCTTAAAGAATATACTCTTATACGAAGTTGTAATACATATTTAAAAAGAAAGAGCATATAAGTAAAATGTAATGAACAAAATGAGTATTGAAAAATAATTGCAATCTTCATGATATCTAATACTATCCAATGTAAAATGTGCATTGAATAATTATCCTTTAAAAACAGTGTGGCTCACTATGTGTCCATCCCATTTTCACCCATGAAATATCATCAAAATATTAGGTTTATTGCCATTTACCACCCATCTTCCACCCTGACACTTTTGGCAACATCTGCTGACAAACGAAAAAAAGCGAGAGCAAAACGGCTCATAATAAATATAAAATGGCAAAAACGTGTCGATTTCCCTTAACAACTTGAAAATGATTTGTTTCACAGTCTGCGGAGCATATTAACTTCGATTTTCAATTCACAGCAGACCTTGCCACACATCAAAACATGGCATACGGGAAGCACCATCTCACTACCCAACTACTTGGCCAATTTTTTGCCAGTTAGGCGAACGCAAAATTCCATTTTGGCCGCAAAAGTTGCCAAACAACGAAATTTGGGAGAAAGAGACTCCGGTTTGTTTGTTTGTTTGCTGGCCCAACCAGCTTGTCTCAATGACGTTGGTCCTTAGCCATAACCTGCGGCTCTGTCAGCTCCATCTTGTTAACCAAACAGGCCAAACTGCCGCCGAGTCCATCGGCCAAGACAAAGGACCCACAGAGGAGTAGCAGATGCCGAAAAAAGTCTAATTGATGGCCCTGTTCGAAGCGAACCTGCATCTTGACCATTTCCGTTCGTCTGCGGATATGCATGTCTACTCAATTTTCCGGCAAATGAGCCCTCATCGTCCTCAAGAACAACAAAAATTGATTGGAATTTGCAACAAGCGGATACAAATTTTTTCCCCCATCAATTTCCACATTTTTCTGCTACTGTTTTCCCTGCCCTGAATTTTTTTGCATTTGTTTTTTCCCTCGACACGTCAACACTTGTCTTTTGTGGCTTTGGGTTGATTTTCTATCTGCTTTCCTTAGAGGTATAAACATAAATGTCGAAAGTGATGTGCACTTTTTGCACAACGATACCAAAAAGGATCATTTGCTAACTTTGTTAGGTTATCCTCTTCAAATGTAGAGTTCCTTTTTCATTATTTTTATTAACACTTTTTTTATTTTTTGTTTAAAATTCCTAACCAATTGCTTCCACACGTCTCTGTACCAATGTACAAAAAAAGGCTAACCACTGGAATTAATGCTATTAATAAGCTTCAGCGTCACATGTTTTTTAACGTGGTGCTGAATTTTTTCGGAGCTTGAAACAAATAGCAAAAAAATCTTGGAAAGGTTAAAATTAATTATAAACAAATCTTTTCATGTCACCCACGGAATTTTCGACACTTTGGCGCATTTTTCAGCTGCCCAACACGAATTTTACAGCAATTTCTACGGGCTTTTCCGCTTTCCCTCTCTTTTGTTTCCTTTCCTTTTGACCACCTCCCCTCCAGCGCAATTGTTTAGGGTCACTCAAAAGCACATTTCACTTATTATTAGCTCATTTATTACCCACCAAAGGCGCCTGACCCTGGCAGCACCTGAAAAACTTTGTGAAAAATGCTGGCCAATACAAAAAGGCAGGAAAATGGAAAAAAAAATCTTTCCTGAAGTTCCCCATCTGCTCCTCTCGTTGGGCACCTTAAAATTAACACATAAATTTTCAAGTGGGTGGCCAACGGCCTGCGGCTGGCTATTCACGAGATATTTCAAGTCCTGCCTGGTTTTTTGTTCAGTAACGTTGTTAAAGGGGATGAAATAGTAATATTTTTAATAAAAGGAACACCTTTGTGAGAAATATTATTTAAGTAGGATCCTATGATAAACTAGTGTGGTTCCAGATAGTTTATTCGAGTAAAGAACAAGTTACAGACATTTTTGGATAAAAAATCTAGAAAAATCCCTATTTTAACCTACGCCTCTGGTTGTGGATTGCCTGTCATTGAAATTTCCGTGTGAGTGCGTTCGATGTTCAGGACCCATCATCCATTCCACCAAAAGCCCTCTGAACTGGGCAATTGACGTTGAAACTACGTGACGCGGGAAAGTAAATTGTATCTGCGGGATTGCCAATGACGAAGACTTTCCTTTTCTCGTTTTTTATTGTGTGCAAATTGGCCACCTGGACTCCCCAACGCATCACTTTTAATTATAGACCACTAAATTAAAATCTGTGTGGAATATAGGTTGGGGTGTATTTATAATGTCTGCCTTCATTATCAACTCAACTGCAGGCCTTAAGCCTAAAAATCAACTTTACCACTCCCCACGAATTTGATAACAAAAGATATCCCAAGACAGTGAAGGGAAAAAATAAAGAAAGGACCTCACCAAAGCGGAAATAAATAAACGTCGCAACTTTCTTGAAATCTCAGGAAGGGCACATTTTGAATAACAAAATTAACAGCAGCCCCAACTTGCAGTCTCTATTCCTTGTTTACTTATGCATTTCTTTCTTCTTTTTTTGCATTCATTTTATTTTAATTTTTTATTTATGTTTTCTCCCACATCCACAGGCGACAGAACAACTCAATGAAATATAATTCGCGACCCTGGCATCGAGGCCGTGCGGACAGGCAAGTTTTTCCTTTTTATTTTTCTTAACTTTCCTTTGTTTTGTATTTTTTATCCCTTTGCGCCATTTGTTTGTGTCTCCCCGTATTTGTTTGTATTGCGTGAGCTGCTTGGCTTAACGCACGCTTGCACCTTTCCCGCCTAACCAAACGCAAAAGTCGGGCTATAAGGACTCATCCCGTCAAAAGGGACGATCCCTGGTGGCAGCCACATTATTAACACTTGACTAAATATGCATTTCTTGGGTGGACGGCGTTGATGGCGTTAACAAGGTTTGAAAAATGAAAGGTTTGGGGTATGGCAAAAATGAGACAAGGAAATCCTTGAATATTTTTAAAATTGCTGAATAATACGGAAAAAACTTTGTTGTTAAATACAAAAAAAAAACATAAACGTGTTAGAAACTAACATAAAGTTAAATTTGAAAAAAAAAATTTTAATTTGTTGCATTAAAGTTATTTTTTTGTTCGATTTTTATAAATTAAATAAATAATAAAACAGCATCATGCAGCATGCTTGAAACAGTTATAATTACTAACTTTTTACTTAAGCGATTCTACTTGTAAGTCTCAGTAAATACGTATTTTTTTTTTTGCGAACGCATTCCCAACGTGTAACGGTAAATCGTTACCCACCACCCGCCCAACCGACGCGAGGGGCGACAGCCGCATGACGTACGGCTCGTAGAACCCGATTACGGCAAAGGTCCGGACCCTGGCCTCCATTGATTTCATATCTTCCGCGTTCGCGATCAGCAAGTTCGGACACCCATCACAAGGATTCCCCAGATAATTTTGGTAGGAGTCGAAGCATTTGAGCGGATCACAAGCCCCGGATCCAGCGGATAATGCCAATGTTTAGCTCTTGAAGCGGGACTCTGTAAAAGTTAAATACGAACGATTTCAATTGGTTGTCTTTCCTTGAGCCCTAACTGTTCGGATTCGGAGTCTTACAGTGAATGTTAATTAATTTTAGTTGATCTTACAAACTAAATTGCCTATTTAGATGCATTGTCCCTAGTTTGCGATGGTTTTGGTTAGGTTTTCTAGGTTCTGACAGATATGGCTAATACATTGACTAGTGGCATACATAGTGGCCCTAAATTGGTTACATATCGTTTAGTTTTTAATAAATACGTAGTTATGACATTATTTGTGTATGCTTTGATCTTTAGCCCTTTTGGGACTTGATTTCGTCGATTTGTACCACATTAAGAGATCATTTTTGTATCCTTGCGTTTGAGGTCGAGCGACCTCCGTTTTCACCGTAGAACTCATGGTGTCTTACTTACAGTAGGTTCGATCCAACCGAACTGACTGATGATGCGGCAAAATGGTTTTAGCGGCCCTGGAAGCCGTGCGGATTAGGATTCAGAATCCTGGAAGGATGAGATTACTAAAAAGGCAAAAAGGATTGATATGTTATGCACCTTGAATAAACAAGAAAAGGACACCAAACGTTAATATATGTAACAAAATACATATAATTATTTCATATTATTAATTACGTTGCTCCTTAAACATGATCTAATTTAACATTTCATATCGAGGCATGCTATTCACCTCACTCGATCTCGGTTAAGAGCCGAATTTCACCACATAGACACTTTATTTACCACACTTTCCACCAGTTCACCTTCTTCATAACTCACCTTGATAAGTGGGGAGCTCACACTCGCATCCGAAATATTGGGCGCACCCAATTGCCGTCGCTCTTGCAAAGATGCGGAACTTATGGGAATTCAAAATTGAAGCAATAGAAAAACAGTTCAGCTGGTCTTTTCCGTATTTTTTCGGTTCTTTTTGGCGGGTGTCTTCTTGGGAGATGGAGTTAAACTCGAAGTCGGGACTCTGGTAGTTGAGACTCAACTGAGCCCGTGCACATGGCCTAACTGACTTTTATAGCGAGGCCGTCAAATGGCATGCGCCGAAATTTCATTCATCCTATATAGAGCCGTATGTAAAGGACCCCCGATTTCTCATACCGCTGTCGATGTCTTGCTTATTGTATTGTTGTATATGCAGTTTACCAAACAAAAATGCCAACACACACACTCTCACTCCGTCATGGCCCCGAGAAGTATGCAACAGCCAACCAGAGAGGCAACTCGGATTGCAACGGTACACTGGGAAAGTGAAAGAGAGGGAATGAGAGGGAAAGAGAGAGACAGAAAGCATCTATTAATTGCACGTGCTGCAGTTGTTGTTATTATTGCTGCTGTTGTTGTTGTTCAGTTTTATGTTGTTTTGCTTGTATTTTATTTTATTTCCCCCCATCGCTGCTTTCACTCTCTCTCCCTCTCTCTTTCACTCTCTCGGCTGGCGTTCGTGAGAGGCGAAGTGGCGAAGCTCTCGTAACGAGGAATGCTCTGCTCCTTCTTGGCCTGTTTACCGTTAGTCGCACTCGGTCTTTCCAACTCACTCGTTCGTCCTTCGCTCTGCCGGCGTTGCAAGCGATGTGATGGGGTGGGGGTGGGTAAAATCCCCTTCCCCATCCACCGTTGCATCCTATTTAGTTACATTTTGTTGTTGTTGCTGTATTTTGCATTGTTTTGTGCTGTGTTTTGTTTTGCTGCAGCTCTCGGGCCGTGACTTCGTGTTATGTACCGTTATGATCGTCGGCTCGCCGCTCGTTCGCTGCATGCGATGCTGTAAGTGTGTGCGTGTGGACGAGTCCTTTTATTGTGTTGTATAGTTGGTTATGTACTTGCTGTTGTTGCCGATGCAGCTATATTGTCGTTGCTGTGTGTTGTGCTCTCTAAACTTTGCCCGCCCCCAATTGAAAAAAGAAAACAACGAAATAGCATCCGAAGCTAGTATAACTGTGCACTTCCCCCAAAAACGAACTGTCCAGTATTGTGTTGTGTAGTGTTGTGTATTGTGCTGTAGTTTCCTAACGGGAAATGCTCATTCCATTAGTATTTGGAAAATGCGGATAATAAATGTAAATAACTAATATATATGCTGGTACTGTAATAATATCAACAATAATTGTGTAAATTTAGTAAGATTAAAATCGCTTTGCGCCTAATTTTTAAAGTAAATTCGATAAACTGATACTTTCGACTTCAAGTTAAATCTTTATTTATTCTCTTAAGACAAAAACTAATATGCATTTATTAATTATGTGTGCCAACTCAAAGCCAATGACTCAATAAGTTTAAAAATAAAGTGTTGTTTAGTAATTCTTGAAACTACTTAATATATACATATTAGGATTCAAATAAAATTCTATAAACTAGTTTTGAATTACGTTTTGCGTATCAGATTAGTATATGTTTAATCGAAACAAAACTCCAAAACAAACAAGCAATAACCACGGAAAAATTCAATCAAAGCAAAACGTCAACAACCGCACCAACCAACACGCCAACTTCCGTTTCCGGTCTGTCAGCCATTTGATGTTGACAACAAAAAAATTCATAGCCTAACACGCAGGCTGATTTATATTTCACTCACACAAGCACTACCCCACACACACGCACTCGAACGCACAAGCCAACAAACAAAAAGAGCAATTCATAAACAATTAAGTGACACTTTGAGTTTGAGTGGTGTGTGAATATAGCAACAGGAGGGCATTTAACGCCAATGCAATTATTGTGATTGAGTTAACTTTGCCGGACTTTTGTTTGTACTTGTGCGGCCAGCCGTCGAGTTATTTGAAGAGTGTGTGGATCAACAGGCCGGGTTAATTACGCAAATAATCGATTCAAAACGTGATTTAGTGAGTCGCACAAAATCTGCCAGGTTAGGCATGGGGTGATTAACGTTGATTACAAATAATGCAGAAAGGGGTTTGATTAAAAAAAACTATGTTACCTGCCTATTGTTATAAGTGGGCTTAAAAGGGTGTTCTTTATATTATAGCTTAATAAATTTAAAAGCTATTCACTATAAATTTTAATTCTCAAATAAGTTCATTAGATAAGTTAAATTTTTACCTCCTTTGGGAAAATAAAGTAATCCCAATCCCAAAGACATTCCAATCAAATTGCAGACAATTTTCCACATCAAATTTCTCTTACTCTGCTGTCACTCTTCACCGCTCCACCGCTAAACTCTAATTAACGTAAACAATTTCCAAAACTCAGAAATAATCATAAAAAATACTCCCTGTAAATCCGATTAGGCGAGACGCTTGCCGGCGCATCTGGCAATTGAAAAGTTTGGAAACTGTGCGTTTTTCTTATTCTTAATTAAATCCAGAGTGCTTGCATAAACTTTTATTATTGTTGCCCATCATCGGCTTTCTTTCTCCCCCAATTCAAGCATTTGTCAAAGTGGCAAAAGTGAACAATTTTTCATTATCGAGCGCGATAGCAAAATGACAGTAAGTCCAAGTGTCCCATCTTCATTTTCTGTCTCCAGACCGGCAAACTGCTGGAGTGTCAAATCATAAATATGCATCTAGCGTTTATCTAACGTCTTTATGGCCCAATCCCCCCGGCATTGTCTCTGTTTTTTGCCAAGTGGCAGGGGGCAAAGTCCCTGGCCCACAGCTAGAAGTAGACTTAAAAGTAATTTTACGTCTGACTAAACATTAATGTGCTCAATATTTTATTGTTTGTTTGTTATTTCGTACTTTTGCTGTTTCATGGAGTCTTTTCCCTTGCAAAAAGTACAAGACGTTGAGTTGATTATGCGGGAAGCTTGAGAAACTTTTCGGAAAGCTGCACTTTTTAAATGGCTTTGGTTTTGGGTAACTGAACAATAAATAGCTGGGATCAGGACTTTACTTTCCGGAGTAGGAGAATAAATCGGTGGATTTATAATTTGAAACATACGGAATGCGTTTTGATTAATGTTATTTATTACGTGCTGAAGACATGTTTTTGTTTTTTAACATTTCAGAATGAGAATTCATAATACTTAAAGTACCTTATATGTACACTTTAATCTCGGAATAAGAAATTTACCACTCGTAGGGATCTTTTTTAAACTCTTCAAAGTTTGAAATTATTTTGATTATTCGAAGCCAGAGTGGTAATAATATAACTGCTTCTGTCTGCCAAACGTCTAGCATTGTGGAGAATTGAATGTAAATAATGCCTTCTAAAGTTCTCGGCTTTTAAGTAAACAGTAGTCGCATTTTTCGACACGGTTCGTACAATTACTTTGTTTTGTTTTGCATTTAGTCACACTTTAGAAAACATTTTTTAAATAGTTTTGTTTATTTGGTTTGTTACAGATTAGAATTTGCCGTACATATTATTATTAATTATCCATGAAACAAGCGAATTGGTTTTAAAACAGACCCTTTGTCGTCGCTTAACTCCAACGCAAAACAAAATCGAAAATAGCTACCAAAGCGATCCGAAGTTGACCACAACTTGTATTTCTCTTGGCCAAAATGTTAATTTGGCTTGTCTTGCACTTTAGTCCAACACCTTTTTGGAACCACTTGGCCATTTTCAATGCACGTGGGGATGTAGCTCAGATGGTAGAGCGCTCGCTTAGCATGTGAGAGGTACGGGGATCGATGCCCCGCATCTCCAATTGGATTATTTCCTTTTTTTGCCAAGTGAAATACGCAAACGTCGGCAGTTTTGTCCTTAGCATTCTGGGGCTTGTATGTCGGAGAAGAAGTTGCCACTAATGAATATTCAAAGGTTGCTTTCCGCATTATCCGCGGAACTCTCGTATCCGCATCCCTTAGATTCCGCCCCCATGTCGGCAATCAAGACGCGTAATTTGATTTGCGCCCTCATCACATAAGTACACTCAGCGCAATAAGAATAATTATGAGAACTTATAATGATGCAACACTTTTAAGGGAATGTTTTCCACTCCAATTAGCAAATATCAGCTCCTAAATTTGTATATTTCTCATTTAATAAAACGTAACATTTAATAACCTAATGGTTTATTCAACCAAAGCATTCCATTAAGTGAATGCAGTTGTATAAAATATTATTCATAATTAAATAAAAATTATAATAAATAAGTAGTGGCGATTAAGTACATGTTATGAGTCTTATTGAATTGCAAAGCAATAACATTTTCCAAGTGTATTTCAAAGGTTGAGAAGAAGGTTGAGCGAACACATTGTCGCACATAAATCAGCACAATATGCCAATGTTTGTTTACTTTCCTGCATCGCAGAGAACTTTGCCAGCAATTAACCAGACTGCCGCAGCAGTCAGCCCAGTCGGATTCTGGATGTGAAACCGAATCTGTAGAGGAGTTGGGATTGTCAAAGGGAGAAAACGCGGTCCCAGGATGCCTTGGGCAGCCTCGGCAACTCCTGGGTAACTGGGATCGGAGTTGTAAATGATACATGATGTGCTATTTATGAGCAAAAGCTTTTGTTTTAATTTTTCCCCAGGTTGGCTTTGTTTTTTACAACTTCCACCAGGAGGACAAAGTTTTCCTCGTAAGCTAGTTAAGCCATTGCTGTTTTCGTGTCGGTTCTGAAATTTATGTATTTACTAGATTTTTAATTGTTTTAAGTGTTTGGCAGTGCAGAGTTTGTAGTTGGTTTTTAACAAACAAAAAAAGGATTATGGAGATGCGGGGTATCGATCCCCGTACCTCTCACATGCTAAGCGAGCGCTCTACCATCTGAGCTACATCCCCGTGTTGTTATTTCCTTAAAATTGGATCAATATCCACTACAAAACTCACTCAAAGGTGGACAATTACCAGTACTTTACTCCAATTGGTATGCACGTCGACAAAATGACCTGGTAAAAGTTTCATAGCCAAGTCTGAACTGGTTTGCAGCTTAATTTCGATTTGGGTGTGGCGTTTGAAAGACATGACCACGCTTCAATTAAACACAGTGGCGGAGTTTAGTGGGAGTCATATCTATTGAAGTATTCGCATTTACTGCCTGATAAACAAAATTGTTATTAAAGTCAAAGTAACTAATAGATGAAGAAATATCTTCTTTTCTTTTTTATAAATACAAAAATTCAAGAATTATCGAAATATTTTTGGGACAGAAGAAATAAAAATCTTTCTTTTTCCTACTTTCTACTCACATTTGACAAAAAATTAATATGCATAACGCATAGCGGAAAGAAAAAATAAACTTGGCGAAATTTATGCAGTGATGAGTGAAAAAGGATGCCAGTCGGTCCTGTTTGGACCCAACTCAGCCCCAGCGTGTTCAACAATAACACGTTCCCTTATCGGAACCGGAAACGGTTCTCAAGAAAGAGGGGCGGAAAAGTGCACAAAGTCACGGTGGCGTATGTGACAAGTCCTTTCTAATGAGCAGGAAGAATACACGTAGCACCTACTGCTCAAATCAAGCCAAGAAGTCGCCTTCAACTAATAAACTTCTCCCTGGTCCAAAGTCAATTAAAAAAGGAACAAAAATTGTACGTGACACCCAGAGATAGACAGCCCGAAAAAAAGACATGGCAAGAAGAAATTGAGATGGTACGAGATGCTCCTCAAGCTGAAATACTTGAACTAAAAAGTCGCAGACTGTCTTGAAATTAAAATTACACGACGCTTGAATAACTTTGGCCGTACTTCCACCCCACTTTTCGTTCCGCTGGCAGGTAAATGCTGACAAAAGTTTTTGAGGTAGCATTTCTTTTACGATTCGCCAGCGAGTGGAACCAGCTAAGAAGAAGTGCCACTTGCTACGTTTTTGCCATTAATTTTGTATATCATTGAGTTTTACGAGGCTCATAAATATGAAAACGTTTAACTCTTGCTGGCTGAAAACAAAATTCGACTTGGGGGAATCGCACGGAGCTCCCTTGACGCGTTTTATATGAGACAAACTAATTGTCTTGTACTTGTAATGTGTTTTTAAGCGCAGCCACGCTTCCCACATGTTTTCACAATGTTTCCCCGATAAACAATGGGGAGTCGGGATTTTCGGGGAGGAGATTTAACAATTAGTGGGGTGACTTGAAGGGTTCGTCTCCTTTCTCGTGTGCAACAGCTTGAGGTAATTTTCAACTTTTACTCTTTGTTTTGGTGTTGACAAGAAGCGTGTTGTTTTGTTTGGTTTTAATTAAAGCCCAAAACATACCAAATATGTTGGGGAGCCTTCAAATGAAACCCACGTGCAGAAATAAATTTGTTGCAATGAGGAATTTCTTAAGTCAAAGGATTTCAAGAGATTTTATTGAGTGGTCCCATTGGAATTAATTACATATTTTCATTCTCAAGACACTACTGTTTTATTGTTACTATTTTCTATTACTATTTTTTTTTTCTTCATTTATATAATAATATGGTTCCGATTTTAAAAACTACTTAAGTCTTTAGCAGCACAACCTTAAATTTATTGAAGAGCTAAACTATGCAGAAAGCTCATTTAGATTCCTCTGTGTTTTGCAAGACTTTAAACTTTTTTACTTTTAAATTTTTAATTAGTTCATGTTACAAATGACATTAACGAAAAAGGCAACGACAAAGATTTGTGGTCGTATATTTTAGCATTTCTTAACGAGATTTTTCGAGGAGAAAAAACAAAAGACCAACGGAATTCGCACCTTTGCATACACAAATAGCAAGAGGGCAGTTTTGGGGCATGGAAAGTGCTCTGGATTGCGGATGGGGTCAGGGGTACTTTGGTTATAAATTTTAAATCTGTTAAATTAATGCACCAGCTTTCTTTCATTTCTCAGTTCGCTTTCTTACGTGCCAAAAAGTTGCGAGCAAACTCCGAGCACGTTTCTTGATTACATTAATTATTCCTTTATTGTTTGCAAAAGTTTTCACCTTTCTCGCCGGTTGCGTAGTTATGTTTTTTTGTAATACATCTAATTGTAATTAATTAGCAGAGTTTACTTACAAAGTGTATTTTTTCTTATTTTTACAGTGGTCCCTTTAACAACAGAGTGGTAAGTAACGAAAAAATTAGCGTATATTCAAATACATTTGATTGCTCTAACCAACGGAAATGTTGTAGTGGACTAATCATAATCAAAGACATTCGCCGTACCCTCGACAAAACTACGGAAATCGGGATAACTCTAATAACCATAACTTAAAAGAGAAACGCCAGGAGAGAGATTATACCAAGAGAACTGATTTTCAGCACCGTAACCCAAGATACAGAGGTCAACATTTCAGGGGCCATAATCACAGAAATCAGCCTAGGAGGAGTGAAGATAATTCCTCCAAATCGCCTTATCATTATGAAGAAAGTGGTGAACATCAAAGCAGAGTCCCAAGCGACATTAACAAAAATAAAGAACCAAACTGTGAACCGAAAAGCGACGCTTCTAAAGCCGGAGAATTAGAGGATAATCAAAGTGGTATAATTTATCAAATAAATCAAAGCGGAAGCCAAGACAAAACAACAGCGCAAAAAGAACAAAGTGCAGAGGAACCGATCACAGATACCAATAATTCAGAAAAATGCTTTAATTCCGATAAGTCTGAGGTTAACAAGATTGCTGGGACATCTCCCAATAAAGAGCAATTAATTTTGTCCATCTCCAGTGACGAAGATTCTAATCAATTGTATCCTCGTATCCAAGTGCGTCCCCTGACTCAACTGCTGAAACAGGAAATCTTGGCAGTTACTCAGGAGAATCGTCTTGGCAAAGGTCCTCTTTTAAGTCCTTCTGCATCCGTTCCCCCTGCAAGTCCCAATCGATTGGCTCAAAAACCCAATCTTAGAAATCGCCGACGGACAGTGAGTAACTGTATTCAAAATGGATCAAATCCCAGTACCAGCCAGGCCGGAACGGAAGCAAATATTAATGATCGCATTGCTAGTATGGACAAAGAGAGTCTTAAGAACATTATTAACAATGGTGATCCTATCTACGACGAGCACTTAAAGCTTCAGGCTCGAAGACGTTTACGCGAAGAGATCCGTCGACAGCTAAAGAATATCGAGTTGGAGCAGCCCAAGGATAATCTGGTTACGGAACTTGTCGAGGACGAAATCGTAGATGCCATTAAATTGCCCGAACTTCTGCTGCAGGAGATAGGAAAGTGTTTTGGCATAGACATATCAGAGGGTCAGAACACACAGAACTCTGAAGGGAATAATCAAGATACACCAAACAGAAAAGCCAACGAGGAATGTTTAGTTCCAGTCGAAAACAGCGAGGAGTGCAGAACAGAAAGTGGTAGCAGCAGCAGTGTAGTCAAACTAGAAGAGAGTGAACCTCCTGGTAGAGTATTACCATCGAGTGAAAACAAGACAAAAAGTACTATCAAAGATATCAACCAGTGCATTAAAGTTGAAAACCTTTTAATCAAAGAACCGGTCTGTGCAATTGAGAGTAAAAATGGTAATGATAAAAACAAAGATTCTGAAAATGTCACTACAATCAGTAAACCTCTAAGTGAAGATGATAAAAGGCGTAAAGAAGTCTTACAAGAAAGTAATAACAAAAAAAGTCCTAAAAAGAACTTCAAGAATTCCCTTAATGGAAAGAAAATAAAATTTAAAAAAGGAAAAAAGAAAAAACCTAAGGCTAAAACTCTTCAGTCTGGGTCACAACAAGAAGTGGCGGAATCCTTCGATTCCATGAAAAGGTCCAATGATCCTAACCCCAGACTGAAGGCAGCCGATGAAATTGAAACATTGGCCGGTATACGTCTAAACACGAATCATTCTTCCTTGTTGCCAAGCTCAACTTGTGAAATTATTCCAAATAGCTTAGAAACCTCAAGTTTAACAGGTGATGAATTAAAACCAAGTCAATCACCAACAAAAACATTAAAAAAGATTATAGTGGAATCCGCTAATTCTGAAAAGGAAATCACTTCTGACATCACTTTGCCACTTAATACGCATGCTAAAATGGAAATCAAAAGGGAGTCTAGCAGCTCACCAATTTTAGTATTACCTTTAGTATCGAAGGAAGTAATTGATCTTCTGAGCTCATCTGATGAAGAAGAGGAAAAAATGTGCGTAGATAACACTGATAAACAAATTGCATTACAAGCTGATGATCAAAATTTGAATGTGCAAGAACGCAAACCTCCGACTGTGGATGATCTAACCAGTGATCATTCAAACAGCTCTCAGTGCAGCAGCGAGTCCACGAAAAGGAGGCGGAAGTTGAAGCTCCAAAACGATGCTGAAAATGTAGTGGATAGTTTCGAGAAACTGATCCTTCCACATCTTCGGGAGGGCCTCATGGAACGCTATCGTCGCCAGCACTCCGGTAACCTGCAAAGCCGTCTGCATTTTATATCCTGCGTGGTGACCAGCGCCGAGTACAATTCACAAACGTTTAGCAAAATCGAGGTGGCCAAAATCCAGATGAATCTCAAAGCAGCCGACAATCGCCAAGCTATCGAATTTCTCCTAAGGGAGATTGTCAACGTGGTAAATCTGCAGAAGCAGCGCCGTCGGGAACAGGAGGAGGAGCAGAAGTTGACTAGTTTACTTAGCCCAAGAAAAGCTGATTCTTCATCATCGCCAGCTCGACAAAGTGCAGGAGCTCTTTCTACCTCCCCAAGTATATCATCCCGGATAGGGAACCAATCTTCTGCGTCCCGCCAAAGTACTCCAGTTGAATCATCCCACAAGAGTACTCAATCTTCTCCAAACCGAAACAGTTCACCATCCGTTGATAAATGTGAAAGTCCTCCCGGCACCAGTGAAGTCAAGCGCCAGAATCAGGAGCCATTTCCCGTCGGACTGCCATTTTCGGCCATGGATTCCCGATTTTCCGGCGGTGGTTTATCGCGTGTAGGTGTAGGAGGGGCGGATTTATCCGAGCCTATAGCTCAATTGGGTGACATGATGGCCCAGAGCCTGGCTGATATTGATCGCCGTCTGCTGGAAAATCAAAACCGTCGCAGCATTCTCGAGGAAATGATCATGAAGTTCCAGAAGGAGAAGTCTGACCTGGAGATACTCAGTTTGGAGCTGCAAAGTCGCAAGTTTTTGTTGATCAACTCGATGATTTCCCAAAATCAGGCCTCTTCTACGCCAGTCGTTAACCCCAGAAACTCACCGCCTAAAGCTTCTACTAGTCAGGAATCTGCACAGGACGAGGGTTTCGCCAAGGGAGGGATAGCCAAGCGAACTAGAAGTAGAACTAAATTGAGAAGAGCTGTGTTGGTAAAACTAGTGCCCAAACGACAGGTAAGGGTACAGAAACGTGTTCGTAAGAAACACAAATCAGACGAACTAATAGCCCAATTGAGGCAAGAAATTGCTGACCAAGAGGAAAAGAACAAAACTAGCGAAGAAGAAGCCAAAGAATCGGGATCTGAACTCAAAGTTCAATCAAATTTGAAGGATGAGCAGCAGGATGAGCCTATGTGTGAAACCGAATCTGCACCCACCGCCAAACCAACGCAATCGCGACTTGGCAAACCGAAAGCAAGTGTTGCCGGCAATCAGACCCATCAACCGCTGGCTATAATACCACCGCTACCACCTCCGCCACCGCCTCCTGAACCGATCTGTCACATGTCCTACGACTCTGAGCACTGGTCAGAACTCAACTCTCAAGAGGATTTCAAGCTTGGATTTATACCCAAGGGGAAATTGGAACAAATTCAAAGTCCCATCACACAAATTAAGATCTACAGGGAGTACGTGATAGCCGCAGCAGAGGATGGGGATATCTACATGTTCCACCTGGTCAGTCACAAGCTGGAGCGAAAGATCACAAAGCACAGCGAGGCGATAACAAATATGTATCTCAGCGAAAAGGAATCCTTGCTGTACACCACTTCACTAGATGGCTTTTTTAAAAAGTCCTCCCTAGAGGCAAGTCACTATACTACCTTTAATCTTTATATAAACTAATTACTTTAAATATTGACAGAACTTGGAGCGTGTCATTGAAACGGTATACTTTAAGGAACCGCTGCAATCGATTGACATCGCCTGGGGATTGGCCTTCATTGGCAGTCGATGGGGTCTTATCTCTACATTCAACGTGGTGGTAAGTTCAGCAACTTGTAGCAAAATCTTAATTTGTTACATTTATTAGGATGTTTTTATTGTTTTAACTTAAAATGGCATACAAGAAAGCAGATAACTACAGCTTGAACTGTACAAACTTAACATTGAAAAGTATTGAAATAAACCTCAACGAATTTTCCAACCCTCCTTTCAACCCTGTGTCATACCAATAAAATTTTCCAGACAAAACCATAACTCACAGAACCTTCCATCGTGTAGAGGTCAATCAATCGTCTCAATACATTTTCGGCACTTAATTTGACTCATTAAATATTTATCTGTCAAACAATCACTTGAACGATTTCAATTAAAATATTGAGCTGCGACTCGCGAGTCCTGCCAAAAGGACATCCACACACAGGACGAGTCCACACCTTGCCTTTGCGCCAACAACAACACCAGAAGTTAACGAATTGGCAATGAGCAGAGCCAAACACGAAAGTCTAGACAATGGAAAATCAAATCGAATTTATTTTTCCTTTTTTTTTTTTGCTCTCGCGAATTTAACAAATTGGATAGTATGGAAAAGAGATGCGTAAAAAAGGGAGTTTGGTCCTGAGCTGATACTTCATTAGAATATGTATTATACATTGAGGGTAGAGTAAAGCTATAAGTCTTAATTCTGGCTGAAATTCGATTTATGGCTGCGACGTGCTGATAACTCATGGCTCGAATTTATTCCTTTTGTGCACAACTGTACTTGTTATGGTCAGGATGGTGTGAGGAAGAGTCAGGGAAAAATGTATCGGAAAACAGATAATTTTATCTATAGTAAAAAGTTTTTAATGGAATTTTTAAGGAAAGACTTCGAATTATAAAATCTCTATTTTCTGCATATTGATTTTTTTTTTTACAAAAATAGTAATGTGGGTCAATACTAATACATTAAGAATTGCAACCATCCTTCTTCTAAAAATAATTAAGGAAACTGAAAAAAGTTGTGGGTAGGCAGGAATGCAAATATTTAACGCTATGTAGAGAGGGGCAAAAGCAGACACCCAGAAACAAGGAAGGGGGGAGGCCAGTGTCCTATTATTTATTGCAAAGGGGCGGAACACCTACGTTTTTAACTAAGCCAACTGGTGGACGCAACTGTACCTGCAAGTGTGTTGCAGACGAAGGCAACTGTACTTTCCGACTGAATTGTGGGTGGTGGGTACTGTACTTGAATCTTTGGTAGGTGCAGTCTCTAGCTTTGGTTATTTAGTAAATATACGAAGATGCCACGCCCAACAAGGCTAGGAAGCACATAGAGGGCGTTACTGGTATTGCAGTTTTTGCCAGACTTGCTGCTATTGCTTGATATTTAGCTTTGCCTGGTGTTTTGTGTTTTATTGTGCCGTGTTTGCTGCACGTTGTTTGGCCGATGACTACGAGTTCTTGAAGTATATAGCCTCCTTGCTGAGACCGGGTATATACCAGAGCTGAGGGTTAGTTGCAACAAACAACAGCAAACTGCAGCATGAGCATGCTGTCTCGCTCCAACACTCATTGGTAAGAAGGATGTTGCTTCCTTGCTAGCTTTCTCGCTCTCTCTGTCTTTTACCCACTCCCCAATGCGCTCTATTGTTGTTTATTTAAGTTTTTATGTGTGCCTGTTTAGTTAACGGTATATTTTGCCGGTACTCACTCTCCCTCTCTCTTTCTCTTCCTTTTTCTGCGCATGTCCTTGCACTGCACTTCACAGTTTGTTGCATATAGTTACTGCCATTCGTTAGTTTTTTGGCAGCAGCAAATAAAATGTTTATGTGCTATTTACTCAAAACAATTTTAAATAAAATACAAGCCGACGAGTCAACTACGAAGCTCTCTCTCCAGGACATAAACGAGTAACGAAGCTGTGCTCTCTATAGCGTTCTCTCTTTGCTGCAAGTCGAAAAGAGAGTGCCTTCCAAGGCGCTGCAATTGGAATTGTCTTCGTGCCTGTTGCTTCCTTTTTCTCTCTTTTTCTTTCTCTCTCAGGCTCCTTCGTCCTCGTTGCTCCTGTTTTTGTTGTTGTTGTGGCGTGGGCTTTTCTTGCTGGTTGGCTCCTGTTTTGTTGTGTTGTGTTTCTGGGAACTGACGCCCTGTCTATGGCTTGTTGTTGCCAGTGTGTTGGTGCGCTCGTACCGCTTTCCCATTGGCCGATTTGGCCAACTCGGGTTGGTTGTTTGTGCCGTTATGTGTGGGCTCCCCCTCAAGAGACTGTAACTCTTTTTTCGTGTTTATGTGAGCTTTCTATTGTTGTTCCTTGTAGCAACTTGCACACATAGTTGGGTGGGTGTGGCAATGTAGAATGCCCCATGCAGGCTGCAACCACTAAATAAACGTTCCCACTGCAGTATCTTTAATTTCCCCTTCTCCCAAAAAGCAATTTATTTGTATTTTCTTTCCTTGTACACTGCGCTTGGCCGCCATCTTGCGGAATGACTAAAGACATAACGGTAGATAAAACTGCACTTCATATCTCTATCTCGCTCCGTTAACCATCCTTTATAATAACACGGTTCCATTTTCATTTTTATGGCAATATATGATGGATGTGGGTACTCTGTTTGTTCTTTGTTTAAAGATAATATGTGTTGTTATTTTCAAAGAATAAGTGTGTAAATTTTGTCACAACTTCTTTTAAATATGGCAAAGAACCAAGGAGAATAAGTACTTAAGTTGTCTGCATCTAAACTCTATCTGTACCATAAGAACGTGTTACACAAATGAGGAGATTGATACCAATGTTGGTCGTTGGACAAAACTAAAAAATTATAAGCTTTAAATCGACACAAAAATGAATTAATAAATTAAATAAAATGAATAAATGAAAACAAAAATTGAACGTAGTTAAGTTTCACACACACAAAAGATCATTTTATTTTTTCTCTTTACATGAATTATAGATAAGAAACTTATCTAATCAAAGACATTTATAAATGTGCACACTAATACTTTAAAAATAGCACAAATACAATATCTATTTGTGAAGTACAAAAACTGTAGGCATTTCTTTCTTTTGATCATTTCTTTTGTGTACGAAACCGTAAGCTTGAATGTCATGACAATGCACTTTCGGAATTTTAATGAGCTCGTAACTACAGTTGGTTAAAAATCAAAGTGGGTAATTGCGTACCACACCTTGTCAGACCCACTTCAAGAGGTAAATCCACAACGGGGATGTAGCTCAGATGGTAGAGCGCTCGCTTAGCATGTGAGAGGTACGGGGATCGATGCCCCGCATCTCCAAAAGGATTCGATTTTTTGTTTGCTTAGTTTTTAATAACTAAGCTCTAACTGCAATTACTTTGCTTCAATCTGAAGAATTTCTAAATTTTTTGTTTTATAAAATTTTTGATAAATGCTTAAGACGAAGCTAATTTGCTATAAATTTCCATCTTAAAAATAATATTCATCTTACAAACTTCAGAAATAAATAATACTTTTTTACTTACAGACAAACAAGGTGATGGATAAGCCATTGGCTTCAACCTGCCAATCCATTATTGCCATTAAGGCCACCAAAGAAGGTGTTCGAAAGATCTTACTCCTCGGATGCAAGGGAAACTTCGTCCAAATGCGGGATGCAGCCAACGGGTTGCTGCTGCGTAACGTGTGCATTTCAGAGGGCTTGAATGTCTACAGCCTGCTCTTAAACGAAGGTCACATTTACTGTGGCACTCAGCGAAACGAGATCTTTCAGTTGGAGTTTGATGTAAGATAAAGACGTTAACTTTCAGTTGTTTTCTATAATCATTCTTCCGTTTTTTCATTTAGACTGGCAACTTGGTTACCAAGTTGAAATGCGGCAATGGTGCTGTATCCATAGTGTCCTACAAAGAGCGATATTTGCTGGTTGGCTGTTACGATGGCTTTATATATGTCCTGGACAAAATAACTGGAACGCAAGTAGGCCGTTTTGAGGGCGCTGGCCGTTTGGTTTTGGCCTTAGCAGTAGCAGGCGATAAAGTAAGTTTATTAATGCTTTCCTCTATTAAGCTGATTTTATATCACTTACTTTTTACGCACAGATCGTCACATCTTCAAAAGACAATTCGCTGGAAATTCTTGAAGTGCCCGCAGCCATGGTAAATGGATATTGAGACGCTTATCGGAACTTGTATAAATCAGTTTTAATATAATCATTTTGCACACACACTTGCTTGTATAATACAATTCAATGGACATAATCTTTGATCGGCGATTAAGGATTGCGTTCTCTGTATTTACAGTTGATTATTACATTTTTTTTGTTAATGTGCAATTGCATTTTTGCAATTGATCTTCTTGAAGAATATTTCTTCGCATGAACAAATTATTTTAAAAATAAAAAGAGAACCACCAATAAAAATATAATACGTAGAAATATGAAATCGTTTAAGTCGTCTTTAAGGAATTTGAGGAGCCCTCACTGGTCGCACGTTGGTCTGCATTTGGTGCAGCTTCTGGTTGAGCTTGTGAGTGTGGTCACGCAGATAGGCAATGAGATCGGCCTGCTTCTCTAGCAGCTCATCGGTATCGCCACCGGGTTGCATAAGGCCCAAAGAGCCACCGGCACGATCAGCACCTCGCAAAACATCCGGAGCTAGCTTGGCGTTGTTGAATTTGCGCACCTTGTCTGGAATTGTCATTGATTATTTAGTAAAATAACACTTGTTAAATCTATGATTCTGTTTTTTGGAAGGGTAATTCAGTTATTTATTAAATCCAATTTTTTTTCTAATTCAAAATGTATTTTTGCCTACAGTCCTTTTATGAAAATTTTTTTTGTTGAGCTAAACGAACACGTAACCACATTAAGCTATACTATTAAAGATTGAGTCATTTACTGTTGCATGTTTGTAAAAACCCTAAGAGCGACTATTGACTCATTTAGTTTCTCGGCTTATAGATAAGCCGAGCTAACCTGTTCCTAAAAGTGTGATGACAGCTAAAAAAAAGTGACTAAAGTACTTATTTTTTAAGCTTCCAGATATAACTAACTTATTCGAAACAAAGATTTAGCTAATTCTATAATATGCAATACTGATAAATTTTAAGATCGGGCTTACCAATATATACGCTATGGGAGACGGCCAGCACTAAATTTTCAGCGACGGTAAAAGCGGTCACATAACTGACAGGCGAAAGCCAGCCGGCGGCACAATGCTCCCAGAAGTTTTCCGCATAGAAATGGTGAATCAGAGCCTGGACGGCCAGTAACATTGAGTTCCACAGGGAGACAAGCTGAAGGGGAATCCCCTTCTGCATGTTCGTCTCGCGGTGGAAGTCGTGATAGCCCTGCATTCGCAGGTTGTCGTGTTGCTTCTTCACAAAGTGATCGAAGAGCTGAAAACCATGGAAATTGAGGTAGGTCAGCAAAAAATATACTAAAAACCCTATGGAATAATTACATATGTGATGACCCAGAATGTGGCCCTTAAGTAGAGCATTATAAAGTAGGCATCGCAGCGCCGATCCGCAGGAAAAGAGGCCGCAAGAACAATTCCAACAATCGAGATTGCCGTGGAGATAAGGAGATGAAGGCTGCGGGAGTACAAGGAATAAGTTTGAATATGTGCATTATCTGCTGTTTGGAAATGGCAAAAGGGTGATTCACTGCCGCCGGCTGAAGTCTCGTTTGTCCCCCTTCTCTCTCCGAATTACCTAAATGCAGGCACTGTATTCAGCTTGAAGCTCCCATTGTCGTTGGAGAATAGAACGGGGTCCAGGAGCTGATCGGTATCCTGGACGTGGGCAGGGGACACACCCGGTTGGACAGCGGCTCCGCCGGTTGCTGGTTGCTCCATTTGCGCAGCTCTAAAATGCGTAGTTTTCAAATTGTTGCTGCTTTGTTTATAAGGTCCCTAGCAAAACAACACTTATTTTCATTAGATGTGGCAACACCAGACAATGTTAGATTTTTACGCGGTGGCAGCTCTATGTTATCCATGAACAGTTTGACAACTCTTAAGCCGATTTAAAAGTTCCTGTTAAGTTTTGAAAAATACTTTAAAATTTCGGATTTTATAAAGTTTTTAAGCTAAGGATAACATTTAAAATTGCGTTCTGATAACATGTTGATACAATTTATTAAAAATATTTTTTTACTCTTGGATCAGTCTTCTACTCTGTGTGTGATATTTATAAAATTGAACGTTTGTTTCTTAAATACCCATTATTATCTTTACACTTTTTATATAATTTAACAATTTTTTGTTGTTTGTTATTATCTGTTAAATATTATGGTGTGTAATTGTATTATGTCATGGTTTTATTACATTTTTAGCGCCCTTTGGGTTTTTTTAAAGTTTAAAGTCCGGCCACACTTAAAAAAGAAAACAAAAAGATAGCATTTTAAAAAGGATTTTGAACTGCCTGTGGAGTAGAACAAAACAGATTGCAAGATGACTACTCCTGTGCCGCGTCGCACCAAGGATATGATGGCACTTGGACTGGACTCCGACTCGGAGGACGACTTTAATACACCGTACCGACCGCAGCGATCGCGGCAAGCGAAGGCGGGAGAAAAGAAACCTCAACCGGTGGCGTCTTTTCCAACTCAGGCGAGGGGCAAGGAAAACGAGCCGCATCCCTTGCCTATGGAAGTGCTGTAAGGACAGGTTTATCCTTCGCGAAATGCTCTCTTTCTGAAACTTTTCACCTGCTCACATACTGCTTGCATCTTTACATCCTTCCGAAATTCTCCTTCATTTCAAGGGCTTCTATTAAGCCAAAACCACTTGGGTTTTACCCTATCCGCATTAATTATTCAATATTCTTCCCTACCTATATGCTGTTATGCGCCTTAAGCAATGCTGACTTAAAATAAAGCGATCTCTTACAAAAAAAAAACCTATAAACATTGACTATAATTCCATTGAGCAATGAACCAATATTTATGTTTGTTAAAGATACATATTCAGCTTCTACCCCTTTATCATTTTCAGACCTCGCCGAGTCTCAGAGCTAACGATGATGGATTCGGACAGCGAGGAGGAAGACATAAAGAGCAATCACAATTTAAACTGTGCCATCCTAAATGATTCCTTCGTACTAAGTCCCTCTCAAGAGTTAACACATAGCAATGGCAACATTTCCCCGCGACGCTCATCCGCCGCAGCTCCACTCAAGCAATCCGATACGAACCTATCCTTCTTGGGTCAATTTAACAATATGGGCATCAATTGCAGCAGCCAAGGATCACCTGCTGCAGACGCGGAAAAAAAGGTGACAAAAAAACCGGCGCCCACGATCCCAGTTGTTACGGAAAGGCGGCCACTTTTGGACACAGAAACGCCACTGCGCAACGAAGTCTCCACCTGCCCCAAGCCAAAGCCGGATGCGGACTTTATCACACCTCAAGTGCGAACCATTGGATCCACTTTAGGCACAAAAAGCCGAGGTGGGGTGTCCAATGACTTTCGCGCGCAGAAGGTGCTCTTTCAAACGCCCATGACCGTGAGTCGTGCTGCTCCCGTTGCCTCCGATAGCATTAGTTTCTCGCTTTGCGACACTATTAGCGAAAGTCCGGATATTCCTGATCCGCCGAAGGCAGGTCCTTCGAAGGCTCACCATCAGTCCAAGAAGTCACTGGATAATGTTTTCCAGGAGTCAGAGAAAAATAATGTGCTGTCCAAAGTGGAGAACGTTGAAACCAAGGAGTTGCTACCTGTTTCTGAAGCCAATGGAAATTCTGAATCGGCTCCAACGACCTCCAAAGCCTCAAATATACTGAAAATCAAAAACCATGAATACACGATTGCCAAGAAGCTGGGCTGCGGTGGATCAAGCTCGGTTTTTCTAGCACGGCGGTCGGATTCCGGAAATGAGTTTGCACTGAAGGTGGTCGATCTGCAGGCAGATCCACAGGTGGTGCAGGGCTATCTCAACGAAACTAAACTGCTGGCAAAGCTGCAGGGGAACGTCTGCGTTGTGGCGCTTTACGACTAGTGAGTTACAATTTCTTTATTCATATTTTGTACTTTAAATTGTTTATATGATTGTAATATAAAATTCCAGTCAACTTGTTCGCGAAGAATCCAAGCTGTACATGGTTATGGAGAAGGGTGACTCCGACCTGAACAAGATACTGCAAAGCTACACCACCAACCTGCCACTATACAGCCTCATGAACATCCTGTACCAAATGCTGCAGGCGGTCAACTACATCCACCAGCACGGAGTCATTCACTCTGATTTAAAGCCTGCGAACTTTCTAATGGTCAGCGGGCGACTGAAGCTGATTGATTTTGGCATAGCCAGCAATATCTCAATGGACTCAACGAGCATCATCAAGTTTTCGCAGGCGGGCACCTTCAACTACATTAGTCCGGAGGCATTAACGGACACCTCCACGGGCAACAGTCCTATGCGAGGAGCCAATCAGCCGAAAATCAAGATCTCGACCAAGTCGGACGTGTGGTCGCTAGGCTGCATTCTGTACCTGCTGCTCTACCAAAAGACGCCCTTTGGCCACATAAGGAACATCTATGCCAAGATGAGTGCAATCGCAACTCCCAGCACCAGCATCGAGTTTCCCGCCATTCCTCCCTACTATCCTGTTATGCTGGTTCATGTGAGTTGGGAGGGATGACAGCTTAATATATTAAAACTTCTATAAATCATGTGTTTTAACTTCCAAAAAACATGCTACTTTTAAACTGAAACCAAAAATCAAAAAGGCTTTTATAGGTATTAGTTTTAATAACTTTATGAACTATAATTTTACAGATGGCCAAGAACTGCCTTCAGCTGAATCCCAAGAAGCGACCGTCGTGCAGTGAACTACTGCAGTATCCATTCCATATGATCATTCCGCTACAGAATCTACAGATACCCAGTAGAACCGCACCCAGTAATTAAGCATGAAAGCTCAACTATTTATTAATTAAATGTCAAAGGTCAAATGTCTTTCTCATATGTGTGTGTATATATTTAATTCTCATTTATAGTAAATTAAACATCATAAATCCTTATTATGCAGCTATAGCTCATTCTTTTGTGTTTGTTGTGGTTGCTGATGGGCTTGAATTTGTTGGTTTGCCTAATTTATCAATATGTCGCATGCAACAGGTTCTCGACATTTAATCGCTATTTAGCATTCGTGTTTAATTTGCCTTTACTTATAAGATAGTTTCTCATTCAGTTTTATATAAAAATAGTTATTTTCTTGTTTATATACGCTTAATTAAATGTTGCTGCTGCCGTTTACTCTTTCTGGGGTTTAAATACTTTGCGCTGCTCCGCGGCGTTTAATTAAAAGCACATAGAAACGGAAAACAGTTATGGAAAACATTCAAAATTCACAGTGACCCAAATACATTACATAAAATCACACTGTTTTTCTTTTTATTTATTTGTGTGGATTTGCCTTCTAAGTAGAATGGTTTTAAATTCATTTGCCTAACATAAGATACATATACATTGGGTTATAGCGCGTTTTTAAATGCAAGTGTAACATAAAAAATAATAATCGCATGCGAAGTATTGGATAAATAATAAGTTGAAAGTAGCAGCAGCAATGGATTTTGTTACTGTTTTCGGGATTGATTTTTTGGGAGGGCATGGGTGGAAATAGCCTACTTCTATCTGTAGAGTCTGGCTTTTCCTTCTCTAGCTTTTCCTTTCTTTTCGTTTAACATTGCACAAGTTTCGATTGTTATCATAATCTTGCTTTAGTTATGTGTATATAATTTCTTAAAGCGTTCCGTAGTTCTTTATTCTCGTAATTGTTGGATTTCGCTACTATAAAATGTTAAATGTTGCTGTTGTTGTGGGTCATGCTTTAAGTTTACTTAATTTTTCTCGCCTTTCTCTTGTTACATTAACTTTAAACTTAATAGATTGTTAGAATTGTTGTTGGTTTTTTACTGTTGCTGTTGTTATGGAAGTTGGACAAACTCTGCAGTTACTTGTCAGTTTATCGTCGTTGTTGGCCTCCTTCTTCCCATTCATATATCTCCCTCTGTTTGACATTAAATGTCCTGGAATTGGGAAATGTTATATCAATATATTATCATCGTCTATGTTATAATTTAATAAGGGATCCATTCTTTAATTTGTAATTGATCATTAATGGTAAAAAATCTTACCTGTTCCCCGTTGGAGGCGTGCTGCTGCAGCGTAAGGATCAGCTGCTCCTTCTGGTCGACGATGCCACGCCAGTGCTCGTCCTGCTCACGAGCACGCTCCTCCAAATCCATCAGCGTGTTGGTCTATGGAATAGGTAAACACGAAATGATGTCATTAAATATTTTGGTGTAAATTTAAATTGATAATTTGCCACGTACCGTCTTGGTGACCAGCTGGGTGAGCTTGTCGTTGCACTCGCGCAACTGCAGGTTCTGTTTGTGCAGCTCCTGCTGCTCGGCGGCGGAGGAGGATTGGCTATTCGAACTACTATTATTGCTACTAATATTGTTGTGGGTGCTATTGTGGTTGCTACTGCTACTGTTGTTTGATTGTGTGGACTTATGACTACTGCTGCTCTGTTTCTCAGGCTTCTCTGCCTCAATCTTCTGCCGCAGCTTATCCTGCTGCTGCTTGACGTGGGTGGCAAGGACCTGTTCTAACCACTGGTCGAAGGATGCCTGCAGGGCATTGCCCGACTGCGCTTTCACTGCATCGGGATACAGGCGCTGGTAAAGATCCCGGATCCTCTGCTGCTCGCTCTTTGCTGAGCTGGCACTTCCGCCTCCATTTGCGGCTACCACCTTTTGTTGCTGCTGTTGCAGCTCTTTGTGTTGTTGCTGCAAATATTACAGGATAAAAATATTTAATTATAAATTTAATCTAAAGGCGGTTTTAGTTAAAACCATAGAGGAAAGCAGAAGAACATGGCAGAGAACATGCACTTACGCCTACGGATTGCGCTGTATTTGTTTTCGTCTTAGCCGTTGCCTTAGCTGTTAATGCTTCGGCATTTTGCAACGCTTCGATCAATTTCCAATTTTTCATACGCACGTCCTGACGAAACACAAATACGTGGCAATTAGTAAAGGGTGCAGAAAAACAAAGAGATGCACATGATTGATACGGTGGACACTGCGATCTAAAGATTAGTTTAACTAGTATAGAAGTTTAAAAGATTTCAATTGCAATTTTCTTCTTTTTTTGAACGAAATTGTAAACAACTTAATCAGTATTTTTATTTAAAAAAAAACAGTGGTCCACTCGCCAATGATTCCAAAAATGTTCAAAATTATATGTTATCTTTCCAATCTTTTCTTTTAATGGTTGATAAAATGAGAATGAGAATAACTAGAAAACTATATTAAAACACAAACAAAATAGAAAGTATTTTTGTCAAACAAACTATAGCTTAAGTGCAATTCAGAAGGCAATAATAGTTCTTTTAAGTTATAGTAATTTCTTCACTCACATTATTTTTCTCCCGCTGCTCCTGAAGCTCCAGCTGAAGCTTCTGTTCCTTAGCCTGGAGGAGCTCGGCGCGTTGCTGCGCCTCTTGGAGCTGGGACTGCAGCGCGGTGGCCTGCTTCTGTTGCTGGGCCTGGGCATCCGTCAGCGAGCCAACCTGCGATCGCAGCGCGTTCAGCTCCTGCTGCTTCTTGGCCAAAGTTTCGGTCTGGACCTGCGCCTGCTCCGACTGGGCGGCCGTGGCCTGAACGGCGCTGCTAGCGGCTTGGGTCAGCTGTTGGCTGAGCGCCTGGTTGCTGGCCTCCAGGGCGGATGACTGCTGACGCAGCTCCTGCAACTCAGCGGCGTGGACACGCTGCAGCTCAGACTGCGCCTGCGTGACTGCACACAGCTCCTGCTTTAACTCGGCGTTTTCTTGTTCAAGCTGTTTGCGCTGTTCTAGCTCGAAGATGCTGTTGTTTTGACGAGCTTCCAGCTCGTCGCGTTGCAGCTCCAGGGCTTGCAACTGTTGCGCCTGCTGCTGGATCACCTCGTTCTTTTGCTGCGTCTCAGCATTCACGAACGCTGTCATGTCCGCCAGGCATTTCTCCTTGTGGGCGAGGTCCTGCTGCAAACGCTGCAACTGCACTAGATCCTGCGAGTTGGCTTGCTTTTCCCTCAAGAGAGTCTGAAATAGAGGGAACGTATATTAAATTTAAGTTTTTATTATACTTATAAATATTGTTTTATAGATTCTTAAAGTAAAGATAGCTGTAGTAAAGAAGTTGATCCTACTTGGAACTGCTGTCGTTCGAGCGCCAGTTTGTCATTCAAACTGGACAACTCCTGGTTGAGGGCGGCCAGCTCCTGCTCCTTGCCCTGCAACTTATCGTTGTAGGCCTGGATGCGTGCATGCATCTGGGCGCGTTCCGTGTTCACCTCCTGACGAAGCTCGCGCAGCTTAGCCTGAATGCCAATGGATGCCTCCTGTTCCTCAGCCAGCAACTTTTCCTTTTCCTCCAACTGGCGCTTGAGCTTCTGGCAGATGTCATCGGACCATTCCGAATGCGAAGCGGGCATATCCTGCTGCTTGTTTAGCAAGTAGTCGATGAGGATCTGGATCTCAGATCGGTTTAGCTCGGCTCGGGAAAACACGTTCATCAGAGCGTTAACGCCAATGGTCTGATTTTGGTGGTCGGCCAATTTGTCCAAAGCCTGAGCCAAGTCCTTGGCGGTAAGGGTTTCCTTCTGGTTTTGTTTCTTGTTTTGCTGCTGCTGCTTGGTTTTATTGTTGGCCTGGTTGTGCTGTGTTTTGGGCGAACCATTCTGCTGCTGCTGCTGTTGCTGTTGCTTGAGGATCTGCTTGGTCACAACGGGAGCCTCGGCTTCGGCAGCTGCTGGCTTCTCCTTTTTGGCCACGTTACCACCACCGTTCTTCTTCTGTGACTGCTGCTTATTGTTGTTGTCCTCCTTGCGCTCCTTTTGCTCCTGCTTCTTTAGTTCCACGACATCTTTAGGTACCTTGGTCTCAAAGTTATTTAAAGATGGTGTCTCTTCGGAAATGATTGGAGCCTTAATAGCCACAGTTTCGTTCTTGTTGACCAGAATTCCAGCGGTCTTGTTGTTGCCGCCGTTGCGCTTATCCTTCTTGCCCTTTTTGCCAGCAACCGATGGTTGGTTCTCCTTTTCGGCCACGCTACTGGGTCGGCGCTGCTCGCTCAAGATCTCTGCATCGGGCTCAAACTCAACATGCTGCTTGGATAGCCCAGGTTCCTCATCAGCAACCGATCCCTGGCCCTCCGACTGACCATCGGAGTAATCCTCGGGCTCCTCGGGTTCCGGTTCGTTGTTGGCATCCCGCTGCTGTTCCCGCTGGCGTTGCTTCTTCTCGCGCTTGAGTTCCTTCTTCTTAGGCTTCTTGGTTGCCGCTCCACCGGCCGCCTTGTAGAGATTGGCACTCAGGGCGCGCTTCTCAGCCACCACCTCCTCGAAAGTCTTGCGCCGGAAGATCTTGTTGATGAACAGGAACGAGAGCAGCGAGGCGCTGAACACACAACCGATGACGATCAGTATGTGGAAGTCCATATTTGCATATCTTTCCGGTTCAGCAGTGGTTTATTCTCAGGGATCTCCTTTGCGAAAACTGTTGACTAGATAAGAATACATTAATTAATACGTTGTCTAATTAATCAGAAAAGCCTGGAACACAGTCAAATGCGATTTATTTCAATTTCACAAAAATCAGGAAAATAAACAACCAGTTTTACGAATTATTTTGTTTTTAGGTTATCCCTGCACAATTTAATTTTCTTCTACAAGAAACAAAAAAAAAATAAGTAAATAGACCCAGACTGTCGATCCAGTCTAAATATTACAATAAAATCTGATATTATTAATCAACAGACCTAATTTCAATAAAAAGGGGAAACCCGTAATTATAGCCACGTAGTGTCTAGGTCTCTACTGAAAAACGCACCAACCAAGCAAAAAATAATCTCAAGCGTGGAAATGTTAGAAATGGTTTCTGGGGTCAGTCGTCTAAACTTTTGCTATCAAACAGAATTTAAGAATGTGGCTCTCTCTCAGAGCTCCACTGAAATTATCAGCTTTCGGCTTGCTAGCTAGCAGCACCAACTGATGACGTGGGGCTCAAAAATCGAAAAATGCCAAAGAAATGTCCATTTTACGGCAGATCAACGACACTACGTTCAAAAGCAATTATGCTATATAATCGACTTGTTTGAGTTGTACGTGCCTATCAGCTTACCGGCCGGAGAATGACACAAAAACCACTACAAACTCTCTTTTTGTATGACTAAATTGTTATTGCAATCGTTGTGTTTGCTTGACGTGATATTAATAAAACGGTCCGCAGTTGATAATTTTGTTGTTATTTGCTGGGTTGAGATAATATAATGCACTGTTGAATGGCTCAATATTCCTGGAATCCATATTAAACAGTGGACATCCGCTTGCCCAACTCGCAGAGCAAATGAATTTTAAATTTAGGCAGTGAGATCACTTGAATGAATTTGATTTGGTAAAGAAAGGCGATAAGAGAACACTGCTGGAATTAACGATTCCCACAAAGTACTGACCAAAAATGTATTCCGGAGGAAGATGAGATGGGAACACCAGAATAAAATTAGCTTATGAAGCAGCTGCTGTGCAGTCGCAGCCTTGAACGAAAGTTTCTGCACCCAAAGGTGTTGACGCAGATTAAAAAAACACACAAGACAAATCAAAAAAAAAAAGAAGAACAACAGTTTAAAATAACGCACAAAGTCAAGATTCTGACGCACACGTATGCAAATTTGTTGAATCTCTCACTGAAAAAAACTTTGCAATGGTAATCTTTTCCGTCAAACTCCGCGGTTCTCTTTGGCTAACACGATGCGAATGGCAAAATTCGAATGAAAAGATTCACGGTAGAGCTGGGCTCACAAATCGCGATCTCTCTTTGGCTCTCCCATTCTGTACACCTAAACAAATTTTATAATCGATTAGATTTTTTTTGCTTCGGATTGTTTCCATTAATTTACATTTATGAAAATAAAACCAAGAAAAACCTTTGTTTCTCAATCTTACGGTGACCTTGATCTATATAAGAAGTTCAAAATATGGATTATAATTTCTTAAAAAATCCTTACGCATCCAATACTGAACACTTTCTTGCACACCAACAATTTACGGGTTGTGTTTTGGCAGGTCTTTTAATAAGTTGTTTCGAACACGAATATTCTTTGTTTTAAGATCCAATGAAATAAAATTGAAAGTTCAACTGGCTCTTTTATTCGCCGTGTGCTATGCTTATTCTCTGTCAGTGGGCTCACCACCACTGTTTCTCTTTTTTCTCCCACCACGAACAGTTAGAACAGAACTTGAAATTTCGCTGGCTCCACGAGCTCTGTAGAAGAATTCACAAATTGCAAAAATTTCAATTCAAGGTTGTTGCTCTCTACGGCTGCGATATCTGGCAGGTCGGGTATTTCTTTTTTTTTATTTTTTACTTTTTATTCCGTTTGCTTTGCTTGCTCACGTCATGTTTCTGGCTAAAAGATTCTGACTGTGTTTCGGTTTTTATCCACATCGAAAATTGACAAAGGGCCTTTAAAGCAATGCGGTACGTGATATTGTGCAGAAAACTAATTACAAATGCAGCATGACTTCCAATAAAAATTTGAATTGTAGCAAAATATTATTTCATTATCTAAACTTTACTAAAACACAAAAAAACTTAAAGATTCAAAAAGAGTGTGTATGTATGTATATTGGAGATATATTTTTTTCTCTTATTAGTTATTTAGACAGAGTTTGGCTCATTTTGTTGGCCAGTGCAACTTTGAAAACTTTACTGTAACTTCTTGAGGAATTTACAACTCCCCTTCGACATTATTTACCCAACAATGTATTTTTGTTTGCCGATTTGCTTATGAAGCAGGCTTTCTTTTTCTGGGATCGGAATGGGTGAACTGTTCAAATATCAACGTGTATGTACATATTTGCGCTTCACAAAGTTCAATTAATATTTAATGACTATAAGAACGGGTTTCCGTCAAACAAATCGATGGCATTTAACGGAAAGTAAGTAGAGTAAGTCCGGACAGCGGATTCCGGGCGTAACACAGAGAAAGAAGAGGCAGAAGAGAGCCAAAAAGAGAAGCACAATAAAAACGCCGGTAAAGGTCATCAACCGGAAGAAAACCGCCCGTGTGTGAGTGACTTGCTAGCGTCTGGGGGGTGTATGTGTACGTTTGAGTGTGTGAAAGTCGAAATCTTTCTGCCAATTATCATTATGGTCATCTATAAATAATTATGTATTATGGTCGGGGAGCATGCAAAACACGCTGGCTGCTCGGCCTCGTTTCAACCAACTGACAAACGGACAAACTGGCATCGAACTGCACAGTTGGCCTAATTTTCCCGTTTTTCCTTCTATCTTTCTGTGCCGTTGTTTCGTCTACCCCTCTCACATAGCGTTCAATTAGCTGCCAGCCTGCCGTGCACTCACACATTCGCACTTGGTGGCACATGGAATTTCTCTCCTGTCGGTGAACACCGGTCAGAAATGAGAAACTGGCCTTTTTCAGGTTTATTGAAGCAGAATGTTTGTGGGTCAAGTATACGCCCAAGTACCGGCTTCCATTAAAGCTTTTTGACACCAAAATTGTGGGATTTGTGAAACTAAGTGAATATCATCGTTAATTGTCAACAACTATTGGTTTACAGGCATTACCTTAAGAAGAGTTTTATAAGCCGAAAGTTTCTGAAACTGAATCTAATAAGAAAATTTGTTACAATTGTATTGATAAGTCTTTGCATACTTTTTCAGTTTCGTTTAAATCAAATTCTATTTTACTTTAAATCATTTTTAAACAAATGTACACTTATTTGCACTTATTATAAGCCAGCATCACTGATAACGGTGCAAGTGCTTGTCTTACTCTCTGTGCCGCAACCAGCGAGAGCGTACTCGCAGTCATTCATTATTTTTCTTTCATTTATTCATAAATTCATTTTTTTAGTCTCTGCTATTTTCAGCGGCTCAAGTGTTTTAATTTTAGAAAGCATTGCTCCCTATTTTTCTATCTCCTGTAATATTTATGCAACATGCAACGTCGTTTTATTTTTTTCTGTGCGAAAGAGAGCGTGGCATATTTTTCTGTGTGTTCTTTTTATTTTTGCGTGGGAACGTCAAGTTCCAAGTTCGTTTCCCTAATTTTTGGTCCACAGATGGAAGGTTGTATTAAACCGGAGTGACTCACAAAGGCTATAAATAGGCAAATTGATATTTGTCTGAAGCTGACGGTTAATGATTATTGATTGCTGACGTATACAACATTTGTTGATTATCAATTGGTTTTCCCCGATGACAAAGAACGTTTTTGAGTCTATGATTTATTGGACTGCACAAGCCGCTCTCTTTCGCTGCTCCCCCGCTCTCATTTCAAGTCTCCCCACCCCTCTCTTAAACTCTCTTTCCTGTGATAAGCCCGCATATGTGTGTGTGGTGAGGTCAGCGCATCAATTTTGCTCACTTCTTGTCTTTTTCTTTGATAAAATCGCTAAATAACGAAGAAGAGAAGGACAAGTGGGGTGGCGGGGAGACGGCCAGACGACGGCGCCCGAGATTTTTGGCAAATCAAATAAGTCAGCTGTCCCTTTTGCTCATAATTAAGCAATAAGAAGCAGTGAAAGTATGTCGGCCGCTAATTGGCAGCTTGAATAATTGCACACCGATAAATAGTCGTGGCTTCCTTTTTCCTCTCAAGACAAAAGGGCGTCGCACTGCACTTGCACACATACACTGCTCTCCCTTTCTTTCTACCTGTCTCTCTAACGGTTTTTCTGCCGATTTTAAGCACTTGCAACGTCAACAATTTTCACAACATTTCACATTTACAATGCAGTCTATCTTTTTTCCTTTTTTTTTGCTGGAAACGCATCCGCCATTTGCAAGCCACTTGTGTATGTGTGTGCCGGAGTATGTCCCTGTGTGTGTAGCGTTGTCGCGTCCACAGTTTTTCATAACATTTTTGAGCCTTCTGCGGTTTTAACACACTTTTCCTTACTTGCAACTAGGGTTTAGACTTCTCTCAACTTTCGACTTTTCAGCGACTTACTTTAGTGGTTTAGTGGGAAAATTGAAACATTTACAAACAGAGTGACCGTTGCGAATAGAGCAGTAAAATATCAAAATATCGACATATCGACGATACTAAAAATGTTATCAAGATATTTTTTGCATATCGATAGTATTTTGAAATGTATTTAAGTGCTTTTTACTAAACGTGAAATACTTTTTGAAAATGGAAATGTTTATGATTTAAAGAATCGACTAAGCAATAACCCGGTTCTCAGTTATGGAAGTTGAAAAAGATCTTAAAACCGAACTTTTAAGGCTGAATCCTCAAAATCCTTTTTTAAAAATTAATGATGTTCTGAACGCAAAACCGATGTGCCTACAGTCGCTGTTTTTCACGAAATGGTCACATCGATAAACCCTCTGCTTAAACATTGACTGGTTTGTTTGTTTTTTTTCTCATAATATATAGTTTTTCCCGGTTTTCGTGACAAACATGGCCTCGTTTGGAAAGTCTATAGTGCTCCTATTGTCATTAGCCACCTTTGCGTACTCCTTGTACGTTGTGGGACGCCTCATGCTGTTTCTCTCGACACCCCGCTCCATTTCGAGGGCGCACACCTGGATTTTCAATTTACTGGACAACAAGTCCCGTTTGGAGACCGCCTATGGGCCCGTGGTGTTTGACACACTCTACCTGTCGGGATTCATCTTCCAGCACAGCTTCCTTAAGTCAGCATTGGTCAAGAAACTTTTGGCTAACTTGGGTTTGTCGGGGGCAGAGCGTACTATTTATAGCCTGACGTCATCAATTTGTTTACATGTTTGTATACCAATGAAAAAAACGAAAATAGCTCATTACTTTATCTGTGGATATTTCAGTATTTGATCCTGAATTGGCTACCTGCACAGTCAATTGTACTATGGCAAATTGACGTTGACGAGAGTGCTCCTCTGTGGTGGACCTTTGTGATTACACACGGATTATGTTGGGTTGTGATCTTTGGTGGCAGTTTGGTAATGGATCTCCCAGAGCTGTTGGGCGTGAAGCAGGCCTACTACGATCTTAAGGCCTATAGACCGCCCATCAGTTACAAGTCCGCGGAATTGCGCAATCTGTATGCCCATGTGAGACATCCTTCGTTTGTGGGCCTGACTGTCATTTTGTTCGCCACCAACGTAATGAGCCTGGATCGACTAGTAATGGCGCTGCTCCTGACCACCTATATGTACCTGGCCTGGTCAACGGATCACAAGGATGTGGCCTACCAGAAGGTACAACTGCAGCGAAAGAAGTTCGAACTAAAGGCTCAGTAAACTTAATCTCTATGTATATTCTCACTAAGATTTAATTGTAGTTTGACACGAGCTTGTATTAAATAAGATTTTACTAACAGTTTTATGAAAAACGCATTTTTTAATATATTAAAGAGCCACAAAAAAGTGGGAATTGCAGAAAATTTAAATCTATTGTCGGTTACCACAAAAACGGTTGATAAATTTTTATTTGCATATGAAATAATTGAACCGCTTGAAGTTCTTTCTTCTCCTCAACGCTATACATGTTGAATACCTCTAAGATTGGTTTTATACAAAAACTAACTCATTCTGATTACTGAAGGGTCAAAAGGCTGTCCTTTAAATGGTGATCCTTCAGCGTCCCAAGCAGTTCTCAAACGATCAAGGGTTTTTACATTTTCGGGGTTCGTTGTCTGAAATTCATTTTGCTCCCTATCTAAGGCCATTTGTTGTACCCTTAGTTTTTCAATGGTGGCTTGGGTTTCCTCCGGTAAATCACCTAAATACCGCTCGCACTCAATTTTTTTGGGGTCTATTTCTGGATCCCCGTCAAAAAGTCGGTCCCACCAGAGCTCTTTAAATTTATCTGCAGAGTGACATACAAAGATTAAATTTAATTCTTTGGCTATTTGTAGATTAAGTAACTTACCACAACTTATTAGCAATCGGTTCTGATCAATAGTCCACACCGCCTCGTTGTGTTTGATTCGTTGGCTGAGATTTCCTTCGACTATTATAATCTCTGGGTTTAGTTTGCTGCTCACTTTAATGTATTGCGCTTTTATTATTATTATGAGGCTTTTAGCTGCTTGCAGACCCTCTGGAAGGCCAATGTGTACCTCCATATCTTTGAGGGTCTGCGACCAGCAATGGTTTTCAAAAACAGCTCCATTTTTGTAGTCGCTGGGGGAGAATTTGGTCTCTTCCCTGGGTTTTTGCGATGTGGGATTCTTGCTTGAGCTCTCTACTTCGTTTTGAACGGAATTTTCACTATCTAGAATAATTTCTTCGATGGCAGGTGGAGCAGTTTCACCATCATCTTCTAGAGCACCACCCTCAGCGGTCATTGTTTGCAGGCAGCAATCAGGATCGTAGCGTTGCATGGCACCATATAGAATCTGATCCCTGACACCCTTGGGGAAGCCTATTTTATCTGATTCATTGCGTTTTGTGTGATAAAAATCGGTGCTGAAACAAAACAGTTCCCTTTTTTAAAAGTACAGCGGCAGATTTTTTTGATAATAGTTTTTACTTGCGCCTCAGAAACCCGAAAATGGAGTCCAGGAATCCAGTAATAGTCTTTCGATCCTGCAGAATCTCCATAAGCATAGCGTCATTTCGCTGAAAGTCCATTTTTGCAAAAGCGAAAATAAATAAATAGATTCAACTCGTTTTAAAAGTTATCAGCTGTTAATCGATAACAAAAAACCACAAGTAGTTGCCATAATTATTGAGGAGCTCAATTTATTTTGAAGCTATAAAAGGGATATTCTACTTTAAAGACAGCTAAGTTTTCAATTTTAAAGATGTCATATATATTTTAAATGTATTCTTGTCAAACAATATTTTAATAAAGACAAAACAGGTTGGCAGTGCCTAGTCAAAATACGATATCGATAACAAAAGTGCTGTTTTTTGCAAATTGTAAAATCTTTTAAAATTATTATTCGAAATGATCGGTAGATTGTCTTTTTGGTACAAGGACAACGTTTCGAACCAAGTTGATTGTTTGGCCTGTCGTTTGGTGAGTGGGTTCGGTCTCCTTGGAATCGGAGCATTTCTGCTAGCGCAATCGAAGACGCGTCCAAAATTGGAGAGTTACACCATGAAGAGCTTAGCAGCAGGTAAGCTTTAGTTGACATCAATAATCCGGTTTTCTATAAACCTCCTTCCTCCGCAGCCGTTGGCTTCCTGGGCGTGGCCCGCCTGGCAGATGCAAATTTCCTGAAGGCCACCGCGGAGGAACCGAAGGAAGTGGAAACCAAGACTTTAAAGCCTACCGGTGAACACCAGTTTTTCGCCAGGCGTTAAATCAACTCATTTTTTTTGTTTATCATTAACTCATTAGCTATATAAACTTGTATGTATTTTCTGACAAATTGTTGACGATTTATTTTGTATATTTGAGCTTGCTAATAATCCTCCTTAAACCACTAAAAAGGAACTAAGGTTTGTTGGATTTTGGATTATTTAAATATGCCTACATTTGGTTGACTATTGGCGTTTAATTCTCGTTAATAAATAATTAATGAATAAGATAAAAAAAAAAGTCAAATGTTCGTGTAGGCCTATATCGATCGTGAAATTTTCAAAATTGCACCTGTACTACGTTGTTTATGACAATCTTAAATGTATTTTTTTTTTATAATTGTAAACTATTTTTTTTGAAGCTCTTATAATTCTTCTCTTGTTCTTTGACTCTTGTTGATCTTATGATTTTTTTACTGATTTGGTGAATGCAAAGTAACAAGGCAAAGTTCTTGAGTAGAATTTCATTAACAATTGTTTTCTTCCGTGTTTAAACTCCCTAGCGGCCCACCTTGCCCAACTTAGTATCAGTCTTAGGATTGGCCGTAATGTTTTGCACCGCTACAATCGTCTCGTTGATGTGTGTCTGAAGCTGGCGAAGACTCTGAATCTGGAGAAGGCGCAGAATGCGCATGGGCAGATCCAGGGCAGGATCGTTGGATGAGACCACGTCGTTTCCCTTGTCGAAGGGAAAGGGTGTACCCGCAATTGGCTTCCGTCCTTTGGCGGCGGGTGAAAGGCGTTCGTGGACAACGCGGGCGACCGCCTCCAGTTGTAAAAGGTGATTTGGATGGTGCGGAACATTCAGTTTGCTCGCCAGCAGCCGTACTCCATCAACGAACGCCTTGTCCTGCACTGTTGATAGAACGCAGGTTTATTATGTTTGAGTTTGTTTGTTTTAAAGAAAATTAGATTTCACAGGTTTTCTTTAAATAAAATCCTTTAAAGCTCACCATTAATCTTTCCGTCGAAAATCGACACCACTTTCTGGCTCGTCTGTTTGCCATTACTTTGGGGTGGACCCTGTTTGCTGTTAATCGCACTAAACTGAGCGGGATCATCCAGGAACTCGAGGCGCACGGCGTGACTGAGAATCCAGGCCAGCTGCTCTTGTTGGGTTTCCAAGGGAGGCATGTTAAGGTCCGCACAGTATTTTAGGTACCCCTCCTCCCACATTGTGGGATTGTCTATGTTGCGCAGCTTTTCGCGATCCTCAATGGTGTAAAGTCGGATTTTCTGATCCTCCACCCAAAGGATTGTACTGGCGAATTCCTTGCGGTCTGCGTGGGTGGAGTTTAAGTTGAATAGCACAATGTAAGACAAAAAAATACACTCACCGCTCAGCGCCACATCGCTGGGAGTTGGATGACCCAGAGCTTCCAGTTTCAGCTTGAGCATGGTGTTCTGTCAGAATCTTTTAATACAAGATTGGGTGAATAGACGTCTAAACCAATAAAGTAATTGCGACTACACCGGCGATGTTCTTACGGTCGTATGCAAGAGATGAAACAAATATGTACTAAAATATCGATTTTTACCGACACAAAAAAAATCGCTCTGCCAACCTATATGGTTCTAAATTTTTAGCTACTTTCTCAGGCTTGGATTTTAAAATTTATAAATTTATAAAAAGGAAAAATGAAAGGCAGAAAATTTATTTTGCTTGGGCGAAGGCGTATTACAGTAGACGTGTATCTACTAAATCCATTTTAGATCTCGCTGGTTAGACCAATATTTTTTTCCGAAAATTCAACTATAGCTAGGCAATATACGCAAAGCTGAATAATAAAATTTAACATATCTTTTGATTTAAACTTGAATTATTATTAACACCAACCAAAAATCTTTTCTATTTAAATATGATTAAAATTATATTACAAATGGGTTTAAACATTAAACTACCAGGTAAGATGGAATTTCGTTTTAGGATTAGTGTCAGCTGCTTCACAAAATAGAGTAAACCCATAAACTTTTCAAAAAGATTTTGGTAAAAGTACGTTATAAAAAAATATTTCTTTCCAAAACTTTAATAGAGGACATTTTTAAAATTCACATCCAGGTTTCCCGTGTCTTGGATTCGTCCAAAAACCTATTTAATCCCTGCAATCCAAAAAACATTCACCTAAACAAAAAAAAAATAAGAACAACCGGCAGTGTTCTCGTTTTACCAACTATGTTGCATTACGAAAAGGCTTTGGAGAAGATCTCTCATAAGGCAGTAAAAACTTATCTATAAAATACACCGCCAAACTATCTTAAATACAAACCAAGTCAGTCTTGATGAAACTGATTCCAATGTTTCCATTCTCCAGGACAAAGACAACGGCAGTATTGTATATCATATATGTATGTATATTAATTAAATAATTAAATTAAGTTTGAGGGACATACATTTACATCCTAGCAAATTATAGACTAATAACTACACGTTATATATCGAGATGCTGAGTTATAATATTTGTTTGCGAACAACTACACGAATACACGTATCAACAGCAGCACTTTTTTATTATTTTTTTCGATCTCTTGTGTTCCTCTGGATCTCAGCAATCGCCCAGTACGGAGTACAGGAGGATTACTAGAGCTAGAGCTAAAATCAAGAGACAGACAGTTCATGTTTGATCTCTCTTACGTAGCACGTTTATTATATGTGAGAAAGTTTAGTATACAAATTGGTGCACCCACCCATAATTGGTTTTGTTTTTATGGTTTATTGGTACTCTAACGCCAAGCTTATTCGGAGTGGGTGTGTGTTATTAGTCGTTTTTGCGTGCTTCTCTACAGCTTTAGTTCAATTTGCTTCGCTTCGCTTTGTGTTTTATAGCATTTTATGGTTGTGTTCTGTTTTGTTTTCTTGGTTTTATTTATTTAATATTTTAAATTAAGATTAAGATAAAACCCTAATTATTTATCTTGTCATTTACGCCTTAAGTAAGTTCGATATAAAATAAAATGAAGCAGCAGCACTTCCAGCAAATAATACAGTTAACATAAAAATTACAGCATTGGGTTGTTCCATTTTATCGTTTTTCAATTTTATGTTTTATATGCAGTATGTATGTATATGTTATGTATACTTTTTATATATTTATATCACCTAATTTGATTTTAATTTAAATTGTTTTGTTTGTTTGCCTTCAATTGTCGGTTTGTTTGTTTCGCTTAATTTCGTTTCGATTCGCAGCCGAGTTATGCGATTAAAACTAAGGAATTGGAATTTTTGCAGATCATCCACACAACATACACATAAACATAATACGAAATGCAGTGCTGCCACTTTCATGTGCCTTGTAACATTGCGTAAAAAAACAGAAATACAGTGAAATTTACATAATAGTTAAGTATGTACAATGGTTTTAATCATCTCCTATCCTCCTTAAATTTTCTGCGTTGCCCTAGTCCACATAAAATCCATTTAACTGCAATACATTGTGTTTCGGGATCCCATACAGTGTTGTTTTGGGTTTCGGTAATTCATTCTTTACGCTTTTGCTGTTCAGTTTGTTCATCAGTTAATGAGTTCCTATGCTGCACATTGTGGTAATATTTAGGTATTAGTAAGTGGTAGAATTTAAAAACTATTCTCTATGTATTTATATATCAATGTCTATATGTACGTATGTATGCATTCATCCCTTTTACATACACAATTCATTCTCATGTAATTAAATGTTAAATTATGCATTTATTTATATATATATTTAATATACGATAAACCATAGCGTGCGTATGCATATGTATGTGTTAGTTATTTCTCGATTCTCGTCCCTTCATCTTTATTAAATTTAATACAATAAGTATGCTGTGTGCTTAAATTTCGCTCTCTTCTGATCGATTCCTTCCGCATTATGCTCGTCTCAATAATAATCCCCGATCGCATCGCCCGATCGGTCTGCATAATTTTTTTCTGTTCCGGTTTTTCGCCCTGAACATACAGATTTCGTTTCGTACTAACATAATTCTTTTGCTGCTGCAATTGCGTAATGCTTAGGGTTTAGTTATCATATTTACTATTTTTAGAGTTGAGTGAAAAAATATACAGTTGTTATTGTATTGACTGTTACAATGATGGAAAGGTGAGTCATTCCATCCGCATCTGCATCTGCTGCTGATTTCCCCATTCGAACGTAGCCGTGGAGCTTGGACGCCGCCTGTTCCCCCGCCGTAACTCGCTTAAGTAAATTTACATGCCTCCTCTTCCTCCTCTCCAACGATTCCGGGATCACCTTCTCCTGCAGTGGCACATCGGGATCTGCTCGTGGGTCCGCTGTTCCGCCATCCAACTCCGGCTCAGTCGACTGCCCCTCGGGGGGTTCGTGGCCAGTAGTAGGACGCTGGCATCATTGTCGTATACTACGCAACGGCTGTCGTTGTTCCTGCATTGGTTGGCGGCGGTGCAGCTGGCTGGGCCACCGCCGCACCGGCGGACACACCGGCCGACGACGCGGCGGAAGGGGCCACCGAAGCCGCCGCTGCCGCCGCCGCAGCTGCTGCTGCCGCTGCACTGGCGTTGCTCAAAGCCGCAGCAGCGGCCGCCGCTGCAGCCGCCTTGCTCACCTGCTGCTGATCGCTGGCCATCGATGCTGCTGCTGCTGCTGCTACTGCTGCGGATGTTGCTCCCGCTGGCGCCGATGCGGATGTGGCTGCCGTCATTGTGGATTGGCTGCTGATCGCACTGCTGCTGTGGCTGCTGTTGGTGGTGCTGTTGTTCGTCTGGTTGCTGCTGGCCGTGCCGCAGCTGTTGCTGTTGGTGCTGCTGTTGCTCACGTCGTTGAACGTCGCTGCCGGCGGCAGTTGCTGGCTGCTGTTGCTGTTCTCATCGTTGACCACCGTCGAGTTGGATGCCGCCGAGGCAGAAGGTTTCGCCTCAGCGGAACTCGTTTCCGCCGACGACGATTCCGCCTTCACTGACGCACTTCCTCCAGCGCTGGGAGCTTGCTTCTCCGCCGCACCAGGACGCAGCTGTTGTTGCTGGCGCTGCTGCAGCAGCCGGAACTCCACCGAGTGTATGGGTCCTGTTCCGCGCGACACTTGATAGAGCACCCGCGAGATAATCAAAGCCACCTGCTGGTCCAAAATGTGCGACATTACCAGTCCAAGCAAACGTTGCTCCTGCTGCATGAACAGCGATCGGTTGTCCGGATGTTTGGCCAAGTGGAGCAGGGTGCCGGCCGCTCGCCGCAGCATGTCCAGGCTGGTGCCCATCGAGTCGGGGTTCTCGCGCAGGTAGTTGATCCCATGCTGATTGGCCACGCCCAGCGCCGTCTGCTCGGCCTGTTCGATGAAGGCCACCAGGTAGGAGATGCACGGCGACTGCAGCGCCACAGTGCGCGCCATGGCGCTATCGGCGGCAGCCAGATAGTGCAGCAGATTCACGGAAAACTCGCGCAGCACCTGATCCTCGTTGCGGCACAGATGCCGTGTGAGCACGGCACAGAGCTTCTCCAGTCGCGAGAACGGCGGAGTGGCGATGACCAGGTCCACGTTGGCATCGGTTACGCACAGCTTGCAGAGCGCCTCGAGCGCCAGGCGCTGTGGCGAGAGCGCCGTGTTGGGTCCGCACGAGGGAAACGGATCCTGGCCGTGGGCACTCGGGCAGACGGCCCAGTGCAGCAGTCCATCGATCAGCGGGCGGGCGATGAGCTCATCGTAGCGCGACAGCTCCAAGTGACCGGCTATGTTGGCCATGGCGACCAGCATGTTCTCCCGTATGGTGATCAGGTAGTCCCACCACCATTCGCGTTCTCCCTGCAGCGAACTGCAGGAGTCACTGAAGTCGGTGTCCTCCTCGCGGTCGTAATTTCGGGTCTTTGGCGTGCGCCGCAGGTGTTCGTGGTTCAGCAGGAGCAGGCGTCCCAGCACCGCCAGGAACCTGGTGGACTTGGCCAGCACGGTCTCGTTGCCGGGCACAAAGGTCAGGTTGCGGAAGATGTTGGACAGGGCGATGCAGCGCCGCGCCAACGAGTCTTGGCTTTCGTTGACCAGGTGGAGCGACGCCTCGTCGCGCGTGTAGCACTCATCCTCGAAGCTGGAGTCGCGCCGGCGCTGCAGCACCTGTGCCACATCCTTGGCCGTCGTCCGGGGATCGAAGCCGGCGGGAGTTGAGGAGGAGGAGGAGCAGGGTGCCACGCCATTGGTGAGCCGTTGCGGAGGTGCCTCGATGTCCATGTCGATGGGACGACAATCGCTGTCCGCAGTGCCTGGTTCCTTCTTAACCTCGACGCTCGGCTGGGCGAACTCCTCGCTGGACAGCTTGGATTTCTTGCCCTCGGCGGTGGCGCCACTGCTGCTGCTGCCACCGCTGACCAGTCGCCGCTTCTTGTTGAACGGCTGCTCCTCCGAGCTGTTCTCCTCCTGCTTTATTTCCGGCTGCTTCCTGGCCGTGGTCGCCACTCCAGTCCGCGTTTTTCCCTTCTTGTCGGAGCGGACGTAGCGTGCAAATGGAATGTTTACAATCTCCGACTTGAATACGTCGATGATGCCGTCCAGAGGATCCGGTTCGGTGAATCCGTACGTCCAGGCGTCGCTGCCCACGGGCTCCAGCTGTTCGTACAGGCGGTTCGTGTCGATGTCCCACGCCTTTTGGCGCTCGTCCACAAAGATGTCGTGATCGGCGGCCTGGATGCGCACTGGCACACCCTTTCGCGTGACCATCGTGTAGTTGGGCGTGAAGGAGAGCAGCAGCGAACGCTCCTCGGGATTGGGCTGCACGCGCACCTGTCCCAGATCGATGCCCTCGTCGGCGTCCTCCGAGTCGCTGCCGTTGTTGGCGCCACCCTTGCCACCGCGGTCCATGTTCTCGTAGTGCCGCCGTCGGTTGTAGCTGCTGATGCTGCGCACGCATCGCGACTGCCGATTGCTCGATTGCAGCTTCTCGCACATCACAGTTCCGCTGTCCGCGTCGTCGTCGTTGTTCGCCCCATCCTCCGCCAGGGACGAGGACTGCTCCTCGCCATCCCGTTCGTCGAACATCTCGGCGAGATTCTTCTGGAAGTGCTCCAGCAGCAAAGTGAGCAGGCCGGGCAGATTCGAAATGCCAAAGAACTGCACCGTTGAATCGTCGAACAGCAGCACATTGAGCACGTCCAGCGCCCAGGTGCATTCGGTTAGCAGACCGGATCGCATGGCCATGAATATCCGCCACGGATCCACGGGGCAAACATCGGCTTTGGTGAGCCGTTTTCTTCGGTACAACACCGGTGTGGTGGACTCCACGCTGTCGTGCGGAAAGATGAGCTCTTTCTTCACCAGTTGGGCACCGCTACCGGGCATTCCCGGTGGACCGTAGCCACCGCCGGGAGCTGTCTGGTTCGGCGGCATTTGGTGCTGATGCGGGTGCTGCGGATGCTGATGAGGATGGGGGTGCTGATGCTGCGGCGGCTGCTGCTGCAACGGCTGTTGCTGCATCACCTGGCCGGGCATCGGCGGCTGCTTCTGGGCCATCATGCCGCTCGGTGGCACCTGGCCCACCTGCTGACCCACTCCCTGCGACGGCGGCGGTGGCATGGCATATGGGGGCTTCACCATTCCACCGGGTCCAACTTGTGGCAATCCGGGCGATGGAACGCCTCCATGGGTAGTCTGCTGCGGCGGTGGTTGCTGCACACCGCCCGGTTGCTGCGACTGTTGCTGCTGCGGCGGCATTCCGGGCATCCTCTGCTGTTGGCCCGGTCCCGACGGCGGACGAAGTGGCGATCCGGGTGGTCCCGGCTGCGTCGCCTGTCCGGCGTTCATCTGCGCCCACTGCGGCGGTGCCTGGGGCGGCTGTTGTCCCGGTGGTCCGGGCACCTGCTGGTACGGCGTCTGCTGCTGTTGCTGTTGTGGCTGCTGCTGCTGTTGCTGCGGCGGCGGCGGAGGACCTTGCTGCGGCGGATAGCGATGCTGATCCCACTGGGCCACTCCTGCCGGCTGCTGCAGTGGCGGTCCGTGAGGTGCGCCTGGCGGAGGCGCCGCTCCGCGTGGCGGAGCACTTCCCCAGCTTTGCGGAGCAGGCGACGTGGGGTATTGTGGCCGATACTGCTGGCTACCGCCTTGCCAAGCACCTGGTTTGTAGGTAAGAAGAGAGAAATTAGCCAACTATTTAACTGAAGACTTTCGGTAGTAGTTATTACCATAAATCTGAGGTCTTGCATTGTAGCCTGGATACGGTTGTGAGTCTTTGATGAAATCGGGATGTCTACGTGGCTGTGGACTCTGCAACAAAGATTACATATTTACTTTAAATACTGCTCAAACTATTGCTAGTTATTACATTTAAACTAAGCTGTTAAATGAAGCACTTACTTGATCTGGTGGTGGTTGATAATAGTCCTGCTGGGTGGGCCTGCCCGTGGGATAGGCGCTGCTGGGCGGTGCTCCTGGAGCTCCGCTGGTCGGCGGTCCGCCGGCAACCGTTTGCGCCGGCGGCTGCGGTCCGCCCGGCGGTGGCTGGCTGTAGGGCCGACTGCCGTAGGGTCCGTACTGATTAGCACCAGTGGGAGGACTATGGAAAAGAGTAGAGAACAAAAGAATGTTAGTTAATACACTCAGATAAATCTCATATTCCCGTGCTCAGTCCAGAGAGTTGATATCGGGAAGCTACAGTACAGAGTGTTGGCTGTTGGTGGATGTGTTCGTGGGGGTCTGGATGTGGTGTCGTTGTTGTGTTCGAGGGACTGATGTGGGGTAATTGGGGTGCACTCACGCTTCCCCCTCCGGCCCGTAGGGAGGGTACATGTTGCGGTTCTGCGGCGGATATTGTCCTGGTCCCTGTCCGAATGGCTGGCCGGGCGGCCCAGTTGCGTTGTACTGATCGCTGGAGCCGTATTGCCCATAAGCTCCCGGCTGCGATGGATAGGGTGAGCCTGAAAGTATTGTGCACAAAAAAAGTTAAATGATAAGTACGATTCCACTTAAATTCAAATTAGAAACAGAACATTGCTTGCTCAACGGAAATATTAAAACGATTGCGAATGGACGGCCTTTAAAATGGAAGCCATCCGCCTGAAACTAGGAAATTCGAAAGTAAAATGCATATACAATTTAAAAGAGTACAAAACAAAACCAAAATAAATAAATGAATTTAGATTTGTAATTTGGAAATGTAATTAAAATGTAAAACCAATATTATAAAGTTTCAACAACAAAAAATCTGAAATTATAATAATTATTACAAGTAGCTGAAAGTCTTTTTAAATACGATAGCCAAAAAGTAAGGTGTGTTAGTAGCTTATGCTAAACGTGTTAATTGCATTATATACCAGCCAAGCAGTCATTACAAACTAGTTAGAATCACAGTCAATAGCCAAACTTAATCGAAGTAGTAAAGCAACAGAAAGACAAACAGAACAAAAGGATCGAAATCGATGAGACATGAAGGGAAAAACGTGAAAGTAAGATAAAGAAAGAGATGAGGGAGCAAAATAAAAGATGAGTATACCTGGCGTTCTAGACACAGGCGTTGGGTAGCCGGAGCCACCCGGCGGATAAGGTGCTCCGGCGGCTGGGCGCACATGCTGCTGAGGCGACGGCGGCGGCACCGGACCAGGCCCATGTTGCTGTGGTGCTGGTGGTGGCCCCCCGCCCACCGGCGGTGGTGGCTGCTGCCCCTGCTGCTGCTGTTGCTGCTGCTGCTGAGCCGGCGGCGGTGGACCACCCGGATGCTGTGGATGCTGCTGCTGCTGTTGCTGGCCAACCGCCTGTTGGGCTGACGAGTGCGGTGAATGGGGTGGCGGCGGCGGTGGATGGTTTTGTGGGCCACCGCCAACAGCAGTAACAGCAGCTCCAGCACCAACGGGACCAGCACCTGGACCTGGACCTGGGCCAGGACCAGGACCCTGACCAGGACCAGGACCGGCTGCAGAGCCGGGACCAGCGGCAGCAATGGGATCCTCGAAGGGATTGCTCACGCTTATATTATCGCCGGCGGCAACAGCGGCGGCGGCTGCGCCTGAGGGGCGGGCAAGCGGCCGTATGGATGATTTGGTTTGGATGAATCGAAATGAATGAGTCAATGAATCACACAAATGAATTTTTGTTTGTTTGTTGTTGTTTTTGGTGGTGGTGGTGGAGATACATGGAAGCATCGTTGTTGTGATGGTGGTTTGGTGGTTTGTGGTGGTGGTGGAGTTATATATTTTAGTAGTGCGCCCACACAAACGTTACAAAACATAAAAATGAATAAACAAAATACACACATCAAATTAATAATGATCGATAAACATAAAAGTGTAAAGTCGTATACTTAAAAACACGTATATATATGTACAGATTTTGGATATTAGGTGAGATAGGTTTTAGAAGAAGCATATCATCTATCAGATAACAATTTAGCAGTAAACAAAAACAAATATACCAAAACAAAGTAGTTACCATAAGAAATAATTAAAATCAATTCAGAGTGGCAAGATCTAGAGAATTTTTATAAAAACAGTAAGAATCGATAACCCTACATAATACTTTTCAGATTTAATGGCAAAAGAAAAAATATATCTTTTAAATTCACTTTTTAAACGAAACCATACTATTTTACATGGATATGTATGACACTAATGACAAATGTCACCACTTCCACGATTTCTACTGTTTTGTAATCAAATGCAATTGATCTAATGGCACTCTGTGAAATCGTACATTGATTCAAGGAACAATTCAACTGATTCTTACCGGGATGAGGAGTCTGCGGGTTGTTCTGGGAGGGCGGACGCTGCATCTGGCCTGCGGCCGCATAATCCGGCTGCGGCCCGCTGGCTCCGGGATACGGACTGCCGCCCGGATAGCCGGGGTAGCCGTCTATCGCCGCATTCGGAGCAGATCCTGGTGGAGCCGGGAATGAGTCCTGCGAGTTCGACGATCCTGTGGAGTTCGTAGTACCAGCATCCAAATGACCACCACCGATTGGTTGCAAATTTTCGGTAGATTCGTTTTTATTTCGTTCGTTGTCGTTTGAGGATTGAACGAGGAAAGAGCGGTGAAAAACATTTTCAAATCGGGGATTGCGGCAAATGAAACGAAATAAAAACGGGAGAAAATTTAAATTAAGCATCGAATGTTGTGGCGAAGGAAAGAGGATGTCGTCAAGCACACATTGCACTTGGTAAACACTTACCTGGCGAAGGAACCGACGCAGCCTTGGCCGTCTTCTTCTTGCTGCCCGCCTCCACCTGCTGGATTATGGGCAGGGGATCGATGTCACCGCGGTCAAAGTGGCACTCGAAGGTCAGCAGATTCTTGGTGTAGTGCTTCCGCAGCGTGTAGGCCGCACTGCTACTCGCACCGATGCCCAGAAGTCCGGCAATGTCCTTCCAGGTCTTGCTCTTGGTCACCTGTCGGAACGAGAGAATTACAGCGATTTTAGTCAAGGGCCAAAGCAGCGACTCCAAAGTTCATGACGCAAGTGTCGATCGAAAAAAGAGAATCAAAGGTTGCGAGCACAAACAGATTTAGAGTGGATGCATTTAGCAAGTGGCAGGAGCAAACATTCTAAGGAAAACGATAAACTACGTACAAAAATTGGGAAAAATAGGATGGGATTAGGGGACTACAAAAGTGAGCTCCATAAAAGCTCAAATTAAAACCAATCATTAAACAAAAAACCAAGAAAAAATGTCAGGAAAATTGTTAAAATAAAAGCATGAATCAGATATAAAAAAGATTTGTTAAAATTTTGATATAAATATCACCAATTTAATTGATTAAAAAAAAGAAATGCCAAACACGAATTGCAAGCAGAGGAAAATTAGAGCAATCAATAGTTAAACTCTCAATAATTAGAGTGGTTTGTGGGTGCTTTTGATGAGTTTGGTTTCAAGTTGTGGCTACTACTAAACTTCTATTAAAATAAAAAAAAAACCGAAAACATTGGAATTAAATTGTATTACTAAGATATAAATGAAAACCTTTTTGGAAAAGGTCGGAAAAAGAAATCTGACAGCATGCCTGGCAAATATTATAGTATCTGAGATCAAAATACCAAGATGTGCTTGGATTCGGCTTAGAGCATGCAATCTAGGGAAAACCAAGGCTGTACAACGATTGCTTTTGCTTTTTCCTAAGGAAGGCTTGACCCGCGGTAAGCTAAGCTATACTCAGGGTGGAGCTACTATTTGGACACATGGATCGGAGGCTCGAGCTGGGTCAAAAGGTTCGTACAAAAGTAGCTGGGTGGCTTGACTTTAGTTTGCTGTTTACTGTTGCCGAATCACAATATTGATTTGTGTCTATATATATGTGGATATTGCTTTGATTTGGATTTGGTTTCGGTTTGGTTTTTGGTTCGTGTTAACTACGTTGGTGGTGTTTTGGTTTTGGTTTGGTTGATTTGGTTTGGTTTGGTTTTGCTAGTAGTAAATCTAAAAAGAAGTTAGTAAAAGGAGTTACTACGGCACCTTGCATACCTCGACGAATCCGCCACGTTCTTTTACATAAATATATAACCTATATAAATCGAGTGGCTGTTTTGAGATGGTTGGGCAGGCGGTGATCGGCGTGCGCCGTTCCTCCATGAACGCCCGCAGCTTGTCCAGCCAGCCGCGCCGGTCCGGATTGTCATCCATCTCGTACAGCTTGCACAGCGAGTCCGACTTCTTGGTCGTGGTAATTGTGCTGCGGAATGGCTCCTGCGGCACGGGAACATGGTTGAACACCTGCTGTTTAGGCAAAAAATTCAAGATTACTAACACGTTTCAGATTGAATAGGCAATTGCTATACTTACCGGGCTTCCAGCCGGACGTGGCCAGTTGGGCGGTGAACTCATGTCGTACTCCTCGCCACCGGGACCACCGGCGCCTGGGTGCATCACAACCGGATGGGGCGACGTGCTCGGCGGGGCTAAGTGACTTTGGCTATAGGGATCATTCTTGCGCGACTTTGGTGTGGTGCACTGTGGATCTTCGCCGGATGCTGGTTTACGCAAAAAAAGAACTTAAGTCAGGAATTTCTTTATGGTATATATTTCGCTCTTCTACTCACCCGCTGATGCATTTGACAGAGTGCTCTGCTGACTGACTTCGTCCATGGGCGTGCCATCGGGTCCGGTGGTGACCACCGCAGTGACCGCATGCATTCCCGCGGCACCAGTCGGCCCTGACGAGCTGATCCCGTTGTCCTGTGATATATGCTCCGGGCCGCTGCCTTCCGGTCCTCCAGCGCCGCCGGCTCCTTGTCCCTGCCCCTGTGGCTGGCCGGGCTGGAGCATTTGCGACTGTGGCGGCGTGCTGGTGGGCGGACCCATGTTGGTGGGCCCGTGCGGAGGTCCCATGTGGTGCGGGGGTCCCATCGGCATGCCCGGATGCATTCCGGTCGGCCCGTTGCCATAACCCTGTGGCCCCTGCGGTGGCGTTGGACTTCCTCCATAGCCGCCCTTGTGCTGTAAATGCTGCTTCAGATAATTCAGTGGGCGTGGCGATCCACTGCCCTGCGGCGGCGGTGGTCCACCCACGACCGGCGGTGGCGGTGTGCCCTTGCCCTGCACATGGTTGCCGACCATCGCACCGCCGGGAGCGCCACCGGGTCCGGCCTGCTGCGGCGATGGCGGCACCCACTGATACGGCGGATATTGTCCGGTGTGGTTTGGCATGGCTCGACCCGGATAACCGCCAGCCTGGGCGCCTGAGGGCATGCTGTTGGCGCCGCCAGCTCCTGCTTGGCTTGTGGGCGGCGGCGGTGGTCCAGTGGCGTAGGCGCCAGGCGGATACTGTGGGCGTGGCGGGTAGTTGCCTGCAAAAGTAGGATAACATTTAATAAAGGTTTTAAATGTATGGTTTCAACCTACAACTAGGCTAAGAGGTAATTTGCTTTAAAAGTTCTTTAAAACAAAGATCGAGGTAGTAAATTAATAATCTGATAAAATAAATAAGAACTGAACTATCTGTTCACTAATTTTTTAACAAGTTTATAATTAGACAGCTGTTTAGAAAACCCCAAACTCACCTGGTGGTTGATATTGCTGTGGCTGCTGCGGCGGATATCCCTGGGCACCGGGACTCTGGCCCGGGCCGCCCATCTTGTAGCCACCGTGCATGTGCGGCGGCATCGGGTAGCCTCCTCCTGCTGCCCCTTGTGGCGGTGGCGGGGGCGTGGCCATGTTGTTGATGCCCTGATTAGGCGGCGGTGCCGGTGGCGGTGTCTGCTGCGGCGAGTTGCTCGCCGATGATGCCGAATTCGATGCCTGTTGCTGCTGAGATTGCTGCTGCTGCTGTTGCTGCTGGGGCGGACCTCCTGGCATTCCCGGATGCGGCGGCATCGGCGGCGGGCCACCCGCTCCAACTGGCGGCTGTTGCATGGGTCCGCCGCTGCTCGACTGGTTGCTCGCCGGACGCGAGATTGGATGGTTTTGGGCTGCAATAGAAACGGGCAATTTAGCGTCTCCTTTGCACCGTGAACGGATCAAAGTTGCGTCGTCGCTGTACTCACCCACTGCTGGGGACATGGAACGCGAGCCGGAGGAGCCGGTGGGCGAGGGTGTGGGACGCATCACCTGCTGGGGATTGGGGGGTGCCGGGCGGACCGGATCCCATGCCACTGTGCGCCCCGCCGCTGGAGCTGTCGTTGCTGTTCTGTCCAATTAGCTCCTGGAAATGGCAAAAGAAAGAAAACCGGAACGAGTTCCGCTATTAGTGTGCATTCAATCAAGTGCAATGGCAGCAAAAGCCGGCCGGCAGGTGGCATTTTTTGTAGTATTTATTTATTTAAATGAAAGTGATAGCGACTATGAATTAACCAAGCGGCAACCGCAATTAAGCAACTGCCAACGCGAACACATACACACACACACATACACACACACACACAAAGACAAAAGCGAGCATATGACTGAGATTGAGTTGGTCTCGGTAATCGTTGTAGTCCACCGTAAACATATTCATGGCAATCAGATGTTTTCGGTGGGTGTTTGGACCCATTCGGATGCCAAAAGTTGTTGCCAAATCAACGACCCGTTGGGTTTGGGGCGAAGAAGCGCGGGACAGCTAAAGCTACAGCCACCCCCCCGCACGTCCCGCGACCTTTCCTGACATTGCCAACGGAATTTGCGACTCCATCACCGCCGCCGATCCCACCACTCACCCGCAGTTCACAATTATTATAACCCGGTCAGGGGGGAAGGAATCCGAATTCATAAACGCCAAGCTGCTCGAACAATAACAACTCTTGAAACAGTCTGCAGGCACCAGAAACTCGGTGCGATGCGACACGACTTTAACTTTTTGCCGCCTATAACTTATAAGAAAATCAAGAAAAAGCTCCACACAAACAGCCCCACTCGCACTCACACACAACCATACACACACACATACACATGACAGCTACAACAGCTACAACAACAGCAGCAGCAGACGTGCACATAAAGCTTAAGTCGACAGCAATTCGAAACACTCACACACAGGGGCCACGGCAAAAACCCCAGAGAGAAAGAGAGACCTCAATGGTGGCAGGGCGCCCTCAAAAGGGGATACCGTATTTACAGTAAAGCTAAAGATTCCAGATTATTATTCCCCTTTGATCTGCAGTAGTAGTCTATTTTTGTGAAACTCTATAACTTAAGCTTCTAACCGTTTAAAGCTGATTATAGAAATTTATGTTTAGTTGGAAACTAAACCGGGGCAGTAAAAAAAAGGTTGTTATCATTAAACATGATCCTTGTTTCTACATAAAATTGAAAAAGCTTTCTTAGAAAATAAAAATCGCAGTTAAGCTGTTGGAAAATAAAGATTGTGTTTCAAAACCCAAACTTAGGGGAAACCCATGAATCAATGTCATAAGTAAAAGCGACTTCTTGAGAAATGATTATATTTTCGAACAAAACTGTTATCAACCCAAGAACTAAATTATATCTTCATGATTGACAGCCATGTCAGCAAGTACTTCACGTGTTAATCTTAGCTTCGTAAACAATTATTTCGAAATCAAACCATATAAAAAAGACTAAATAGTTTATCTTATCCATGGCTGACAAAATCTTCACCCCCTTTTAAAAAAAAATCATAGTAAGCCCCTGTATAGCCACAGCGGCAACGGCAAGAAAAATACAACGAACAAACGAACGAGCGAGCGCTGTTCGTTTTGGTATCTGAGAAATTAAGTGAAGTGAAATGAAATGTACGACGACGAACTGACGGCACAAGGCGGCGGCATGGGATGGTATAGTATAGTATGGCATGGATGGTGTTGTATGGGACGGACGGATGGATGACGGGGTGTGCGGAGAGGCAAGAGGAGAGGCAAGCGGAGCGGGGCATAAAAGCTATGTGGAACGAACCGAGCAGCCAACCAGCCAGCTAGCAAAGCAACGAGCGAACGAGCGACCGACAACGGCGACGGCGACGGACGGCTGCAACTTGAAGCGTTCAAAGGGGCGGCAGAGGAGGGGAGGGAAGAAGAATGGAAGTGGGTTGGCAGAGGGAGCTGAAAGGGGGGACGACTACCCGGGGATCGGGCAAGTGGCTGTGGTAGTTATGGCGCGCTCGAAGCGAACGAAAGGCAACGGCAACGATGACAAAGACGTAGATAAGGAACAGAAACATGCGCGCACACAGATACACACACATACCAAAGCACGTACACTCTAAATGTTGGAATATAATAAAATGAAATAAGCAACGGCGACTGCGACGACGGCGGCACTGGCAAGACCAGGCCATTCGTATTCGTATTCGGTATATTCGTATTTTTCGTATTTTCGCATTTTTGCAAAGGGGCTTTTTCGAGGGGAGCGAGGGAGAGAGGCTACCACTTGAGTTGCGAGACGATGACGAGAATAGCAAGCAAGCAAGCAAGCTGGCAAAATCAAAAGCAAAACTAAAGGCCAGGCCGGATAGAATGCTTTGTGTTAAGGGGCGTAGAGGGGTTAGTTGTTAGGGGTGGGGATGGTTCTAGTGTCTGTATCTGTATCTGTATTCGTATTCGTATCCGTGTGCGCTTGTGGTCGCGTAGAAAAATTACTTGGAAGGAATAACAAGCGCTGCGGAGATACAACAACAATGAAATCATTTATAACGAAAATAATGCGAAGCAAACATAAATAAAAAACAGATAAAAAAACACACACACACACCTCCCACACCTCTGCCCCTTTTGGGCCAACAATCATCAGCTAAATAAAGTTCAGACAAGATTTGCGCGCCAAAAGTGTTGAGTTCGATTTTTGGACACGATTTCGGAGAAGGGGAGATCACCCTTTGGGTGCCCCCCACTTCAGAACAGAACTACAAAAAATAAAAGAAGAAAAAAACCCATCATCTTTTATCTCTCGTTCTCAAGATGCGATGATGATGAGACAGCATTGGGCCACAAGTTCGACTTTTGGCCCTCGAAAGCGCACTTCACCGCTTTTTATGCCGTGTCATCTGTGGCCGACGTTCATTTAAATAAGGAATATGCATGCCAATGCCTACACGATGTTGGTCGGTAGGTATGTTTATGTCTGGCTGTCAGCTGCTGCCGATGGAACCGCCGGTATTGCTGGTATTGCTGGTACTGCCGGTACCGCCGGCTCGTTCTGGCCGGCTCTGATGGGACCTTTGTGGCTTATCACCTTAAAACCTTTAGCGATGAATGTGGCAAGCGAGTGCTGCAAAAAAAAAAAAAAAACGAAAAAAGGCAAAAAAAAAAAAAAAAACTGAAAACAAGGACTGGCATACATGTGCTTGTTATGCGGCGAACGAAGAGATAAAAAATAAGAGAATTAAATGCACAAAGGAGCGGCACACACGAAACCAGCGGAAGGGGCAGCAGGGAATTTATAAACACAGCCAGTCGCTGAGGAAAAGTAATAAACTCGGGGATATCATAAAAATAAAAACATGAGGGAAGGGCCAAACACATTTAGATCGTAGCTTGAAATACCCTAGCTATAAGGTATTGCGATACTAATTAGTAAGTTTTAAACAAACAAGGTGATAAAAATGTAATACAAATCAAGCATATTGATAGTGGTAAACTTACAAAAGAATTCAAGGAAATGTTTGCCTTAGATTTTAAAATTGGCACTAATGAAAAACAACATCCAAAGTTATTTGCTTTATCTGTACGTTTTGATAAGGGAACCCTCCACACTAAACTTGTTGTGCAGGGTCTGAATCAAAATAATAGCACCCAATGGAGAAGGGTGTACAAACCTCAAAAACTGTAGCAGTGAGATTGTGAGACAAACAGAAAATAGTTCACCACATCCCGCATGGTTTCTCGCAATCTCCACCCTCTCAAGTGCAATGGTTTTCATTTTGCACAGCGTCTGCAGCGGATCGAAAGGGGTTTAACCTCAGAGTCAGGGAATGAGATATATGTACATATATATATCGGTATAAAGAACACAAGCCCAGCTGAGCGACAGCCAGTCGTACTGTCGCTCATTAGACATCCCCAAGTGTGGGAGAGGGTCGCCAACTCCGTCTCCATCTCCATCTGCAGACAGAGTCTGGATCCAATCTGAATCTGAATCCGAGCGTTCGAGTCCATGCTCATGCAATTTCTGTTTGCGCTTGCTGGAAATTTTATGAGCGAATCGAAAGTCTGTGCGATTGTGTTAAGTGTGCATGGCGCACATTGCACAAGGGAAAACTCAAGCAGCTCCACAGCACCAGAATTAATATACAGTCATCATTCCCTCGGTTTATGTTTATAATTTGAAGTTTCCAAATGCTTTCAAAAATCGTTTTATAAATTTAAAAGCATTATTCTACAAGACACATTTAAAAAACTTCTCTTATAATAATCCTCCAAGTTAATTCGATTAAAATTTCTTCAGATACTTAAATTTATTTTCTTATAGAAGTTCATTCAAGTGAAAGAGTTTAGCCTTTGTACTAGGTTTTTAAAAGTTATGCTTGGTTCCCTTTAATAAAAAATTGAAATCACCTAAACTCGAATTACAACCGAATTTCTGAATTAAAATTATTCATTTCAAAACCCAAGACGATCCAAATCGAAATTACTATCTGTTCCAGGAATCTATACCATTTCGGGCTTAAGTTTACGATAATGTTTCGAGTTATAGAAGTTCGACTGTATATAGAGACAGACATTCTACTCGCATATTCGTATACCAGAGGCAGAAGTCGCTTTGGATCTGCTCGGTTCGGTTGGGTTTGGTTCGCTTCGTTTTATTTCGTTGCGTTTCGTTCGGTCTTTGGTTGGTTTTGCCAGCGGAGCAGTCAGTCGCCTCCGATTCCCGATGCCCCCGTCCGTCTCCCCCCTGACCACTTACAACATGGCAAACTGACAAAACGACCGACAGCGCGCCACTGCCAGCAGTAAAAGCGAACAGAAAAAAACAAAAGAAGACAACAGGAAAAAAAAAACAGCCAGCGCTGGCAGTCAACCACTTTGAGAGCTCAGACAAATGTCCCATGAATCGCACACTGGGCTCCAACCGAAAACACACGGCCCCAGCCAGAGTCGGGAGTCGAAATCAGCCGCCGCCAGTCAGAGCCGCCAGAACCGGCCAAAAGCAAAGGCAATAGCAAAAGCCAAAGCCAAAGCCAGAGCCAGAGCTCCGCACCGATCCAATCCGACCCGAGTCGACTCGTTCGCAACGTTTCAGAGCCGCTCGTTCGTTCGTTGGTTCGTGGTGTGTATCCAAACGACTGAACTGAAAAACAAGCGCACAATCACACGACTCTCAATATAGAAATTTGTATGCGTTCACAATGAGCCAATACACGGGAAAATGAATTTCAGTGCTGTACGTTGCTTAATAATTTTTAATATTTATGGATTATAAATACCACATGTTTCCATTTTCATTTATTTTAAGACCAACATCCTGGACATTTTGCATTTGCGGGTTACAAGTTAAAGAAGTCTATCATTGAATATTTCAAAGTTTTAAATTAAAGTTAAAGTTCCTTGTAAACTTTGAGACAATAGAACTATCTACTTTTTTTTTGTTTATAACCCAAAGGTAGCCTTGATTTTTCTCTGTGCAGCAGCGGCAACTGAAATGAACGTTCTTTTTATTTAGACTTTATTTTTGCCTTTTTTCCCTGGCTGCGCCGCCTGTTAAAATGAAAAACGATGATGATGCCGCCGCCGCCGCTGCCAACAATAACAGCCAAAGCAAAAGCAACAACGACAACACGGCAAAGTCGCAGCACTGAGTGGAGGAGCACTAAAATCCCAGTAACAGCGGACGGAGAAAAACCGGCAAAATTGTTCATTGGCAGTTGAGTTGGCTGGCAAACAGGCGGAGGGCAATGAGGGGCCAGATGGGCGGCAGAGGGACAGAATGGCTGAAATGCCGGGCCATGTGGCTCAGGGGGCTTTGGGTTCGCAGTCGCAGTCGCATTCGCATGCCGGTGGTTCGAGTTCAGGCCCCAAAAGTCCCAGCCAACCGTGTGCACTGCACCACACACAATTTCGGGCGGCATTAAATGAATGCAGCAGTTGTGCTGGCCCGCAAATTTCAGATGCTGATAGGCATAAAAAGATAGTCATGCCAATTGCCCACAGAGCGAAAATGACGCAGAACAGTCTTGAAATAAGTTTCTAAACTGGGACACATCGATGGCTATTCGTAGTTGTTCTCGAAAATCGATGGAAGCTTAAGTAATGCGCTATAAAAAAGGTGTTTTTACTGCAGAGTAAACGCTTTAAAAGCCCTTAGTAGTTAAATATTATTTCTACCAGTTGGCTTTTGTTCTGCAGCACACGGTAAATTTAAATCAGCTTACAAAATGCAATACGAAATCGACCAGCTTAAAAACAGCGGTCGTGGAGGGATTTCCCCACATTGAAACGGCTTAAAACGAGCGTTGGCTGCGGGTGATTACTGTTTTCATTCGGTGTGGTTCGTTTTCGCCTGGTTTCAATTTGAATTGGCAAGAAACGGGGATTTAACCTTGCAACAGCAAATTATAAAGTTGAGGAAAAACGATTGGATTGGATTTGTAGAGTAATTTCAGTGCAATTGGTTGATTTTTGTTTGGAATCGAGCAGTAGTTTGATTACACTTTTTTGATTGGAAAGCTATGGTTTTTTAAGGTTTTCTGTTATAGCATAAAGCTCATTTAAGGATTTTCTGAAACGCAACTTTAAGCTGTACAAAAGATGTTAATCCACAAAAAGGTTTTATGGAGAAACATAAGTACATATACCTCATAATGTTGATAGTACTTTGCAATGGCCGAGCAATATGTTGCAGTTAAGTTATCGACTAAGAGCTGGATTGATGGCTTCTAAAGAGGAGGACCTGAGCTTATGAATCGTTTGTTTAAAATGAGAGTACACATAAAATGTAAACAACCCGCTAAACAACCAGCAACAACAACCACGACGCGAAGGAGATGGAGGAAAAGCAAGAACAAGAACAACAATGACCTTGGCATTGACCCAAATATATGGTAACAGACGCTTTGTGTGTGATCTTGAGTGTAGTCATGCGAGTGTGTTGGTTGCATATACATGCCACATACCAAATATAAAGGGAATGAGGGGGAAAAAACCGAAATACAAAATAAAGAAATGGTATGAGGCACAGGAGGATTGTCGACTGAGCGAGCCAAGGGGTTTGGGGGTGGAGCAGGAGGGGGAGACAGCGGAGGGGGGGACCAGAGGGGGCAGCCACGACGGCCGCGGACATGCTGAATGAATAAATGGGGTACAAAAACCAACGCACACATCCGCAGGCACATCACATGAACAGCAGCGGATAAAATAATAATACTAGGGGTTCGAAAAGAAAACAATATGCAAATATACTTGAATAGAGGTAACCACTTATAGCATGAATCTTCTGTAAACAACTATTTCTCGATGTGGATATCTTTACATATATAATTTTGTAACTAGTCTCACCCAACTTTAAGTTAAGACAACCCATCAACTTTGGTAGACTTCGGGTCATATTTTTTAATCTACAACGCACATGAAGCAAAAACAGTCCGGAAAATATTATCCAGCAAAGAAATCAATCCACAAATGCTGATGACACGTGCATAAACGATCTCGAAAACGGGAGGGTGGGGAACCAGACAGTCGGCGATGCGAAAAATAAACCAAAAGACAAAAGGGGAAAATGCCGCCGCCGAAAGAAATAGTAATCAAAACAAAATAAAAATCATTAAAATTCATAAAAACAAATCAAGACGGCCGACGACAACAACAACAACAGCAACAACTAAAGCAACGATAAGGCTAAAAGCAATTTTAAAGCTAAGGCAAAGGGGGCGGCGTGAAGATGGGATGCGATAGCAGTTCAAGTTCAAGGGAAAAGCGGGAGGTGTTTAGGTACAAAGCAGAAAAAAAAATAAAAAGCAAATCGTAATCCCACACAAAATATAAAGACCCAAAGGGCGCTGCAAATGCAAGAGGAGGAGGGGGAGGTGGCGGAATGTAATCTCAACCCAAAAATGAGTGCGAGTTGGGCTATAAGTGCCGGTATGAGTACAACCAACTACGAGTGCCATGGCCAGGCATAAACATTTGACCTGAACAACTTTTGTAGACTGCCTGCCTCTTGTTGTTGTTGGGCAAGGTGGGGTGCGGAAGCCTCTGCGGTACAGCACTTTTTTGGGGTGGGGGAAATCGCAGGTAAAGAGTGGCGATGCCAACGTAGACGTACGTATGACGTCACGAGTCAAGTTCACGTGCTGTGTTCACGCAGCACAGTTTATTGACCCACTTTCGATGTGTATTATCTAGAAAAGCTGCCAACACGAGTCGTCGAGTGAATGGGGGACTGGGTGGTCCCACGGCACAAGCCATCCAATGAATGTGCAAATAGCAAGCTGTTATAATCATAACATACTATGGGTAAGTATATACAACCATATCCGATTAGAGACCAGTCATTGTGGCTTCTTCTATTTTATAATAGTACTTTCCAACGTGGTTTTATGGAACAAGGCCATAACAAATAACCGATCAGCTAAGCTGTATCTTTTTTATATCTTGTCAGGAGTTATAAAACATTCATAAAAGTGAATTACCTCACATTTCCGACCAATAAAGGAACAATTGGTTAACAATTTCACATTTGCTTTAGTATCTCGTTTTAAGTTTTATGTATCATAAAACGAAAACCAAATGGTTTTTTACTGTTTTTAATAGGTTTGTTGGGTTAACTTGCTACTGATTTACAGACTTTTTAGGAGTCCGAAATATCTGTTTTGATATTACTATATAGTATACTATATTCTTTTCCAGAAGCTCTCAATAGTAATTAAATGCAATTCAATCGCTTACCTGGTGCGGCGAGGGCGACGCCTGCGAGGGCTGTGGCGATGGACTGGGCGCATGGCCGGGACTGCTGCTGGGCGGCGGTCCGCCGGCGGTAACGTGCGGCGGTGGCGGGGCCTGCTGCTGCATTGGCGGTACATGGTGCGGTGAGGCGGGCGGCAATGGGTGACCGGGACCGGGACTGGGCGATGAACCGCCTGGCCAAGGTCGATTCGGTTCGGGATACTGCGGGAATAACAATGTTCCGTTAGTCCTGCCCATGGCGGTATTCGCTTTCCCATCAATCCTCACCTGGTGCGTCGAGTAGGCAGTTCGATGGTTGGGTCCGCTCGCCGGCAGACCCGGCGGTGTCGGATAGCGTTGCGGGTACGGCGAATATTGAGATGTTGGCGGTGTGTTCTGCTGCGGCGGCTGTTGACCGGCGCCCGGCGGTGGTCCGCCCGGCACAGGACCGCCTGGCTGTTGTCCCGCCTGTTGTTGCTGCTGCTGTTGTTGCTGCTGTTGCTGTTGTTGCTGCTGCGGCGAACTAGGATAGGAACCTGAATTTTGACCGTGAGCTGGCGGATAGGGTGACTGACCCCTGGAAGTGTTTGTCTGGAAATGGAAATTCAAACAAGGATCAATAAAATGCCAAGGAGACTTATAAATATCTAATGAGTGACAAAGTTTAACCCTTGGCATACCCTTAAAGGTAGCCTTTTTATATATGTATAATTTTAACGGTTAAGTTAAAAATTGATTCAATTTAATTTTGATATGTACAAAATGCAAATAAAGTATCCTAACAAAACTGTCTTTTTCAATATGCTCAGAACATATTTTAAGTGCAATTTTCTAACGAGTTACGAAAATGTCACGTGGGTCTTTGGGGGGTTAAATTGGGGGTGAGATAGAGACGGCATATGGGTTTTTAATTACAGACATCTTGCTTTGTCTCTCTCTCTCTCGCTCTTTGGCTCTCTATTTATATCCTCCCACACGCTTTTCCCCTGCAATTCATCAATTATTTGCGTTTGGCTTCGCCAATGTTGTTCGTCTGTGTGCGAGCACTGCACATTCCATTTTATTGTATATATCATTTTAATCGATATTCCACAACCAATTCCCGTAAATGCGCGCACAAATACACACCCTCTTGCTCATGTGTGTGTTTGGCACAGTGGATGTCCTCGGATTAGGACTCTCTGCATTGGAAATTTCCAACAATTAATATTCGATTGTGCAGCTGGGAAGGAAACTAGACGATAATTGGAATTGACCTGACCCCGACTGCACAAGTGCCCCTAATTATTTGGCGCCCACTGTAACGTGTGTGTACACCACTCACATTTAAAGGGGAATGTGGGATGGTTGGGGGTGAAAAGGAGAGACATCGACGCACCCTCGGGTGTGTTGTCACTTGACAGTCACAAATGCGCAGATTAAAAAGAGACAGTTCAAAAAATATGCTGCCAAAGGAACCTAAATGACGGACACAAAAAATTGAAATATTTACAGCTCCAAGAACAAATACCCCAACAAAAGCTTTTACAATTAGGGGCACTGGGATAGTTTTTCATAAGGAGATATTCACAGAAGGCTTAGTTCAGATAAGACAAAATCATAATGTCGAATAGTTAATTGAGGTTTTCAATTAAAAAGTTATTTGTATGGATTTATAGTACAATACAACAATACGATAATCTCGTTTTAGAATGCCGCAGTGCTATAAAATCGACCTGAATTGTGCATGTCCTAGCCAATCAGTTCAAATTACGAAGCTCTGTCCTGAAGAAGGACGCATAACTTGGGGGCAGCGACATAGTAAACGGGGCAGGGACCCGGCTAGTCGATTGCCTGCCGCACCCGAGTCCTTCCACCAGGATTCCTCTGGCACTCCGCGACCCGTCACAGCGCCAGAAGAAGAAATCCACTTGAGTGGAATATAAAGTGAAACTTACGGACGCACACGCATACTCATGTACTTGTGCATGTGCAACGACAAAGTTGCAACCAGAAGGAGGAGGAAAAGGAGCTCCGAAACGGAGAAGACACCTCGCTGCGGAACGTGGCCTGTGCGGCAGACAACTGGAGCAGGACGAGCAAAAAACAGGCATGCCATGTGCCATGCGGCGGTGTATCTGTATCTGGGTGTGTGTGTGTGGGAAAGAGCTTTGGATGCCATTAATGAAAGGATTTTCAACTTGACGTGGTGCGACAAGGCGGACCAAGTCGCAGCACACAGCACACAGCCCATAGCACACAGCACGGAGACCGTCTGACATGGCAAGTGGAGAGGCGCTTGCCAAGCTCGCACAGCACAGAGTTACAGACACACAGACTTTCAGTTCGCCCTCGCAAACACAAAACCCCACAGCGGCGCACACACAAATGTAGCTGGGCAACAACATCGCTGCGAATGCCACAGCCCGGAGTAAAATGTGGCAATAAATCTAATGGAAACTCACAGCAATGAGGGAACGAACGAGAAAACCAACCGAAAAAAGAGTGCTGGCAGCTCAGCTACTTTCAACGCAAATCTAGCTATGTATTTTCCAGCAAATATCAAGGGGTACACAAGTTTTAATCGTTATTTACCAACTGAGTATTTTTATTATAACTCTGTTAACATGTTTCCATTCTAACTTCAATTCACATTCACAATTCAAAACAACTATGGGTTTTTTATGAATGCCGATGGCAGGTGAGTGGCTCCTAACAGCTGTATAATCAAGTTGTCTTTTATGGCTTGTATATATCTGAAACAAATTCCTAATTTTACTGACAAAAGCATTTTTGTCGATTAAACTATCATCTGTTGAAAACACCCCGCAAATCTATTCATTATAGGAAACCCTAAAATTATACATATGCATTGTTGATCAGAATAACCGGCAGATTTATTCTAACCATGTTTGTACCCAAAGTACTTTATAAGATAGTTACTGACAATGTAGAACCACAGTTTTAATGGAAAACTATTGTGTGACGGAATATAATGCCAATGTCAATATCTACATTAGTTGAGAAAACATAAAATTCTTTCAGAAAAACCACAGTTTTAGAGAAATTTTTGTTTGGTTTATCCAGACTTAAAATAATATCCCAAAACGAAAATAAGTCAACACTGCCTACCGACGGAGCATAGTTGTCTTGGCCTAAAGAAAAGGAATGGTAAGGAAAGGCAAGGCAGGGCAAACAAGCCAGATCCATAGCCAGAAACAGAACCGAACCAGAACCAGGGCCAAGCTACAGCTAAAGCCAGATCCCGTCGTTCGGGCAACGAGGACAACAGCAACTACAACAATCTACAACGACAGCAACAACAACGACGGGACGGAACGGTCGGTCGTTTGGTCTTTCGGTCGGTCCACTGCAGGGTGACAGGAAACATGAATGGATGGTTTTCGTGCTCTGGCTGTGTGCGTGTGTATCTGTGTGCGGAGCGAACGAACGAGGCAACGAGAAATAAAGTTAAAAAAAAAAGAAAAAAATAAAAGGGAAAACTCATCATGGATGAAAATCAAAAGCAGAAACGGCAACGGCAACGGCGGGTAGAAGCTGAAGTGGAATTTGAATTAATGCAGCAAGGGTCGTACGGTGGCACAAACACACACACATACACACAAACATACAATGAGTGTAACGAACGAATGACGGTTGGAACGAACGAACGTCGGTCGGAATTACGTTCAAAGGCAGGGGACTTCGGGGGGAATTCGGGCAGGAACAACTGCCTGATGGTTATGTTCAGTTCTGGGTCTCTGGTGGTGGTAGGTTTTCCAGCTAAAAGCCGGCTACATGTATTAAAATATCGCGGGAACAAAAACAAAGCGCAGCAGCCAAGGGAGTGGTCCTGTTTGCTCCTTTCCTCTCCTCTCCTCTCTCTTCTTCTGATCCTGGGTTTATAATTTCATAACCAACAGACACACACACACAGACGGACAGACGGGGGGCGATTGCATATAAATTGTGCGAAGGGAAAAAACGTGGTAAATGCGATTTCGTAGCCGTAAAGGTAATGCCGGCAGCAGCAGTTTGTAAGGGTTGTGTGCGGAGGTGGAAGAGGGTGGTAATAAGGAAGCCGGATCAGGGGAAGGACCCCGTCCCTGCAGGCTGATGATTCCGCTGTGCTGCTGTCGGCAAATGGGCGGAATTACGTGCACAACTCCCGAACGGGCATAGTTTTTAATACAATGTCGCATTCTCCGCGCGCCCATTCACAGCAGTTGCGGAAAGATAAACAAGGCAACCGAAATAAACCAATGCAGTACGCGCCGACCGACCAACTGTCGCAAAATTGTGCTCAACCTTTTGACCGATTACTTATCTCTTATTGTTTTACTTTTCAATTACTAAACGATTATTTATCCATCTTTAAGTCGCTTTGGTATAAAAAAATAAATCTCAAATTTTTTCAATTTGAAAAATATATTAGGAAAAATTCCATTTCAAACAAATAAATTCTTATATTTTTCAATTCTTTGGAGCACATTATCCTAACTAAAGTTCAAGCTTATGACCTTAATATAAATGATGTTAGACGAATTGCGAGCAAAGTTAAAAGGTTACCTTTGCTACATTTAACAAATATGTATATACTTGATTAAATATTGGATTTGGCAAAGAAAATCAACTTCTTGGATAGACATAGCTATTCGCTGTTATGAAAATGTTGCTAAGAATTTAACTGACTATTATTCACTGGAATGGTTTAAGGAAAGCTAAGAAAAAGGAAAGGCAATGATGGCCAGAGAAAAGAAGGAAGCAAAGGCTGAAAAAGGAAGAGCGATGGCAACCAGGGACAATAACAGTTAAGGCAAAGGCAACTGTTCTGAGTGCTCCACTTTTTGTAGGTCAAACTTTAAAGGCACTCCAATACAAGCACACCAACACACATACATGCGAAAAACCAGCATAAACAAGCCGGCCCACAAACAGCAGCTCACTCAACAAACAAAAAAAAAAAAGAAACAGAAAGCAGGAGTATGAAGAAGGGGCCAAAAAGGAACAACAGAGACACAAGCAGAAAGAGCGGTTAATGCAATGCCTTTTGCCTTTCCCCAAAAACACAACAAACATAAAACCGAAACCCCAAAAAAGAGGCCTTTCGACTCTTTAATATATGCGGCAAAGAGCTGCTCCCTGCACCTGTTGACCTCAAAGGAGAATCAAACGTCAAGGATATATGAGAAGCATAACGGGATGCAGCAGCACACTTGCACTCAAAGAAAGAAAGAGGGGTGTGGGGTAGGGTAGCGAGGGAATGCGAGTGAGCCAAGGCATGTCATCATCATAGTCGAGCACTCCTCCTCCACCTCCTCAACCTCTCTTTCGACTGTGCGCGGTTTCACTTGATTTTCATTTTTATTTTGTTTTGGTTTCTGCTTCCTCTACTGCTTGCCGGCTACTCCTCCTCCATCTACCCCCCAAAACACAGAGAAAGGGAGGGAGAGTCAGCTGTGACAACAACAAGTTTCTCTGTTATTGCCTTTGATTACGGTGCCTACTTGGCCATTGTTGTTGTTGTTGTTTCGGTAGTACCTCTGTGGATGTACTACGTATGTATTTATTGCATGCACGCGTAAGTCACACTCAGCCGGCAATTTGATTTCTTTGTTTATGCACATACAAGCTCACAGAGCGAGACAAACATTCAAACACATGACATTGGATAGTAGCAGTGGTTTTTAAACTTTTTTTTTATCTCGCACTACCCACACACAGAACCACACCATAGCCCATAAACAAAAGCTCTCGAAGGTCGCATCGCATCGCATCGCACATGTCTAACCCTAGCGGACCGCTTTGATTTGTGTGCTCACATAGATTTGTTTATATTTCTCTGGCTAATCGTCGGCATCAAAGTTCGTTGACTCGTATTCGAGACATCTCATCTACATCCGCACCATTCATGAAATTAAAAACAATCGATCCCATTGCAACGACATCAAATATGCCAAAAGCAAACCGATAACTACATACATATGTGTGTACATAGATACGGAGTAGAGGAACTGATATGAGTATGGTATGCCCCTAACTACCGCGCTACCCCACTTATAAAACAATTAACCGGTTTTCGTTTAAATCAAAATGAGGAAACACGTGCTTCATTGGGGCTAATAAACCAAACATCAAACACAATAAAAAAGGTAAACGCATTATCGCCTGACACAACTGATAGCAAACTTCGATACTATGGGATTAAATACTGAAGTTTTTTGATATGCTATTGGGTTCTTTCACCTCAAAAAAATTAGATTAACTGAAAAGAAATAAAGTAACAAAGTGTGAAGACATATCAAGCACACTTAAGTTCCTTCATTTTTTTTATTATATAATCAGAATTAATATTTTAATAAAAGTATAAATTTCCACAAACTTATATATGTAAGAATTATTTTCGTTTTCTAACCAATTTCTATCCTTTTCTTTACTTCCAGAACAAAGTAATGCAGTGCTTAACATTTAAAAATATTCTAATCAGATCCAAGACCAACAGCCATCGATAATGTTGACATGAAAAGAAAAGGAAACCCCAAAACCTTAAAAAATGTGAATGAATGCCTCAACATTTTTGTGAACGAGAAACTCTTTCTTGTTCTACCTCTTCCTCTTCTCAGTTTTACCGTTGCGGTGCGGTCTTTTGTTGTTATTGTTTTCTGCGGCAAGTGCCGGTTCTTTCACTGCCCGTCTCCCTTGCTCACCCGGCTTCACCCAACAACAACTACAACAAAACCCGGCACTTAAACAGCGAAATTTCAAGGGGTTGGGGAAAATATGCAAGCGATGGAGAAAGGGAACCAGGGGGAGGGGACGGGCGAAAAAGGCGCGGAATTACTGTACAATGTTTTACGTTATGTGTGTCAGTGTGTCTGCTGCTTCTGTCCTTTTTTTATTTTTCCTTCGAGTGGGACTTGGCAAATCTTCACTGAACTGAATGAAGTGCGACCAAGACGAAACCCTAAAAAGTAACAGTAAATATTGCAGCCTCCCTCCCACGCGCTCGTATTCGAATACATGTGCACAAAACGTGACGAGCCCCTTTCCGTGGAATGAGTGGGCAGTGGGCGGAAGGGAGGGGGTAGGGAGGGAGATAGATAGCACAAAGCCACCAGCGACAACCACAACAACAAGAAACACATGTCAAGGAGGCTTGTACATGGAAATGGTGCTCTGTAGCTGTGTGTCTTTGGGGTCGATGAAATCAAAATCAGTGTCAATGTCAAGACAGCTCTAAAAAGAATATACAAAAATACCCCAAACCGTAAGATTTTTGGTAGGCAGTGCCTATTTTGCTGCAAGGAAATAATCCCTTCGTAAAATTTACAAATTCTTTAACTGTCAAAAAGGTAAAACAATACCATCTATTTATTGGACATTAAAAAGAATTTTTCGAAAAAGAACTTTTTCATTAAAAGGTAGCTCTTCTTGTTACATGTCTGCTAATAAACTATAAAAATGCCAAAACTTACTGCCTACTTGTAAGAATAATAACCAATCTATAATCTAATAAGGGTATAGCTTTCTACTTGCTGCTTTAAACCTCGCACTTATCATTTAACTCCTTCATCGAAAAGAGAACTTTTTTTGTCATCACTTACCGGTGGTGGAGTCCTGTACTGCTGCGACGGTCCCAGCTGCGGACTGTAGGGCCTTGGCGGAGGAGCCCATCCGCCCTGTTGCGCACCGTACGGCGATGGCTGGTGCTGCGGGGGAGGAGGTCCGTGTCCTGGCGGCGGTGGCCCGCCCGCCTGCTGTTGTTGAGCCGCCGCCGCTGCTGCCGCCGAAGCGGCCGCCTGCTGGGGATCGTAGGTGTTGGCGTAGCGGTGCTGCGGCGGTGGAGGCGGATTCGAAGACTGCAGCAGGGAGTTCAACGTGGGCGTGGGTCCCTGTGGTGGTTGTCCGGGTATGTAGCGCTGCTGCGGCGGACGATTGGGCGAACCACCTGGCCCCGGTTGCTGTTGCTGCGGCGGCTGTTGCTGTTGCGGATGAGGCTGTTGCTGCTGCGGAGGCTTTCCACCTGGCATCGGTTGGCCATAACGATACGGATCCATGTTGGGATCGGTGTGGTAGCGACCGTAGGCCGGATGAGGATGCGGCGGAGGCAGGTGGGCGTACTCCTCCTTGACGCCGGGCGCATGCTCAGGTGCTCCTCCGGGCGGTGGTGGTGCGGGCCCGCCGTGGTGCTGCTGTTGTTGCTGCTGCATGTGGGGCGGTGGCGGATGCTGCTGTTGCTGGTGCATATGGTGATAGTGCATAACTGCAGCAGGATCTGGTCCTGGTGGTCCTCCAGGGGCTGATCCGGGGGGCGGTGGTGCGCCGTATGGATGTGGGGCAACGTTTTGCTGCTGCTGGATGCTGGGATCACTGCCATTGTTGCTGTTATTGTTGGGTGTAGGCGGACCAGAGGTGGGCGGTGTGGCGCCACCGGGAGCCGCTCCAGCCGATGGGGGCGTGGCAGCGGGGGCAGGAGCGCCACCTTGCTGCTGCGTTTGCGGCGACTTTATTTTCTCATTCATGGTTACTCATCGGCTGCTGGCTGTGCTCCCGATCTCCCAGACTTTCCGGATTTTCCCAGATTTGTGGCGGCCACTGATGGAGCCCCGGTTACCACCACCAACAACAACAACGCTGACGCTGATGACGACGACTGCAGCGGCGAGTTTGAGGTTATGTTAGCTGCAAGTTATCAAAAACGGGGGATTAGCATTTGTCAAGGGGGTCTGACTAATTTTAAGTGGGGGTGATTCTATATATCACTGGGCCTAAATCGGGCGGGTTAAACATAAATAATTTGTACTCGTTCATGAGCTGTTGTGTATTGAAAAGTCCGCAACTCACACACTCATACACACATTCGAGCAACCAGCACCAATACCAAAACAACAATTTATTTTCTGCCGCGTACGGCGGACAATCGCAATGCGTTGACAACCCTGCCGCTGCCGCTCTCGCAGTTTGAGCGCAGTCACTCGCTCTTGCTGGCGCTCTCTCTCTCTATTCACATTTGGCGGCTATACACGCACACGCCGTATCCCTTTCCGTCTCACTTGCACTCGCCAGCTAGGCAACATGCATATGCCGCTCTCGCTTGCTCTCTCTCGCTTTATTAGTTTCTGTGTGAAACGAATGAAACGGCCAGCACAGTAATGATTTTTTCGTAATTATTTTCTATGCCGATTTTTCGCGTTTACACAGCACTGGAATGGCCATTGGCCAAGGGGCATCTCACAATTCATATATATTTCTCAGATGCGGCAATTGTTTAACTTTTGGCGTGGGGCGGGGGACTAACATTTGGGATTTTCAAACTAATTGCCGCGCCTGCTTGGCCGCGTTTGTTGCGCGTTCACTTTGCCGCTGCCGTTGTCTTGGGAGGTTTTTCTTGGTTCCTTGGCTATTGCGTTTTTCTGCTGGTTTTCGCAAAGTGTTGATGATGATGATGATGCAAGGATCCGACATCCAATCATTTGCATATGTATACACACGCACACACACACTCACACAGCCTCCAAGTGCATCGAGAGGAGAGAAACTGAATTTTTCACTCGCCCTCGGGCGAAAGTCCGGCGGCAGATTGTTGTTGGCTAAGACTCTCCTATATATTTTTGGGGCTCTGGCTTTGGGGCTTTTCTTAACCAGAAGAAATCTACATACACTACACGCACACCACTTACACATAGAAGATATTCACGACCGTCCACAGACTGGCTATATATACTAAAAACGAACTCGCGTGAGAAGACAGGGACAGGGCAGCAAACTCGGTATACGAACGGAACGAAATGAAACGATTCAAGTAGTGGTGTATGCAAGTCTTGTCTGTCTTTTCTCCTTCTTTCGGCTTTTCGCCAGGCTGGGGCGCTGCCAAAACGCTGCTGCGGCGGCCACAATCACACGCGGCTGGTAGCCAGTAGGGCCCTGAAACGGCTGCACATACTTTTCACTATTAATGCGCTGTATTTCACTTAATTTTCGAACAATTTCGCAGCATGACGAGGAAGCGAGCCTGTGCGAAGCGAGGTATCGATGTTTACGCCATTTTAAAATATCGCATGGGCTACGTTCGATGATTTGTCCAGCCCTAGGTCTGATTTCGATATTTCTGTCAGCCCTAGGGATGCGTGTTTTTTTCCAGCCCTAGGGCTGCATTAGTATTTTCTGCATCCCTGATTTTGTGTTTTCCTTACATGAAAATATTTAAATCAAGGTTAGTTTACATTAACATTCAATGTTGATGCGTTTGGGCAATTCCAATCAAAAATAATTTATTTTTGTAACTATTTAATTTTATTATGTTTATTTAGGAAGTTTATGGCGCAAATCCCAACGATTTTATTAAGACCGATATTATGCAGCTAACAGCCAACTGTTAACTGGCCTAACAGGTCTAAATAAAATTAAACTGCTTGAAAGTAACTGACCCTTGCTTTTTGTTAACAGTGCCAGGGAACAATGCCTCCCGCGAAAATTCTAATTTTGGTTATTCGAATATACGGCAGAATTAATAAACCACTCTACTAGGACTTACAAGATTAGAAAAAAACATAAGTTTTGCAGGATTGAAAAAGAAATTACAATTTTACAAGCTTGGGAAAGATTCACATACATTGCTTGCGCTTAAAAGCACAACATTTTACCACTCAGATGCGCTTAACAGCACGCTGTTACTGACGATAACTGAACTTCTTACTGTCATCGAATATTATTGATAGCTAATGAAAATTTGCGCCATTTTACGTTTCACTTTATTCGAATAAGTCAAGTTCAAAGTTTTTAAAAGTAAAGTCCAAACAAATAAGTGTAAGATGACTCGCATTTGGGAAATCGCGCTGCTATTAATTGCCACACAGATTGGCGGATCACTGGCGGCGGCATTTTCTGTGCGCCAAAACCGATTTAATGAGGCTCCAGATCTGCAGACACCAGTACCATTGGCAACTTCTACAGAATCTACTAAGAAAACTGAGAAAGGTAACCACTTTTATATTAAGTTAAATAATTCAACTTCATCTATGTAAATTGGTAATCTTTGGGCTGTCTAACGGGGACACGATTAAACGGTTTTTCTTTGGATGAGCAGCCATCTTGTTCTTTTGCTTTCGACCTCGGTTAAATAGTAACGGTTGTTTAAACTTGTGGGATCGTCTTGTTCGGCACTGAAAGAAAAGCCAGATCTTTACTTTTTAAAAATATTGGTTTATATAATAAAAGTGTTGAAACTGCAATTCGAAGGTTATAAGCTTATTATATTACTCAAATAAAAAATTTAAATTAAAATAAAATATTTATATGTGCCAAAAATCTTAGAAATATTTATCTTTTTTCTTTCTGTGTAGTTACTAGCGGTCTGTTGAAAAAATGTCTTCCCTGCAATGACGGCATAAAATGCGTGCCCCAAATCCAGTGTCCCGCCCACGTGCGCATGGAAAGCCATGAAAAGCCGCAGATATGCGATCTGCCGGCTGGAAAATTTGGCTTCTGCTGCGAGACGGGACAAAATCACACTGCCCCGAAACAGGAGAGCTCTTCCAAGGAGCGGCGATCAGGATTTCCCACCATCCTGCCCATTTCAGTTTTGGATGAGGCACGTCGTCAGTTCGAGCATTTGATGAACGGCGTGTCGCAGATCCCCGTCCGCCGAGGCTTTCCCGACTTTGCGCACGGTCTAGTGTTCCATTCGACGGCCAAGGATGATCTGCACAACTTTGCCATTTCGAATAGTGCCATCGAACAGGTGATGACCACCCAGTTGTTTGGCAAGAAGGAGCAGGTGCCCGTGGACGATTTCATCACCAACAATGTGCCGATCAAGTTCACGGAGACCCCGTTGGCCCAGCACTGTCAGCCACCTCTAATTTGCCGTAATGTTCGATCAGTGTACCGCAGCTTGGATGGCACATGTAACAATCCACTGCCCCAAAGATCGCTGTGGGGAGCTGCTGGACAGCCGATGGAGCGCCTCTTGCCCCCCGCTTACGAGGATGGAATCTGGACACCGCGTTCCCACTCTTCCGACGGGACTCCTCTGCTCAGCGCCCGCAAAATCTCACGCATCCTGCTAGCCGACGTTGATCGTCCGCATCCCTTGTACAACCTCCTGGTTATGCAGTTCGGTCAGGTTTTGGTAGGTTATCCTAGCTTTAGGACGAAACTAAACAATGCATTTTAATCCTGAAAAAGTAAAGAGTATTTGTTTCTGGTTATTCAATGCTGGTTTATTTTCAGGCACATGACATTTCCCAAACTTCTTCGGTGCGACTGGAGGATGGAAGCCTGGTGCAGTGCTGCTCCGCAGACGGAAACGTAGCTCTAAGTCCACAGCAAAGCCACTTCGCCTGCATGCCAATCCATGTGGAGCCGGATGATGAGTTCTTTGCCGCTTTCGGAGTTCGCTGTTTGAACTTCGTAAGGTTGTCCCTGGTTCCCAGTCCCGATTGTCAATTGAGTTACGGGAAGCAAATGAGCAAAGTGACCCACTACGTTGACGCCTCGCCGGTTTATGGATCAAGTGATGAAGCTTCCAGAAGTCTTAGAGCAATCCGTGGCGGCCGACTGCGTATGCTGAACGATTTCGGACGGGATCTTTTGCCGCTGACGAACGACAAAAAGGCTTGCCCCAGCGAGGAAGCCGGAAAGTCATGTTTTCTTTCAGGTAAAAAGTAAAAAAAAAAAAAAAAATATTTAACATATTTGTAATATTAGGAGATGGACGGACCAATCAGATTATATCCTTGATTACCCTCCAAATACTGCTGGCACGTGAGCACAATCGTGTGGCAGAGGCACTGAACCAGCTGAATCCTTCGGCCAGCGACGAATGGCTTTTTCAGGAGGCCCGACGCATCGTCGTTGCCGAGGTGCAGCACATTACATACAACGAATTTCTGCCCATTATTATTGGACCGCAGCAGATGAAGCGTTTCGGGCTGGTGCCACTGCATCAGGGCTACTCGCATGACTACAATGTTGATGTAAATCCGTCTATAACCAATGAATTCTCAGGAGCAGCTTATCGCATGGGTCATTCTAGGTAGGGAAGTATTATATTATTTTATACTAAGTTTTATTTGTAATTTAAACTCTGCCTTAAGTGTGGATGGCAAGTTCCAAATCCGCCAGGAGCATGGTCGCATTGATGAAGTGGTCAATATTCCGGATGTCATGTTTAATCCCTCGCGGATGCGCAAACGTGAGTTCTACGACGACATGCTGCGCACACTTTACAGCCAACCCATGCAGCAGGTGGACAACTCAATCAGCCATGGAGTAAGTACTGAATATTTTGTTTGTTAATTTAAAGAGTTTTTTATAATCGGTTTTACCTTGAGCAGCTCAGTCGTTTCCTGTTCCGTGGGGATAATCCGTTTGGTCTGGATCTGGCTGCCATTAATATTCAGAGAGGACGCGACCAAGGACTGCGTAGCTATAACGACTACCTGGAGTTAAGAGGAGCACCTAAACTAGAGAGCTTTGAACAGTTCCCAAGCGAAGTGAGTTCTTCGATGAGTTCAGTTCTTCCATTTTAGATTGATTATTATCAGTTCTAATTAATATACTTCTGTATCTAACAGATTGGCCAGAAGCTGGCTCGCGTTTACCGCTCTCCCGACGACATTGACCTGTGGGTGGGAGGTCTGCTGGAACAGGCCGTCGATGGAGGAGTTGTGGGCGCGACCTTTGCCGAGATCATAGCCGATCAGTTTGCACGCTTTAAGCAGGGGGATCGCTATTTTTACGAGTACGACAATAATGTTAATCCTGGCGCCTTCACCCCTCCGCAGCTGCAAGAGTTGCGCAAGGCTACTTTGGCTCGTCTTCTCTGCGACAATTCCGACCGCCTCACTCTGCAAGCAGTGCCACTGGCCGCTTTCATTCAAGCCGATCATCCTGGGTAAGTGAAGTGCAAAATGACCGGAACAGTGCCTTTAGTGACTTGCTTATTTCTTTGTAGCAACCAAGTGATTGGCTGTGATGATCCCAGCCTGCCGGCCGTTAATTTGGAGGCATGGCGCACTTGAAATTATTTTTTTATCCATTTTTAATTTATTTATCGAGTTTTTAAACTGTATTTATATATGCGAATGTTCGCCGAATTGTATATCCCCGTTTTATGTAACTGCGGCTCAACAAAGAAAACCAAAATTAAGCCAACCGTTCTATTAAACCGATTTCCATTGCTAATTAAACGCAAATTTCTTTGTCTCCGAAGAATGATTTTTATTTTTTCGATCTCAAGCTCTCTCTGCCGCCTTTTTGGCCATATCTGTCCTTGTATTGTTCTGTAGCGTTACATTGTTGACCGGGTGACAAATATCTTTCCAGATAACCCAGAAGTTGTCATTCGTTTTAGGCATCGCACTAATTTATTAATTTAATTGACTCTAATTTGTTTTGCACTTCTGTTACTGTTATGATATATGTATGTGAATATTTATATGTTTGTTTCTGCGGTAGATTCGCTTTGGATTATCTAGTCAATTAGTGGCTGTTCGCATTTGTAAATAACATGATATGCAAATACCAAGCTAAATTAAAATGTATAACAGAATATTATTAAATGTCTATATCAATTCCGCTCCATTTCACAGTGAGTTGTGTGTTGACATATATCTGTGAAGTCTTGTTCAACCCCAGATATTTGAGCTGCTATTTTTACGTTCTTTACGTAAGTCATGTGAACTAATCGGTTACGGAAAATATACGCCGTTTGTAATCTTTGCTGACATTTGAATAACAACAAGCTCTTTTAATATAATCAATTTGATTATTGAACTTACCATTAGACCGATTCCTATTTGTTTGGCTGCTTTCAAATATTATCCTAATTTAAACTGGAATATCTGGGTAATTTTTTGCGGTTGCGCCGCGACATGTAGATTAATATTATAAACAAAACCTTAATTTAAATAAACCTTAGAAGTCGTGGGTGTCTAGCGGAATATTACTGGTAGTATTTAATATAATCTATATTTATTTAAAAGTTTCCTCTGCTAATCCATGGACCCAGTGTCAATAAGTTTGTCAAACAACTCTGTTTTTGATGCACCATTTCAGCCGCCTGTCTTCGATTTTTATTGCATGCTTTCAGAGCACGCTTTTGCCCGATTTAAACAGGTTTTATGTCTCATATTTTCACCAATTAGTGAACTTAAGCACACCATAACAACAAAACCGATGCCTCCATTTAATTTGTCGCCGCTCTGAATGGGACGGGCCATCGATTTGTGAATTATAATTAAGCCGTAGCCGTGAGTTCACTAGATGTTTTTTTGAGCAATTTAATTAATTTTTGTTGTTTCCAGCGACCGGCGAGACAAGAAGCAAGGGATTACCGAATGCGACGAACTCCCTCCAACAAGGGGAAGCACATGCTGCGTTAATTGTTGTACTCAGCATGGGCCATGATGACGACTTTAGCTGGCTGGTTAGCTGGCTAGCTGGCTAGGACCAGTCATTTTATTGATGAACTTGCGGAATGGTGAAAAGTGACAATTGAAACCCAACCGCCGACGAGCAAAACGATTAGTCAGGGGCAAACCCAAGTCTACTGCCGTCCGTAGACGTTCTCATCGGAATAGGAAATGTAAAGAAAGTAGTCCTTGTCGGAGTTCTCCTGGTAGAGTGTTCCCATGGTGGCCGATGTCGGCGGTATCACGTTGTTCACGAAGAAGAAGAGGGCGTCGTCGGGACGCAGATTTATGCGCTTGCGGATGAGGAAGTAAAACTGGCCCACCGTCAGGTCGGCCGGCACCAGGTATTTCTTCTTGTCCAGCTCGGCGTACCGGGTCTTCGGGGCCTTCTCCACGATGATGGGCACACGATCCGGATACTTGCGGCGGATCTTGTCGCCCTCGTTGCGGCGCTTGTCGAAGGTGTGGTCCTTCTTGTACTGGAAGTGCATGTCCATCTGGGCAGAATCGTCTTCAAAACGGAAGGGAACGGAGCGAAACAAGGGTTTACGTTTTGGATTTGGTGAGACTTAAGATGCTGCCAGTTTTGCTCAGTTGTTGCTTACAAATGTGTCCTTTCCGTTTTACTATGAAACTAGCTTTGGCAGAAAAGGTAGTGCCTGCTGGTGGGTAACTTTTTGAAAAATGAGAATGTTATCAGAAACCTGCACAAATCAACTAAAAGATTTTTTTTCATTTTTCTCTTAGAAGGTTATGTTGTCATTACCTTCTTAAAAATGTTTTTAAAGACTCTAAGAACTCTATAAAACTATCTAAATCATTAAAACAAAAATGCCAAGTATGCAGTTTGAGTTAGTTAGTTACAGTTAGTTTTAAATGTTTAAAAACAATTTAACAAACTTTAGGGAATGAGTTAATCTACTTAAAACTTGTACACCATTAGAATATTTTCCATTTTACTTTTAAAAGTTATGACAACAGTGATAAACTTTTTAAAATTATTTAAATGCTCACTGAATCAACTTAATCGTACTTAATCACTGAAAATGTATCGAATGACAGACAGATTTGAGATATATAATATTATGTTGAGCAGGGGCTCTAATATGTTCCCTACTCTGACATTATCACACGAACTCCACAGGGCTCTAATGACACCTTTATTGAAGGCTTCGGTTGACCGCAAGGCAATTCAACAAGTGTGCGTATATAGGGCCGCAAATGCGAAAGCTTTCACCTGAATTCCGACCACAACAGCAAAATCCGTAAACGAGCAAAACGGCAGAGCTAAAGCAAATATGCTTGCTTCCGTCGCCACAGTCTCCTTCGTTCGTTGCGTCCGCACGTAGCTCTTGAGCTCTCATTTCGCCATAGCTGCTGGAGCTGCTCGGTCGTTTTCGCGCTCGGTGAATCGGCTCCACTCGTCGCCCACTTCCGTCTTTTTTGAGCTCGTTTCGTGGGTCGCTGGTTTCCGGTCTGCGGGTGGGAATATAGTCCCTCGCTGACGTTCAACTGCAACAGGTGTATCCACGCCAAACCGAAGACTGTCGGATAAAGTCTTAAACTTCAACACATCCGGTGAGCAGCATGGTCCAAAAATGCCTAAATTGTTTACAAAAAAAAAAAAAGAAAAGCGGAAAATTTAATGCGGGTGTGCGTGTGCAAAACATTACTGAACGAGCCACAATCGCCTGACCAAATTTATTGACAACATCGGGAAAAAAACCATTATAATTTTGTATTTATTGACCCATGTGAGGCGAAATATTACGAGATCCCTTCTTTGAAAACGAGTGTTTGTGCAATAACCTACTCGTAAAATTATCAAAGTCGATTTCCCCAAAATCCACGCTCGATTTTACTGGCGATAAGCTATAAGTATGGACAGCTAATCTCTGTGTCTGTGTACTATAGCAATTACTAATTAAGCACTCGTGAGTGTGAAACAAATCACCAATTGTGTTTCGTAATCTGAAAAGTAATCGCCTTAATGGTGTTTGCTAGAGTGCACTGGAATTTGCAGTCTTGCTATTCATTTGACTCAAGTTTTCAAGATGAGTTGAGATTTTCTTGAAATGGACTGATTTTGTGATTTTAATGTGACTAAATGTCGACATTACCATGTGTCCGCTAATATGTTGTTATTAATAGATTTCAAAACTCAAAGGAATTTTTTTTATGAATTTATAACTTAGCGAGACATTCCAAAAAACTAAAACCAAAATCAATTTAATTGCAATTTGCTGACAACAGACCACCGAAACAGAAAGTTTTGCGGCCACTCAACTAGAACATTCTAATTTGATACATATGAATATTTTGTCGCTTTTTTGCGCTCGAAATTTCATATCAACTTGTTTTATAATGTTGTTAATGCGGTAATTAACATTAATTCGTTAAAAACGACACCAGAACTTTGGCACCGAGGCAGAAATTAGAATCGTGTTCGCCGGACCAAAATCTTTGCGATTCCTCCCACTTTATCGTGTGTGATTTTATGACTTTATTTTATGCGCGCCATTCAAAGGAGCAAAGAGCTGAAAATAAGAGCCAATTAGAGAAATTGGTTTAATGGATTGCAAACTTCTTAGGTTCGACTTGTGCGTCAAACTAGATTTAATTCAATTGAAAACTGCTAACTACTCGCTCTTGATTCGAATGCAAACAATCATCGAGAGCTGCCAATCAAGTAAAATATTGTGTAAATAATTTATTCAACGCATTTTCATGGCTTTATCGAAGGCACAATGCGAGATTTTTGTATACTCGAGTGATTTTATTATCGCTTTGTAAGCTCACTGCGTCACTAGATTTTCGTGAAGATTTTTGTCAGAAATTCTGTGTTATCAAGGGAAAATCTTCTCCCGAATTCAGGGACAATCATTGCCCCGTGTTTCCCGAGTTCACGGTGATTTGCGCATTCCATGGGAGGTCGCCTGCTGGCCAAGGGTGCTAATTATATTTTTAAATTTTCCCTTCAGATAGCCAGATTGTGCACCCTGGCCGAAAGATCGCGGCAGTAAAGCTAGCTGGAGCACATGCGAGAACAAATATTTGTTAATTAAAAGGCAGAGACATGGCGCACACCTGTCGGCGGTCTTTTGAGGTCTCCGATAAGCGGGTAGAGTTTAGTAGTTTGGGTCGCCAAGAGCCTGGTCATGAAGCCCTCGAAACTGAGCTGCCAGCCAATCTGGCTTTATGATATTACTAATTACGCGAAACTGAATGTTTCAATTAGCTGGCGAGAACTAAAATTAAGCACAAACAGAGCCAAGTCGAGGCTCGTGTTGGCTTTCAAAATAAATTTATATAGGGCCGCCGGGAAACGTGAGATGTTGACTTAACTGACATACCGACACTGCGTCTAAAAATAATGCTATAGGTTCAGTATACTATATATCTTGTGGCCGCGCGCGATAACATATGTTAATTAACAAACTCCAGTCGAATTCGATACGATGTTTGCTCGGTTTCTGTTTGCCAGTGATCTTTTCCCGAGTCAGTGTCCTCCTGGTTGACAATTTGTTTCCTTGTCCGAAGGCTCTACTGTAACAGTGGCCTTTTGTTCACGCTGCTTGGCCAAATAATTAGCTGCCAATACTCTTGCGCCAAGAGGGCTGAATTCGATTTTGATTTGTCGCACCGTTCGCTGTTATACGGATTTGAAAATCAATCAAACACGCGTCCGCAACCGAGAGAACGTGACTGTCCAATTCGCGACATGCCAAATATCTGCGGATCGTTCGGAACGGCGAATCGTTTTGCTATTTAACTTTATCATTCGGGCGGCAGCTTGATGGCTTCATTACGCAGTCACTGATTCTCCCATCTCCCATTCAATTCCCAATCAGGCAACCCGCAAGATGCACAAACGCAACGCGGCTAATTAAGAGTTCAGAGTGCGGAAAAACACGGATATCTGGATATCTTCGAGGGGGGAAATGAGCCGCCCATTATGTACTTAGGATCTGTCGGCGGTAACGACAGAGAGCCATGAAAAAGCACACAAACCTGCACCGGAAGGAGGTCACTTGGCGCTCAAGGAGGGGCACTAAGTGCCTGACATTCGAGTTCCTATTCCGGTTGCTCTACAACCATCTGTTGCTAACATCGATGTTTGGCCCGGATTGCGTATACGCCACGAGTGCCGTCGGCAAGGCGTTGAGTGCAAGCAACTGTCATGACATCCACCACGGTTTCGATGTCTTCCCCAATCCCAATCCCACTCCCGCTCTCAATGCTGTCGATTCCAATCCCAACACCAGTTCCAATGCCACTGCCATGTGGCTGGGTCAATCGACGGACACGCCTGTGACCCTGACTTTGCCGCCCTCCGCCTGGAAGTGTTGCTGCTGGAATGCGAGCAATCAAGTAAGTGACTGATACCCGTACACTTTCAACTTTGCTCCATACGCGTGTGTTTACCAGCTAACCAGGGGGTAGCTGTAGATTAGCCTCCAATGAGGGTCACTTACTGACAAATAAAAAAGAGTCCTTACTACAAAGTTAATTAGGAAGATTGATAAAGTTAGATATTCATAAAGGCATAAATGTAATAATACTTGGTGCTGAAAATATAATATTATAATACAATTAGCCTATTTAATCAGCTTTTAAATCAAGTGGAAATATTTTTTAACAATTCTTCTGGTGATATAATAACAAGTAATTAAATTAGCTATTTTATAAGTGTTTTCCTTTATTCAATATGGGTTTGTTAAACAAATACTTCTCAGATATTCGAACGCAAATAAAAATTCACAATAAATCAAATTAGAAAGCATGAGGCATTCATTTTAAAGAATTTCAGGCTTCATTTTAATATGCTGTTTATTTAGACAACATTTCCCGGAGAATCCAGTGTGTGTATGGTGTGTATATACACCAAAGACAATTACAGCACTGCATTTTCATTTTAATGAATTTCAGAGTCGCGGCGAACAATGCAAAACAAAACGCAAAGACTCCGCCCACTGCAATGTTACATTTTTTAATTCCTACCTGTGTTATTTATGTCCCCAGAACGAGGAGGTGGAATGCCGTTGCGAGGGCGACGGTCTGAACCGCGTGCCGCAAACGCTGAAGCTGCCCCTCCAGCGACTGACCATCGCATCGGCCGGATTGCCACGCCTCCGCTACACTGGGCTGAAGGTCTACGGGCCCACATTGCTGGATGTGTGAGTAGCAACGTGTATTCCACATGTATAGATATTAATTGTCCTTTCGGACGGCAGGACCTTCACCGACTGCCTGCAGCTGGAACTGATACAGGACGGCGCTTTCGCTAATTTAACGCTATTGCGCACAATGTAAGCTGATTATAAGTGGCAGCTTCAATCGCCGGCAGCCCTTTATTATAAGTGCGTGTATCCTTTCAGCTACATCTCCAATGCACCCAAGCTGACCTTTCTATCGAAGGACGTCTTTGCTGGCATTTCGGAGAGCGTAGAAATAATGTAAGCCCTTTGCAATTACCGAATCTCGATTCGGGGTTCCATATGTGGTAGATAAATGGGGTGATTTTTCCAAGTCAATAAGCACTTACAGCTGTGCGATTTTGTTTTGGCCGGATAATAGGTCTATGTTGTGTCATCGATAAATATATAGCACTTCATGCTTTAACAGCCGGATCGAAGTTGAGTTGTTATGGAGTAGACTTTTGTTTGCCCTTTGATGCTGAATTCGTTTTTAACCTGTTGCCTTCGTAAAATACTGATTGAAATTTATTGTTTGCTGATAAATAAAACAGTTCAGTATGCCTGTTCCTGTAAAAAATACAATGTATAGGTACACGTTTTATATTTAATTCTTTCTGTATTTACAACAAACATATGGCTTCATTATTACAAAATCAATTTTAAACGCGTCAATATTCGTTTCAATTGCTTCTGGCGAATATTAAATTTCATATAAATAACATCGAACTTCAGATAGAACATGCGAAAAACTATTTGCTGTTAACTGTCAACTCGTTTTCTATGAAAATCTGAAATAATCCTGAAGGGGAAGAGCTGGAAAGTGCTTTGGGTGGTTATAACAATAGTGTGCAGGGGACGTGTGGGAGTCTAACAACAAAATGCCATTTTATTCCCACAGACGCATCATAAACAGCGGGCTTACCAGAGTTCCGGACTTGGGCCACCTGCCCCCGCATAATATTCTGCAAATGATGTGAGCACCTGAATACTAGAGTAAAATAAACGATTTAATACATACTTTTCTTGTATCTTATCTGTTTTTCAGAGATCTCGATAATAATCAAATCTCTCGAATAGATACTAAATCCATTAAAGTTAAGACTGCCCAATTGTACGTATAAATTGTTTTGCCCAAAAATAAGCGAGTTATCTTTAAAAAGAAAATTATCTTTGTAGAATTTTGGCAAACAATGATATAAGCTACGTCGATGATTCTGCCTTCTTTGGCTCAAAAATAGCAAAACTGTGAGTATTTGATAACATTTACATAAAAAAAAAGACTTTTGATTAACTGGTTACTTTTTAGCTCCCTGCAAAATAATCGAAAGCTTAAGCAGATGCATCCAAATGCATTTGATGGCATTATAGACATAACTGAACTGTGAGTTTTGCATTTTACTTTTTATAAAAATAATTTGATTATAATGTTGTATTATATTTTTAAGTGATCTCTCCAGCACTTCACTGGTTGGCCTGCCATCAGTTGGACTTCAGAACATTGAAGCATTATACATTACGAATACGCACACTCTGAAAACCATTCCATCGATCTACAATTTTCGGGTAAGGAGGACTTTCACTACAAGTATTATATATCTGAATTAATTGGTACCTTAATTTTGCAGAATCTACAGAGGGCTTATCTCACCCACTCCTTCCACTGCTGCGCCTTTCAGTTTCCATCGCGTCACGATCCCCAACGACATGCGGAGCGAATGCGGGAAATTGAAAAGTGGCGGGAGCAGTGCAAAAGTGACCATGGCTCCCGAAAGGAGAGATCTGCTTTGGATGGATTCGAAGGTCTTCCGGAGGATTTCGGCACCTTTGGCATGCCCGAACAATCTGGAACGGACGATACCTCCATCACATACGCTTCTTTTGATTACATGTCCGATGACACACTGAACAAAGGTACTTTTCACGAGAAGATCACCCTTAATCCGGAGGATGACATGACCGCTGAACTTTGTGGGAATTTTACTTTCAGGTAAGGTTCTCCTTAATTAACATTTTGTGTGCTCTAACTAACTAGCTCATTTTCTGCCTACAGAAAACCAAATATAGAATGCTATCCCATGCCGAACGATCTTAATCCTTGTGAGGATGTAATGGGCTACCAATGGCTTCGCATTTCCGTCTGGATTGTGGTTGCTCTGGCTGTTGTGGGCAATGTGGCTGTGCTGACAGTAATTCTATCGATTAGGTAAGTCGTTCAAATCATTTTGGCATAGAACGCTTGCTAACACTTTAAAAAATACGTTTCAATGAGGCTATAAATTGGACATTATTATTTGATTTCAGAAAAGGACTATTTTTCATCCAATTGTTTTTATATAAATATATTTTTTATTTAATAAATATATTATTTGCGAATTGAAATTGAGAACTGACCCATGTTCTTTGTATGATAGGATCTTTGTTTATTATAAAATTAATTATTTTAATATTATTTTTAAAATGTTGTTTGCCGTATTTGTAACCACTGTTCATTCCAGACCCGAATCGACGCCTGTGCCACGTTTTCTGATGTGCCATCTGGCTTTTGCTGATTTGTGCCTGGGAGTTTACCTGCTGCTGGTGGCCTCCATCGATGCCCATTCGATGGGGGAGTACTTTAACTACGCCTACGACTGGCAGTATGGTGGGTTGAACTGATTAATCAATGGATTTGTTTTTGATTGTGTTTTTATTTAGGTCTCGGCTGCAAAGTGGCCGGCTTTCTCACCGTGTTCGCCAGTCATTTGTCGGTCTTCACGCTGACTGTGATTACCATCGAACGATGTATGGCGATTACACAGGCGATGTACCTGAACCATCGCATCAAGTTGCGTCCTGCTGCGATAATCATGCTCTGCGGCTGGATCTACTCCATGCTGATGTCCTCGCTGCCCCTGTTCGGCATAAGTAATTACTCCTCGACCAGGTGAGCTAGCTAGGATGTCACTCAGAACCGAAGCACTGAATCCTTGGCCATTGCAGCATCTGCCTCCCTATGGAAAACCGCGATGTATTCGACACGATGTATCTGATTGCCATTTTGGGCTGCAACGGCGTGGCCTTCTCCATCATTGCCGTCTGCTATGCTCAGATATATCTGTCCTTGGGTCGGGAGACACGACAGGCGAGACATAATAATCCAGGAGAATTGAGTGTGGCCAAGAAGATGGCGCTTCTAGTAAGTAGATTAGATTTTATGTTGCTCCCTCTGAACAATTATAATCTCTAAACTCCATTATCCTTTTAGGTCTTTACAAACTTTGCCTGCTGGTCACCTATTGCTTTCTTTGGACTCACTGCTTTGGCTGGTTATCCACTTATCAATGTTACCAAGTCAAAGATATTGCTTGTATTCTTCTATCCTTTAAACTCCTGTGCGGATCCCTACTTATATGCCATACTTACATCCCAATATCGCCAGGATCTATTTACCTTGTTGTCAAAGTAAGTAACTTTTACACTAAAAAGATATGATTAATGAATATCTATTTTTTTTTAGATTGGGCCTTTGCCGGCAGAGCGCCTTAAAGTACAAGGATAGCTTATCTGGTCAGGCCACAACTCGATTCACTATCCATGGATCCATTCAGAGGCACGGTTCACTCACCTGCAAAATGCAGACCGTAATGGGAACGGAGACCCAGAAAATGCTGAAGTGCGGCGAGGATTATGTTTAAAGCGAAGCTTGAGTATTCTAAATACACTTCTTCCACCCCTGTTGTGATATCTACATTTAAACCTTTTAATTACGCTCTCTTCCGCTAATTGTTACAGTATTGTTAGCATCCCATGATTATTGATATTCTAAGAGAATACGTTTAATATACATTTTCCTGTCGTACTTAAGCCATTTAGTTAAAACTAAGAAAAGTATTGCTAAGAGAAAAGAGCTTATCCCAGTCAAAGTATATACATATTTGGATGTCGAATAAGTGGTTTCCAATAGTTATGAGTGTTTTAAGTGTTTTAAGCCGTTTTAAGTGTTTAGTGATAAGAAATATATTGGTGTAAAAACTATTTTCTGCTTTGACTTATTTCTTAAAACTTATTAAATGAAGTGAAAAGATTTGAAAATGCATGCTTAAACATTGAACAATTTTTAACAGTTTGGGGCCAGTGGTTTTTTAAGTTTGTTTGCCTTTTTAAGGAAACCTTTAAACAAAATTTTTTTAATTATTTAGAAAATGATTAAATAGCCTTTTTTATTTTTTTTATATTCTGACAATTGACGACATTTTACGCACATTTTACACGGGATTCTACATTGCGGATTTTGGCGCCACCTAGGTCTTGTAATTTTCCCTTTGGAAGTGGGAAATTTATTTAAACGAAATATCCCAGGATATGTTTTTCCAACCCTTAAGAACAGCTGACTTCAGAAAGGACCAAACAAGTAACGGGAAAATGCGGCGTCCTGCGATATTCGTAGCAATCTGCACAATATTTGTATTTAAATTCGCTCTCGGCTACAAGGAAATGCATGGACTGAATGGAAAGTTATTTCCCAAGGCAGCCACATTTAATTTTCCAGAGTACGCATATAAGGAGACCAGTAAGAATGTGAGTTTACGAACATATTGATTTTTCTGATCCACTTAACACTTTTAAATTCCAAACAAAAATCAGGAAATAACTTATCATGAAATGGAGGTGACTTGTGACCAGCACGCCCAGTGCATAAACCTCAGTCCCGTGGGCGTGGCCAAGATCAACTGCATCCGGCAGTGCATTTCACCATCCTGCTACAAGGACATCTATGCCTTCAACGAGCTGGAGGAGGGCGAAATCGATGCCCGGCTGAACTCCTTTAAGGGCTGTGTCATCCAGCGAATGTAGCAGCGACCCCAGTTGTTCAAGGAGTACTTAATCTACAAATGGCTGGAGTTCACTGGGATCACCTATTAAACTTGACTTATGATAATCTTTGCCGAGGACTCGCTTTTAAAAGACTTTTAGCGGCAGAGGATCTTAGGCTTTCGCCTTTTGTAGAGCATCAAATATGAAAAGAAATAAGCTTGTGAATCTGTAATCGAAATATGGTCCTTAACCTTAAAGCCAAATTTAGAATAAACTTTTTTCACCTAACTTAAATTTAAAAGAATTTTTTTCGTTAAAAACATGAACAAAAGTAAAATTGTAAAATATAAAAAAATTTCATATACAAAAAAAGTGCAAACTTAAAACTTTCTAAGAAATTTCTTTGGCCATTTATTTACATAATCGTATAATGTACGTTGTTTTACCCCATAATATAGTTATTTTAAATAGTTTCATAATATCTTAAAAATAGTGATATATCTTTACTTACTACTTAGTTCTTGTACCTCTTTTGGCAATTAGCCAAACCAACATTTCTCCCACCGAATGTTTGATTGAAAACCAATATATTCAATTGCATGTACACAGAACAAGTGAAACGGGAAAATTGTGGTGTTCAAACAGTTACAGCGGCAATTTCCAAAGGAAAATACAATTTAATTTTACGACTCTTGCGCCTATGACAGCAATAGTAGTTGGATTTCAGCCCCTCTGGTTCCGATTCCCTCTAGGCCATCAAACTCATGGTGTTCGAATTCGTAGATCAATCAAGTAAAATCAAGCGTGTTGTGTAAATAAACTACCCACCCACACACTCAAAGAGCACACACACAAAACGCACACAAGTACACTTATTTGTGCTAGTGCGGCGTTTAAGTTTAGTTCGGTAATTAAAAGCCAAATGCTCATAAAACGAAAATTTATTAGCATTGTTTAAGCGAGTGTGTGTTTGTCGAGCACACAAACTATGTCACATCGCAGTGCGTGTGTAATACAATTGCACATGGAAGGGGCGTGGCAGGGGCGTAACTGGGGTTATGGGCGGGACAGAAGGGGGCGGTAGGCGTAAAGGACGTCTGTAACATGTGGGTGTTGAAATCCCTATGGATTTTTAATGTGCTTAATTTGAGTGACAGCTCCAAAATGGGCACGATCGATTTCTCTGTGCTAACACGCCCTCCTTCCTGCCCCGCCCCCTTTCAAGCGAATGTCAATGTCCACACACACACCTACACACACCCACACACGGAGAGAAAATGTCACAGAAGTTGGACAATATTGAGTTATGTTTTTCATTTGGAAAATTGTGTGCTTTAAAAGAAAAACAAGGTTTGCAATTTCACTCATGAAAACAAAAGCTTTAATTGGTTTCGCGAAAGAAAATATATTATTGCATACTTTCTGTCAAGTTTTTAAGAGATTTTAAATTGCAGAAACCACTTTTTTATTTTTTCAAAGTGATTTAATTAATAGTAAAATGCCACACGAATTTGGCATTTTCATACGTTTAAAATGTATTAAAGAGTTTTAAACTTTTATTTACTTACTTTTCGAAAGCCATTAACTAGATATCAGTTAAATTTGTGACAAGGCCTCACCTTCTAATTCAGTAACATTATCCAATTTTTAAATTAGATCACATTTAAGTAAGCAATTTATCTTTCCTGTGTACGAACAACAATGGAGATGACAATATGGAGCTGATAATGCTAATTTCTTTGGCAGTGCACACACGCGCACGCCCTTATCAATTACAGGAAACCCATTTATTACCATCTGCATATGCAAGCCAATGTGTGAAGATGATGCCCCAATCCCCAATCCCCAACCCCAATAAAAAATACCCAAATTTCTTAGTGAACTCAGTGCTCATCTCGTGTAATTCCAGCTAATTCAGTGGAGTGCTGCGCGCCTTTAGAATCCTCCTGGTAAGCACAAAGTAAATTCATAATTAATACATTTGCAAAGAGTGATAAAGAAAGAGAAGCGAAATTAACGGCGAACGTCTCGTACAGTGGGCCCTCTGTGTACACAAACGGCTCGGCGCGACGCACGCACACGCCAAACGAAAGGCAAACGGTTGGCGAGTGGCAAGCGTTTGGCAAATTAGCCAAATGCGTTATTTGGCCCACAAGCATTTCAGTTTCAGTCGCTCACGGAACGTCCTGGCGTTTGGCCGCAAAACCAGAGAACAAATCCCCAAAACGCCCAGAAACGAAGAAACCAAAGAGCCAAAAGGTCGGAGAATTCGGTCGAGTGGTTTTTTGGTTCGGTCCAAAAGTGAAATTCAAAACGTTAAATGTGTGAAAAGTGTGCAATGCTCAGAAGAATATACAATATGTATCCAATGTGATCTCTAGACGGTCAACATCTGGCCATAATCAACTGATAAAATTATCAATTAACTGGCTGTTATCAGCCGAGAGCCAAACTAATGAGCTTGTCGCGGTTTCAGTGTTTCAGTGTTTCTGTGTCTGGGCAACAAGTCGCTGATCTGACATTGCTTTGTCCTGTTCACCCGGCGCGAACTAATCAAATAAATACGCCGGTTAATTGGGAAATGCATATTAATGAGGCCACCGCCCGCACCACCCACCATTGGTGGAAGCACTACCCTTCCTCCCACCACCCATTCATCCATCCACCCACCATCCCAACGACCATCTCACATCGCAGCGGGTTCACTGGCAGCTGTTACCTCTGCGCAATTCACCTTTCCTCGTTTATGGCACATTACTTTGGGCCATGTTGTCTCGATGGCACTGCCAAAGTTTGATGAATCATGGAGAATCGTGCGAAAATCTCATTTTCTCGGCTGCGTTTATGTCTGCACTTAATCCGCGGGCTCGCCACTTCGATTAGTCAGTTCGAATTTCCCCCGCATCTCCCCCTCCATCCGAATGCCTTTTTAATTTTATATCAGAATTTTCTAAATATTTCCCAAACAAATCCGGCAAATGTGTGTGCTCCGTGATAAAACATTAGCAACAAAATAAATACGAAAAGTCAAGAAGGCTAGAGTTTCAGATCGAAGTGGGAATGCTCTTTTGAGGACATATCTTAAAATGTATATTAAAGTTTAACCTTAAACAAAAATGTATTTGCTAGCTTCGGCATAAAATAAATTTTGTGCAAATCAATAACTCAAGACTCTCTCGATTCAAGCAAACAAATCAAAGTCAAAGGCATTGTAAGAGATATGTATTTTCTATAGCATCTATAAGATAATGAATTAAGCAAACAAACTAAAAGAAGCATTTTTCTCTTCTCTTGAAGCTTCAAGCTGAAAGATCAACTTTCGTTGAAATACTTGTTGAAGAATAAAAAGACTTTTGCTCTCGCTAAAGAATGTCTCCTACCTTTTGCTATGTTCTTTATAATACCCTCCTCTGCCAGGGTATAACAAATAATAAATCCGAAAAGTATGAGAAGACAGAAATAAAAAATGTAAGGCATCGAAAGAATTTTCGCCCTGCCGACATTTGTGTACTTTAATCGACAACACAAAAGAAGAATAACAACAAGAAACGAGAATAAAAAAAAACGCAACCTGAGAAAAAGTATCGCGCATACGCCGCGTTGACTATTTCGCTCCGCGTAAATCGTTGGATGCTGCTCGCGAGTGGGGGGCGGTTGTAAGAGGGGGAGGGTGGGGGATATGGGGATGGGGTAGGTAGCATCAGCATCTCAGGTTGGACGTTCCGACAACCGACAGCCAACTGTCAGTTTGTAATCAACGCGTGCCAACAGCAGCAACGCGGCAGCTGTGCGTGTGCATAAGAAACTTTTCGGGTCGCCCGCCCCAGCGACCTCGTCACCTCACCTTTAAAATACACCCTAAAAACACCAAAACACCACCCACCACCTACCATCTACCATCCCCTCCCCAATCCTGTTCGATTTCGTGACCTATAGCCACCCATCAATCGGCAACAAATGGCAGCATTACATCGCCGACGAAAACCCATTGTGCAAAGCCGGAGACTAATCACTTAACTATTTTTAAAGCAACGCACATGCAAGTGTACACGGGAAACAAAGTGAAATTAACCAAAGTTATCGATTCGATTTATAATTGATTTGCTGTTTTTGTTGTTTGATAGCCGAAAGAAACGTTTATGCTTCTCGAATGAAAACAACATATGGTTGCCCAGAAATCTGCTGAATTTTCATGAGATATTAAAAAACCAAATGATTTAAAACTCGTCTAAAAGAATATTGAAAAAAATTGATTTTCTTTAATAACAAAAAAAAAAAGTGTTATGGATTGTTTAACCCTAAAAGACTTTTGTGTTTTTAAAACATTACATTCCGTATAAAGTGAACAACTATGAAGTGAATTCAAAAGTGATTTTAACCAAAATCCAAGGCAAGTGAAAAGACTTTTACATAAAGTATCCAAATTAAGCTAATTAAATTGATATCTGCTAATAATCAAGAGTGTTTAGAGGTGTTGCCTAATCTACTATTAATCATTCCGTTAATAAAGTCCACACAGTGATCTTTTTGACCGCAAAATTGTGTATTTTATGAGATATCTAAATTTAATACAACATTTTCCATAAAAGCTAATCTCATTTGCCAACCGCTGCGATCTATTTTTGAAATTAGTGCAATCGTAAAATGATGAACGCCGCTTCGATCTTGAGTGGCCAATAATTCTTCAAAAATATATACACGTTCATATTGATCCAATGTTTAGAACTGATATGCAAAGCGATTCGGCTTTTTCGCGGTGCAGAGTGAGAGATACTCGTATCTGAGAGATGCAGTTCTGAGTACTCGTACTCTCGGCGTTAAAGTGTGTACTTAAGATGTTTGACTTGCGGGTGTGGAGCAGACTTCAAACGGGGGGATTGGGGCTTCTCAAATGTAGTGTCATCCGATCGAAGGTCGCCAAGCACTGAGATTCCGAGACCGAATCCCCAGCCAGAGGAATTCCTCGGCGGCAAAAACGGAACATGTGTCTGATTTATTTATTTCCCGACAAACGATATAAACAGAGCAATATGAAAACAGCGGAATATGAGTTTTACGCTCGGGACTATTTGCCGGCTGGCTCTGAAATTGAATTGTAAATGGCGATATTAATTGGAAATCATTTAAATTGCATTGTTTTTTTTTCTTTTTGGCTGCTCTATGCATGTTCGGTGGCATAATTTATGGACGCTAATTACTTTTGCCCCGCTGTATATTTCGTGTGCTGTCCAAGGCCAATTACGCTTACTTATTGCAATTTATGTGGCCACAGTCCGGCCGTAATTGGAAATTGTGTAAGGTCGCAGGCAATTCCATTATTTGTATGCAGTTCTGGTCGCCGGTCTTCGAGTCTGTCGGGTTTTTCTAATGACGCCACCGCGGCTGGGAACCCAACCCAGTTTTAAGATTCCCTCCAGCCATTTGATTAAGTGACCTTCTCGCCCACGCAGGATCAATTTGTTGATGTTCGTCTGAGTTCAACCTGCGAAATGCCGTCGGAAAGTGGTTTGCAACATCCGGATGCCATAATGCTCTACTCCAAGTTCTTGTCAACTGCATTGACGGTGACCACAGGCAACAGCTCCTCGGATGGCACACTACTACTGATTCAAACCACGGCAACTCCAAGTGGAGAAATACCACCAACTGGAGGATCCACAACACTCAAAGTGGGTGTGCCATCGATGAATTCCTACCTGGTTAGCATGGCTTGGCCAAAATCGCTGGCGGTGGCCGTCTTCCTGATCCTCATCCTGGTCACCGTAGTGGGTAATACACTCGTCATCCTGGCTGTCCTGACCACGCGACGCCTTCGCACGGTGACCAATTGCTTCGTGATGAACTTGGCCATCACCGATTGGCTGGTCGGCACCTGTGTGATGCCCCCCTCGGTGGTTCTCTACATAACAGGTGAGTTTGCCCATCGACGGCTGAAGATTTATGGCTTTCCAAGGGGCCACTACACTTCTAAAAGGCAAAAGGAATCGGGAATCGGGAATAGGGAGGAGTGAGTAGGGAATCCGTGGCTAGTGTTTACTATACCAACCGCTTTGCTCCGGTGGAAGTTCAGTATAGTAAACATTTACCAAAATCAACGGGGGGGAGCACATTTGTTCGATTCCGATTCAAAATAATCCCATAAAAAAGTTATACAATCGCACTTTGCAAAAAATATACAGTTTTTTTCGATTGCAAACATTTTGCCAGTGGCGAAGCCTTTTTTATTCGATTCCCCAGAAAGACTTTTTGTTTGATAACTTTTCTGAAGAAGATTTGGTCGTATTTTATCTGAATTTTATTTAGGTTTTCTTATGTATGTTATTTGGTTGAAAAGATGGAGTTATATATAGGACTAAAATCGTTTGCTTCAATTACAATTCAACTCAATTAAACGTCTAAAGTTCGCTCGAGGAAATAACTGGGACATTCTTGCTGGTTATATAAGTTCTTGAGTAGCTTTTACCTTTATTGCCTATAATTATAATTAATTATTACCAATTAATATTCAGATAATCTCTTAAACCTCTTATTTCAAGGGTAAAAAATTGCAGAACATAAATACTAGACCATCTAATAAAACAAGTTATCATCTTGCAAAAGGCGAAATAAATCCGCTTTTTTGTTTCACTAGCAACCAATCAAGGGTTAAAAAGTCTAAGCTCCTCCATTATAACTCTAAACAACCTGTGAATAATTTGGGATAATATAACTTGGGTAGACAGTGTAATGCCATCCTAATCCCCGCCAGCTGCACAAATCAAGTCAGTTGAGGCATGTCCACAAATATTTTCACTCCTCAGGCACTTGGCGCTTCGGCTGGATACTGTGCGACATTTGGATCTCGCTGGACATCCTCCTGTGCACCGGCTCCATCCTCAGTCTGTGCGCCATCAGTCTGGACAGGTGAGTTGGCTCCACTAATTTCTTAATTTGTCGTTGATGTCATAGCTGTGCTCCATGGTCTCTAGTCCTTGGTCCTAAGTCCTTTAACCGAAGGGAAGCCAAGGCGAGGTGTAAAAACAGTGCAAAATAATTTATTTGCTGACGTTTTTATTGGCCCATGACCGTTGTCGTGGCCACTCCATTGCCACACAGTGCATACCCTTTGAGTGTCCAACGACACAATGGCTAGGATTGGATTGGGTTGGGCAGACAGCGACGCCTTTCAGTCCTCCTCCTCCACCTCGGGAGCTTTTGTTGGAAGTTTCAATTACATTTTAATGGCATTTCCAAGTTTTGTGTTGTGGCTCCGGCTCCGGCAAACCGAACTGAGCTGATCCAGCTGAGCTCCAAGCCCCGAACCCTCCTCAGGGCTTCCAGCTCTGAATCTTCTGGTCCTGAAACTGTTCCAACCAACACCCACTGCGTTCTGTTTGCCTTTTGGCCCTGGCCAGAAAGCCGGCTGCGGCTTTGCGAACAATATGTCCGCCTGGCTTTTTTTTTTTTTTTTGTTTTTTGTTTTTAGTTTTGTTTTTTGTTTTTTCAGCATTTCTCTGGCCATTTCTGTTGCGTTTATTGGCCTGGCTTTCAGTCTTTGTTTTTTATTTCGCAGGTATCTCGCCGTAACACAACCCTTGACGTACTCCAAGAAGCGGCGTTCCAAGCGACTGGCCCTCCTCATGATTCTCGTCGTGTGGATAACGGCCCTGTCAATCACATGTCCGCCCTACTTGGGCTGGTAAGTAAGCTCCACACGGCTGCACCGAGAAAAAGTGCTCAAGTATTCAAGAATTCCATCCCATGATCGATTGGCTAACCGTTCGTTAACAACAAGGCTTTTTATTAAAATCTTTTCACTGTGATGAATTAGTACGGAATGGAAGGCCTTTAAAGGCATTAAAAACGTTGTTATTACTTAAGGATCAAGCAGTTCCAACAATTCTTTGATAAATCGAATTTCTAACAAATTTCCAAAGAACCCTAAAGTACAATACTTTTACTTAAAGCTTCAAAGCCATTTCTAATTATTTCATTAAATTCTTCAACGAATTTCTTGTTTTCTTTATTTCTTATTCGTTTCAAAACATGTTTAAGTATTTCTTTCTTAATGAAAAGTCCCAGGAATATAATTTAATCATTTTATATCCCTTAAAAATGTTTATTATTTTAATTATGCTTTTTTTGTAGTGTAACCCTTGCCCTTTTACTACCTTCCCCTTCCGGAGGCGTGGCGAAATTTTCGTGGCTGTTTCTAGCCACTGGGCTTATTCCTTTCGTTTTTTTTTTGACACTAATGGCTGCGTGGCCCAGTATAGATAATGTATTGCAAAGGGTACTGAAATTCATACGCTTATTTATATTTGGGCCTCCAGCTGCGCCTAAAAAACATTACGTAATTGCGCGGGTTGTTGCTGTTGTTCTTGCACTCATTACATTGAAGTTTTAATGAGTTGTTAATGACTTTGTTTGCCGCGGCGCATTTGCTTTGTTCCCACCTAGACATACACACAACCAAACACCCTCACACACACACACCTACACACAAGCCATCGCAATCCGAAAGCCGCACACTTGGTTGTTGCATACTTCCAGGAACCCAAATTAACCAAAACTCACTCACACTCATGCACACACACACACACACACTCACCACAACGTCAGCGTGTCCTTAAAGCCCCTGGCCATGGCTTAGTTCGCAACCTCACCCCTCTTCACCCCCCCGAAAAAACATGGCTTAAAGGGCACATTAGAACGAGCTGAGGCCGAATTATAGCCACAGCTGCAGGACATTGGAAAATTTTGGAAAATTTGTGCTGGGGGAAAATCGCAATTATATCAGGCAGCAGATGCTGCATTTTGCCATTTTTCAATTCTTTGAGCGGAATAGTTTCATAAAAAAGTTAGCAATTGCAGTGGGGAAAAAACTCGGGTTGCATAAAATTTCGTTGCAGTTTCTAACTCAAGTTAGTCAGCATATTTAATTATCTTGAATTTTGCAAAGCTTTTCTCTTTTATTATTCACAGCTTGTTAGTTTTCAAAATGAAAAGCAGTCTTGCTTTCGGTGTTATACAAATATTTGCATAGTTGCTTTATAAAGTTTTTCACTTGTTCTTAGTTATCAAAACTTATATTTGTTTCTTTTAATTTGCTTAAATGCATTTCTGTTTGAGTGGTAAAATTTGTTAGTTTGGTCTTTTGTTGCCCAATAGTTATTTAAATACGTGCTTCTTAGTTATTCGTTTCCTTTAGTCTGTTTAAATGAATTTATGATTCAATAATAATAATAATAGCTCTTGATTATTTCTAGTCCTTTGTTTCTAAGTACAGGCTTTTATTTGTAGCCATGGTTAACTATACAGCTATTTTTATTTTCTTTAGGATAATTTGTTATCAGTTTATATAATTGGCGCGGCACAAAGCTTTTATGGTAACAAACTTTTACGACCTCAAACAGATAATTCATTGTTGCGACTATGGTATTACACCATCGGAAAATTCCATTGAATGGGTTTTCCCCCCCATTTTGCCATTCAAACCCCAAAAGTGCCAGTCATTCCTCTATAGTTCCTTGATCAAGTTCACTAGGGGATATAAAACCAAAAAAAAAAAAAAAAAGAAAACGTATGCTTTACTTTGTTATCTGGAAAAGCGCTTCTCCGGTCTATTGATTTAAAGTCAGCTCCGATTTGCGTTTGGCTGAATGACCGTCACGGGGAGATGTGCATAAATAAAAGGCTTGCGGAAGGGACTCCGAATGGCTTTGGCTCAGGATTTGAATTCGAATTTCGTCCTGCTTAACTCAGTCAGTTGTCATGCCCAAAGTCCCAGGACTCCGCAAAAAAAAAAAACCGCATCTCCCGACCGCAATCACAGCCGCAAAATTCAGCAAACCTACATCGCACATCGCACATCCTTACAACCCACAATCCTGCCAGCCTGCCATTCAGCCATCCTGCCATTCTGCCATTCTGCCATCCTGCGAGCAGGAACCACATGCAATTCGAACTGGAACTGGAACTGAAATTCAATTTGGCCACCATCCATCCACAGGTACGAGGCGGGCAGGCACCAGGCGGAGTTCGTCGACTGCCGCTACAACCAAAACAAGGGCTACGTCGTCTTCTCGGCCATGGGATCCTTCTTCATTCCGCTCACCGTGATGCTCTACGTCTACGTGAAGATTGGTTATGTGCTCACGTCACGGCGACAGCGTATTGTTCGCGACGCGGTAAGCCCAGCTCACTTTCTACTTTCCCCCTAACCCTCCCACTTCCCACTGCCCCTCTCCCCTTTCTCCCTCTCCTGAAATATCTCCTAGAATTTATCATGTCACACTGTCTAACCAACCAACCAGCTGACTAACTTGTCAAGCACTCAGGAGAACATCATTATCGGGCATCAGAACACAAGTACTTTACTCGACTTAATTTAAGTCTTAAAATGAAGATCTTTCAGCTGATTAAAACATTTATCAATTAGGTATACCCAATTTGAAATGAGCTTGAGTTCTTAGTTCAATTTAATTCCATGTAACCCCTTGAATTACAAGTGCCTAAGCAGAAAATTCAAGGTGATATTTTGAGCGCTTAGATTTGATAAAAACCTTAACAATGATTTACTGTAGGTAAGATAATAGTTCACAAACTTATTTCATAGATAATGGAAATTCGTTCTTGTGTGTTGCTTTATTTTAACACTGTGTTCAGGTAACTACCTTTTAAATATAAAAGTTCAATTTAATAAATAAATTTATTTAAACTTCCATTGCTTTTAATAACTATTGCTAATAATGTTATGTTTAGTAAAATTACATTTTTAGTTAGCTTGTTCGGAAAGGGTTTAAAAAAAAGCTGAGGCTGAATAGTAAGTTCATGAAAGTGTTTAGGATTTAAGCCTAAGCTAAAATGAAACTAATTAATTAAAGCAATCTCCAGCTACCGACATGCAACCTGAATTATTCCTGACTTTTTTGTCACTACTCTGATATTCCAATCTCATTTGCTCGCCTCCTCTCCAGAACTCGGAGCGCACGGCGGACTACGACGTGGACGGGGACAACTTTATCTCCGAGTCGGAGCACTACCACTGCACGCCAACCAAGTGGCTGCCGAACAGGAAGTCCCGCTGGAGGTTCAGTTCGCTGCACGACACCACCAACACCACCAACAACACCACCAACACCACCTCTGCGAATTTGGCGAAGGGACAGCAGTCGTCGGTGAAGTGCGCCAAGTGCTCCACTTCGACTGGCACTCCGGGAACTGGAAGTGGACTGCCACTGGCGGACAAAGCGGACAAAACGCTGACGTTCAAGCATCAGCCAACTTTTTACGAGCTGGTCGAGGTGTCGCGTCTCTCGTCGCTGATTCACTGCTCGGCAATTAGCTGCAAGTACGGCGGACCCTGCATCCACTCCACGCCATCCGGATTGCATTACGTGGGCACGGAGACCTCCTTTTCGGACACCTGCCTGAGTTCCACTTCGCCGGGCTTGGAGGTTACCGAGAAATTGGAACCCGAATCCATGGCGAAATCCCAACAAAAGCAACAGCAGCAGCAGCAGCAGAATCAGATTCACAACCACACCCATCATCATCATCATCAGCAGCATGGTAATCATCAGGGATCGCAGAACCATCACCACAACCACCATCATCGAATGCCAATGCGAGTTTCGACCACGAAACGTGATAGCAAGACCGCCAAGACACTGACCATCGTGATGGGCGGCCTAATTGCTTGCTGGCTGCCCTTCTTCGTTTACTACCTGCTAATACCCTTCCTGCCGCGACCCGCCGTCCTCGAGGACCTCATGTTCGGCTTCACCTGGATTGGCTGGGTCAACTGTGCCATCAACCCGTTCATCTACGCCTTCTACAATCCCGACTTTCGCACTGCCTTCTGGCGGCTCACCTGTCGTCCCATTTGCAAGCAGAAGCGCCCTCCCAACCACTTGGCCATGTTCCGTGGCTAGTTTCCAAGTTTCCGGCCTAATGGAGCACTTAGAAGTGTCCAAGTCGCAGTCGCATTCACTGGTTGCACAATCGAAACTCAGTTTTTGGAGGGGGGAGTGTGGTCCTAACTACAGGAACTACCTCAGGCATATCCCTTTGCCTCTGCTGCTTTCGAAAACTTTAAAGTTATGTACCAAAAAAAAGGAAGGATAGTTAGTGGCAAATGCAAATGTGAAAGGTTTTTGGCCTAACTTTTTGGCATCCCAGAAAAAGGACAATGAAATGCACATTTTACTACAAGTGAAATAAGATGAATTTGATTTCATTTCTTTTTAAAAAGTATTCCTAAAGAATAGTCATAAATTTAAGCATAAACTAAATTATTAAACGAAAGGAATTTCGCTTAGAATAAAAAGTATTTTATATAAAATCTTATTTAAAATTAATTGATCGAAAAGAGAAATTCCATTTTACAATCTAGTTACATTGACAATGAAGTTGTACTTCATTAGCATGTTTTCTGTTTAGCACAAATTAAATTGCACAAAAATGCCTATAAGGTCAAATCTATTTTTTCCACAAAAAGCAGCTAGCAAAGCGCTCTGGATAAACTTTAACTAAAAGCCATTAAATGAAATCAAATGTTTATAGCATAGACGTGTTAATTTGTTTGTCTGTCTGCCCGAAAATGAAATTATTATTTGGGCACACAAGTTCAATGCTCAGGCCTTTTAGCAAAGTCGTGGCATTTGCCTCATGAGCCGAGTTTCCCCATTAGTATTCATTTTGCAAAGATCCAAGCTTTCAGTTACACTATCTATCCCCAGGCAAACGCAGAAACTAAAACTAAGATACTTTGGGTAAATATTGGTTCAAAGACGATTGCCTTGTTAAGCCAGAAAGTTGCCAGCAAAAAGAAAAATCCTTTGAGGCTTCGAAATCCCACTTTTCGAACAGTGGCTTTAAGGCCACTTCAAGGCGGTATCTTTAAGAGCCAGTGGACCTGGCCGGAAGTCGGGTTTCTTTCCTAGACCAGATCCCAAATTGCTATATAGTATTTTCGTTTGTGTGCGTGAGCGTTGATTGTGCCGAGGAACGAGAAACGAAACGAAACAAAAGACAAATTATAGTATTTGCGAGTCTTTGTTGCCTGACGGCGACTGTTGACCGTCAGGATGAGCAGGATGATGATGATGGTGATGAGCACGAGGACGTAGATGTGGACAAGGACGAGGACGAGGAGGAGTCTACTGTTTCCTCATCTTCATCCACACTCCGAATTCTTTGTTGTGTGCGTCTATTTTTGTGTGTGTTTGCAGTGGCAGTAGCTTTAGCTTTAGCTTTAGCTTTAGTTGTAGTTGTAGTTGTAGTTTTAGCTGCCAACGACATATATCCTGGCTGCGTCCTTTGTTGGCCAAGTCCGGTCAAGCCGGGAAGCCGGGCCTAACCCCGCAGGCACGGTACACAGTTGTCCGGCCAACCCATTTAATGTTTAAGCAATCGCACGGCTCGGCACACGGCACTCAACGCTCGCCGCTCGAAAGCGAAAGTGAATGCGAAACTGTAACTAAAACTGGGCCGGATTTCAAGCTGCACTTGAGCCTCCTGGCATTTTTAATGACCTCTCGACCCAAGCCCCTTTGTCACACACACACACCCATACTGTGACACACACACACACTGGCACTAGCACTAAACTCATTAAGCATTTTAGCCAAACTAATTTGTATAGTTGTATTATACTGGTAACCAACTATGTATGTATGTTTGTACTTTATAAATGTTCACTTGGAATGGATCTCTGCAAGGACCAATCGGCCAGCCGACAAGAGTCCTAGAAATAAACTTTAAGTCATACCCGCAGGCAGTTTTACTATTATCCTGGAACAGGATTACGGCGGAGATGGAAGGCGGTTTGCCAAAAATATGAAATATGCTCACAACTCACGGCGGTAATTTCGGCATTCGGCTATAAATTGTCACACAAAAGTTTTACGGGCAATTCGAGGAACACGTCTTCTCGTTCAAAATTAAGGTAGAACGTGCTGTGTGGTAAACACATGAAGATTTGTCAACTGAAACTAGTGGTTACACATTCCGAAGTTTGCTATTTTTATTTGGATTATTTTTGGACTTGAGAGTCTTACCAAATAATCTGTACAGAGAAAATTAAAAGAGGGTGTTGGCTTCCGTTTCCGTTTCCGCATTCGCACTCACATTTATATCCTTCTTTTGATAAGTATCTGTAAGTATTTCAATGTCTGAATTGCAGTCTGATAAAAGCTTAGCCCCGCACCCAAAGGGAAGTCTTAATTTATGGGATAAAAGGGGGGTGGGTGAAAATCTAAAGGGGGAGTGGAGGAAAAGCGCACTTTCCAGCCCAGCCTTGACTTCATTTTTTGTGATTTATTATTGGAAGTGGTAACCCGGTGGCCGCCACTAAGTTGTTTACGGCAAAAGAGGACGGAAGCAAAAGGAAAATGCGCTGAATCAGCGAGTGAGGATTACGGCGGATTCGGAATACGGCTGTGACTCCGGTCCAAGTTCCAGCTGGGACCGCGTTGGCGTTACATTAATTTAGCTGGAAATAAGGCGTGAAAAAAATATGCGGTCATCATAATTACATATACCCAACCACCCCACCACCCAACCACCCACAGCCAACACTCACAATGGCCGACGACCTCCCACATATGTGACTAATATAAAGGCATGACAGGATGGGCGGAACCAAGAGGAGGTTAAGGGGGAGGTGGCGCTGGGTGGCCATCCGCCCGCTCTCTAATGAATTGCAACACATTTCGCTGTCACATTTCACTTTCGAGTCGAGCTCAGCGGAAACGGTCTCCCTTAATGCCCCCTGTCAACGGGCCCCCTTCAAAAACTCCGCACTCAGTACGCCGTTTCGTAAATTTTGGCTTTTTACAACCGCCACTTTTCGCGGAGGAGGACACGGGTATGTTGTATTCGCAAATAAACAGGTAAACGCGAAAGCAGGGTGCCTTCGTCCTTCGAAGACTAACGAGAGCATAATATCAACTTGAAAAAATTCAAAGTTAAAAAGAATTAAAATATGTTTTGATAATACATTTTTCTATATGAATTTAAGCTTAGTGAGTTTTATGTGTGTTAATTCCACAAACCATCTTTAATCATAACATTATTTGGTGCTTGAAAAGTATCTTATTTCTGCTTAGTCATTCTTATGCAATAATATATTCTGCTTCCTCTGGATTATATTTGTTACGGTCATGTCCCTCAAAACATCTATTTAGCTTTTATTTTAATTAAATACTTTTTATACATTATAATACAAAAAATGTACCATTGCTCTTCAAGTAAGAATTACTATTGCATCTCCTAAAATACACGCTATTATACTATGCTTTTCCATTTATCTAAAATATAAGTACTGCTACGTAATCTGTTAAGTACAAAAAGCTGTTTAACAATACAGAAAAGATAAACAAATAATACAACACATTTTCAAGTACCAGGTACTTCGCATTCGAACCACTCACCTTTATTGTTTTAACTTGTTCCGGTTGGACCCCTTAACTTTTACCCACTTTGCTGGCTGATATTGCGTAATGTGTTAAATTAAATGGCCGCGGTTTCAGGTGAAGGCAGTTGGGAGGACCAAAAGGACGAAGAGGAGCCTCATTGTCATCCTATTTTCAGCCGCTTGCTGACAGGGTGCTCAGGCTAATGTTGTTTGTTGCCCAAGATTTTCGGTTATGTCATCGCAGCTTTTGTGGCTTATGAGCAACAACAAAAGCAACAAAAATACAAAACAAAAAAACAACCGAAAAACAGAACACATCGATATTTTCGAGCATTTAACAAGTGCAGGAGACAGGAAAAGTTTTGCGAAACCTCCCATGACAAATGCCCCGCAAATGTTTTTCGAATGAACTTTGGTTTTATTTCGGCTTCTTTTGTTGGCAACGCCAAGTTGTTTTTCCGGCGAAATGAGTCTCCTCAAGTGCCGCCCACTCTGCATCCCATTTGGAATTTGGATTTGGTTTGGAGCGGGGGCGACTTGGTTTTCTGCTCAGCCGATCAATTAATGCTATCCAAGTTGGGGGCATGGGCTCAATTAGAGTCTTAAAACTCCATTTAGAGTATGCTCCGATGAAGCTTTCCCGTGGGATGGATGTGGATGTGGGTTTTGGGTTCGATGTGGCACAAGCTACAATGAAATATTCATGGCGGAACGACGGGGTTAGCTCCTCGTATTTATGGTTATTTTCCGCACCAAACACAACTTTGCTCTCCCGGCAGCTTGGCTTTCCTTTCGTTTTTCGTTTTTTTTGTTTCCCGACGTTTTTCACCCGAATTCGTGGAGTGACTGGTTCTCCTGGTTAAATATAAATACACACAAGTACTCACACACGGATTGAAGAGGGGGTTATGGCATAGTATAGCATAGTACAGTGTATCTGCAGTTGCGAATTCAATTTTGAGTCTGATCAATAATTCAAGGAGCCCGCACTGTAACCATTGTTCAGGATGCCCCATTCCAAGTCCTTCCTTTTTTGTTCATCCCGCCAACTTAAAGTGGCGAGTGCTTAAATAACAGAGAAACAATCTGCAGCTCCTGGGAGTTTTGTCTTTTCGAATTGTCTATTTATTTGTTCGGTTCCAAAAAACTCTGTTCGTACACACAACTATTAATACGACATATTAAATATATATTTATATGCAGATTATGCGGATTATGTATGCGATGTCTATCAGAGAAATGCGACTTGATGGACGGGCGTGTGATGATGATGAGTTCCTCCATCCGCTGTGTTTTTTTTCTGTTTTTTTTTTTTTTTTTGGATGGTTCGGAAGCTCTTTCACCCGGAGCATCTGTTTGTGAGCTGAAATTCAGAAGGATTGAAGGAAGTGGGTCCTGGGATGAGCTACAGTTTGCTGATGAGCGTTCGTCTGACTTAATCTCTATGTCGTAGCATTGCTTGATTGCGTTTATGACTCCGCACCTCTGGAAAATGGATGGAGTTTAAAAGTAGATTGCTTGGTACAACACGAAACTTGAGTCCTACTTTAGGTTTAGCTAAGCTGTTGATGGCTTGAATAAATTATGCCTTAAATTATACACTAATTACACCTCATTCGCACATTCAGATTCAGATTTACTTTCGTTTTACATTCACACTTTGTTAAGACTAAAGGAAAACTCTTGAAGTTCCAGCCGACTCGAACTATAAACTAAATCACAGTAACTGTTTTTTTTGTTTTAACTGGCATTCCGATAAAGCTGATTAAAGCTAATTCTCGACTTGATCCACCGGTAAGTTTCCACTGATTTCAGTGCCCATATATTCACGTAAATCCATCAAGCTTGCGAAGTTTATGGTCCCCGGATATCAGTTATGATATGGAGATAGATAGGCCGGCACTAAATGAAAGTGCGATAGGGACGATTTGCATCGTAAAATGCCAAAGGGAATGCGGAACTCAACCGGACGTCGGTCGGGGTCACCAGCAAAAGGTAACCGCCCACAAGCACGCGGCTGAATTTTAGAGGACGCGCAATGTGCGCCATTTCGGTGAGCCATATAAACAAGTTTTCTCATCCATCTAAACTGTCTACGCCATTGGCCAAGTTGTCTGGGCTCTCCGGGTAGAAAAACAGGCAACATCCAAGGCAATGTTGCCAGTTTAGAGGCGCCACCCGCTGAGCGGAAAAGCGGAAAAGTCGCACGGAAATTACTAAATCGATACGTGCTGCCGCGTATCAGATTTTCCACGGGTTCCGCATGCAAAACTCCTGCAGCAGAAATACCTTGAAATCGTGGCCTGCACTCGCATGTATATAAAGTCATCTGCCTACAGTCGAACCACTCTAAGTCAACTTTTTTTTATAACTAGAAACAACAAGGTAAAACTGAGTATGCATAACTTAATACTTGAAGGTTTTCTACTTATATTTTTCTATAGGTAAGTTTGTCTTAACATAAGTAACACATTTTAATGTAATTTTATAAAAAAAAGGCTTTCAAATTCGAAAACTACCTTATTTAACAACTTAGATATTTTAAATTTAAGCAAAAACTTAAATGCTTTAAGGATATTCATAGCTCCCAAATATGTGACTTCTAGAAAGAGATAACATAATTTGTTTTAATCTTTGGCATTTAAATATTTACCCTTATTCAGTTTCTTGAGATGTTCATCGTTTTCCGACTTAACAAAAATATAAAATAAATTCCTTAGTAAACAAGAATACTCTGTGTTCAACTTAGCTAGGTTCGACTGTAGACTCTTGTTACAAGGTGGCGTCTTAAAGGTCAACTGAAAGCAGTGGAATTCTTGGTGGGCGACAGTCGTCTCCTAAGTGGCAAAATGATCCAGAATCGGAAGCGAACCCTGACGATGGAATAAATTATACGAGAGACTGGAGAGCAATTACGCGTGGCCATTGGGATCGAGTGGCGCTGCAATTACGGACCACACCCTGCCGTCGCCCAAAGTTAATGAATAAGTTAATAATATGTTACGATGCGTGCGGCCATTTGCTCAGGGCTTCTGGGAGTGGATTGGAGTGGAGTGGAGTGCTGTGGGGATTGGGCTTATCATTTGCCCTCTGAGGATGAGTTCTGCTTAATCTATCGCCGGATGGACATGGTGTTCGTGGGGAACTGCGGCTTCTGCCCGGCACTGAAGAATCTCTTGCAGGTGAGCCGCCAGAAAGCCGCTCGGAAGTCAACGCTGTAGAAGGCGTAGATGAACGGATTGATGGCGCTGTTGAACCAACCCAGCCAAGTCAAGGCCTTGGCCAGCATCTGACTGGCCTGGTGCTCCGCCAGGAAGGGAGTAATCAGATAGTTGACGAAGAAGGGCAGCCAGCAGGCGATGAACCCACCCACCACAATGCTCAACGTTTGCGTCGTCTTGTTCTCCTTCTTCAGCGACGTAATCCGATTGGACAGGGACTTGCTGGTGGTGTTCGTGTTCGCCGCTCCGCTGCTGGTCGAGGTGGTGGTCACCACACTCGCCTGCTGATGATAATGTGGATTCGAATGGTGGTGGTGGCTCCTCAACCGATCCCGCTCCCCATGCGAATGCCTAAAGCTGTGAGTTCGCGGCACCGGCGGCTGTGCAAGTGAGTGGGTTTGGTTTTGGGTCGACCACTGGGCATCGAGAAGACTGCTACCCGGTCCCATGCCACTGGTCATCGTGGTGATGGTCGTCGAGGCCGTGGAAGTGCGTTTCAGGGACGAGGGACGTGTGAGTTCGTAGCAACCGTTCTTGGAGCAACTAGTTCCGCCGCCGGAGGGCAAAGCCAAAAGCGATTGACAGTGGGTGTGGGTGTTAGAAGTGGTGGTAGTGGTGGTGGTAGTTCCTCCTCCTCCTCCTGCAGCACCACCCACTCCCCCTCCCCCTCCTGTTATTGCACAATTGTCGCTGTCGCTCAGCATCATGTCCTGCAGCTCCTTGGCTATCGTCTGGTTGGAGAAGGTGCGCGATGTGGCCTGCCTCGAGTGCCTCTGGTGCTGGCCCATCGAACTGTGCTGCTCCTGCTCCGAGAGCTCGTTCTCCACGTCCGCCGCCGTGTAGCGCTTGAATTTCTAGACACGCAAAGTGCACAAGGCGGTTAAGTCAATGCGGATGATAAATAACTAAAATGAAGTCAATGGGCGGTAAAAGCGGTAAAAGATGAGCGCAGCAGGAAGGGAATGGGTATGGGAATGGGAGTGAAGATTTTGTGGCGAAAACGGATGTCACGCGAGGAAAAGCCAAAGCCTTAAACACTCTGAAGCACTTTGCTCTTGAAGGAACCGAGTATTTTAAGCCCCTTTAAAGCTGCACTCACTTAAATACCCTGAAAGCCTTGTTCTTTATACTGCATGATGGGATAATCTTGCTAAATTTAGGGGTATCACACATGAATTTATGGCGCATGTGAGCTTTAATTTAGTGGAAGTGAGTTTTAAACACATAACATATGTATGAAGCAGCCTAAGGCAAATGCAAAGTAGATTGCATTTAAGTGTCGGCTGTTAAGAATACAGTTTGAAAATGTTTTGGCAGAGGAATCTGGTTTACGTGTCGAGCATGTTTCTTCACACTCAAAATGTTGTGATAATCTCCATAAACATGAGGATATTTAACAGGATTTTAAGGTAAATCAGTAAAAGTGAATTTAAAGCAAAGTTTATGCTGCACAAAATATGTTTGATTACCAAAGCATTTAAATTTGATTTATTTAGTAAAAATGTAAATATTGATTAAGTGATTTTTAACTGTATATTTCTTCGCTTAACTTTAAGCAAATAAATACATATTTTAACTCCCATAATGACCATCAATTTGCGGAACCCCACATAATCATTTACCCCACAACTGTATTTTTATAATGTTATGTAATTTGCGAGTGCTATAATAACACATTAAACGGCCTTGTGTATTATCCCATCTCTTGACTTATACTTTCGCCTTGGGGCCAAAGTCCCCTTTTTAAAAAGGAGGCAGTTGAAAACTCATTATATTAGCTACATGGGTTGCCAAAGTTGAAGTGAAAAACTTGTTTTATGGCGGGCAATAAACCGGACAAACGGAAGTTGGACCCCAGAAACCCCAGCCGACCGAGATGCTCTGGTTATGGTATTTAAATCTGTGTAAGCTCCTGGCGTTTGGGAATTATAAAGCAAACGTGCCGCAGTTTCTGTCGTACGTGGAGTGGCATTTAAGCCAAAAGTGGCTCGCAATAGAGATGACTTTGGGCCAGGCCAACAGCTCTTGTTGTTGTTGTTGTTCAGTTGTTATAGTTGTTATAGTTGTTCTAGTTGTTATAGTTGTTGTATTGCAGCTGCAGTGGTTGCTGTGAACCGTATTCCCTATTCCGTATTTCGTATTCTGTATTTGTGCAGTTTGTTGGCTTTTTGGGGCGTGGGAACCGATGGGTATGTTTGAACTTTGGAGGTGGGAAAGGGTTGAAAGTGGAAAGGGGAAGAGGGGTACGGTGTATGGGGAGCTTACCTTGTTGTGAACACTTATGTCGGTCATATTGTCGTGCCTGGATGCAATGACACAGGAAATTCTTGCATACACATAAATCATGACTGCCATGGGTATGAAAAAGGATCCCATGGCCGAGAAGATGACGTAGCCCTCGTTTTGGTTGTACCGGCACTCCCGCAGGTCCCTTCGTCCTGGCTCGTACCTGCAGGGGAAAAGCGGAAAAAGGGAAAACGGAGCACGATACAGTTAATGGCCAACGGAGCCCACTAATGCAGGAAGTTCGCAATTATTTCCCTTGGAAACCAACCTTTTGCTAGAGGAGGCAATTGCCACCTAATTATATTCGTTTGTTCTGTTTGTAAGTCGGCGTTCAGTTTGCCAGGCACTTGAAATTTTATTTAAATTAATTTACTTGCACCTAACGAAATTTATGGAGCCCAGGAATGGACATTTAAACGGTTACCCTCAATTGTTAACAGCCATAAAGTCTATTTATAGTTAAACGAACTTACAGATGTACAAGGGCCTTTTAATTATATTTGTTTATTTAGTTAGGAGGCAGAAGTCGAGCTTTTCGAAAAGGATTTCAAGCACTTGAACAAATTTTGGGTTAGAAAAAAAATTAAGAGAGTGCTGAATTTAATATTTATAAATTACTTTTAAATAACTTTTAAATATGTCAAATACGTTTCTTTGGCAGTGTGATTAAAGAATAGGTAGAAGTTTATTTTAAAGGCAAAGGACCCTAAATAAATTAAATGGTTTTATTCGTAAAGAAGGTAAAATCATCATCTAAATACATCAAAGGTATTTTCTTGACAGTCAAATTATATTATATGTTGGAATGTCTCATTTAAAAGAGAAGTGCCTTCTCGTGACACTTATTACTCGCAGTACTTATGTTTTCCCAGTGTACTTACCAACCCAGGATGGGGGGACAGGTGATGGCCAGAGCCAGAAGCCAGACGATTAGGATCATGATGAGGGCCAATCGTTTCGAGCGCCGTTTACGGGAGTACGTGAGCGGCCTGGTCACGGCCAAATATCTGTTGGATGGCAGGATGGTCGGATGGTTGGATGGAAAGAGGCAAAGATTTACGATTCGTGGGAATTGGAGTAAGTGGCGGCCACTCACCTGTCGACGCTGATGGCGCACAGGCTGAGAATGGAGGCGGTGCAGAGGAGCACGTCGAGGGATATCCAAATGTCGCAGAGGACCCAGCCCAGTTGCCACGAGCCTGCAATCAAGATTCCAAATTAAAAACTTTCGCCAGCCGAAGGAGCGGGCGGCAAACTTAAAATTCCGGACCAAAGTCAATTTGATTAGCAACATTTTGCTTGCTCTCCAGGCTTTCCAGCAAATGCCCCACCTAAGGCCAATTAAAGCGGCCGGCTCCTCAGATTTTGGCAAACGCTTTCGCTTTGCTTTTCCGTTACCCTGTGCACATAAGCCACGTTAGTGGTTTGGGCCAAGACCTCGAACCGTCGACCACTGGACCATCGGTCCTTAACTCTTGCCATTGAATTTGTGGCCACTTTGAGCCGAGCTGTGCTCCTCGTCTGCGGCCTGTCAACCGATTAATTTTTTAATCAAGTGCCCCTCAATGGTCTCCCGGCGCCAAATGAAAAGTTGTTTTTGCGGCCAGCTAGGACTAAGGACCAAGCACCAAGGACCAAAAACCAAGTACCAAGAATGGAGCTAGCTCATTAGAAGGAGATTGCCTGCAAGGCAACACACTTCGGTTGGTTCAATGTAAGCATGCAGTTGGCCATTTTTCAAGTCAAGAGGTCTACAAATGAATTTACTTAGGCACAAAATTGGCGGTAAGTTCAAAGAACAAGAGCATTTTCTAATTACTTAAATAAACCCAACACGAGTTTGGTGCCAACTGACGCTTCAATACCTATGAAAATATATACTATATACAGCTTGGTTTCAATAAATGTACAGCAAACCAAAATAAAATAACCACAAAAACCACACATGGTAACAGTGTTTTTAGTACCAAAACTTGTTTATATACATAAGCCTTAATAGTAGGTAAACTATTAATCCCGAATTCCTGAGCGTGGGTACATTACGACCTAACTTTATAATGAAAACTTTGGAAAAAAATCAAGTTAATGTTGGGCTTAGGAAATTGTGTACCTTGAATAAACCTAAGGGCATGGGTAATTATGCCTGTTATTCAAAAGGAATTTCCACAGAAAAAAACTTGCTGTGAAAATCAGAGCAATAAACTCAATTTCAAAGTACTTAAAAGAGCAGCTGGCAGAAGCTAGTTGAGCATGAATTAAAATGCTATAATCATGGATTGGCCAATTACCATATTTTTGCATTTGAAGCTGTGATTTAAACAACCAAGAGCAACTATTTCGTGAGGGGAATATTGCATTCCGTTTTCGGATTGTCAGCGGTGCGGATGATTATGACAAACTTTTGACATGCCGTTGCCTTGAAGGAATTCCACAAAGTTGGGCTCGGGAATGTTCCCCTTTTTCGGCTGCTCGCCTATTTTTTTCAGTTGAGGAAATTGCACGGCAACGAAGGCAAAAAATGAAAGAAATTCTTTTGGTTCAAAGAATACAAATCCATAAGGCGAGAGAGATACATATTCGCATATTCCACCTAGCAGCATTTACATAAATATGCGGGCGTGTGCCACGCCCCTTCCTGACACTCCTCCCCCGGTCTCTGTTCCTCTTCCTCTTCCTATTCTTTCCGTTCGTGTCCGGGCTCCTATTTCTGTTCGTGTTACTTTGTTAGGTTACACTAGAAATTGAATATTTTCAAGAATTTTCAAAAAAAAACAAAATCTGGTCAACAAATTTCAAATAGTATACATTTGTTTAAGAAGTTTTATACTATTTGTTAAGAAGTATACAAAAAATTGTTGTATAACAAATGTTTAATCTCGGGATTCTCACCTTAAAAAAAATTTTTAAACCAGAAAAAAAATGTTATCTTGCAAACTGATATTGACTTTACATTTTTATGGTTTAACCCTCAAAACTATACATTTTTTAAAGGAAATAATTTTATTCTTTATCTGATTTTGTAGTAACATTTCTCACAGTGCTGCCTGGAGGTCCTGTGCACAAAGCTTTTGTTAGCCATTTTTTTGAGGGATTTACCGGAATGGCATCTTCATCTTGTAATCACGCGAAAATCCCGGCAAGCGGCGCCCCTTTTCGCGGAAGGAGCCTAATGCCCTAATGGCTCCACCACACACTTGCACACTCACTTAGACACCCACACTTACACACTCACACCTACACACTCACCTGTGAGATGGACGGCGACGGCGGGGGGGCATCACGAAGATCCCCACAAGCAAATCAGCAACTGCCAAGCTCATCACAAAGCAATTGGTGATGGTGCGGAGGCGACGCGTGGTCAGGATGGCCAGGATCACCAGGGTGTTGCCGATGACGGTGACCACGATGAAGGTGGCGAAGACGGCGATGAGGATGATGCCCTGCCAGGAGAGCACCAGATCGTAGAAGTGCTCCCACTCGGCAGCCGCCGCTGACTCGTTGTAGTAATTAAATGTGGTCACGGGTGCAGTGGGTCCGGGTTCGGTATTAAGAGCGATGCCACCAGAAGTCCCATTTGGGGCGTGGACACCGCCGCCCGTGCCGTTGGCCGCATCCTCGTACACGATGGATATGTTCTCCGGCTGGCCAGAACCCAGTCCCCGGAGGGAGGAGGCCGCCACATACATGAGCGATGGATAAATGGCGCCTGAATTATTCAGCTGCTGCAAGTTGACTGCCATGGATCGGCCGCTTGTTCAGTTTCAGTTTCCCTATCGAGTTTAGCTATCTCCGGCAGGACTCCGGCCTAAGCCCCTTCATATCCTTGCATGTCCCGGGAGCAGGAGCTGGTGTTCGAGTGGCACGGCCCAACTGTTGTCATTGTATCGAATTGCTTTCCTCGTCCGGTCAACTGCAATCAAACGAAAGTGCACCAGTTAGTTGGCATTCCGCAAAAGTCCAGTGGACTGGTAATAGTCGAAAGGGAAAGGAGTGCGGAAATATTCCTGTTTGCATTGGAACTTTTAATCTCATATGCTATTATTCTTATTTCAATTTTTCATGCCCTATCTGATTTCCTCTCGTGACAATTTCCGAAATTAAATTGCTTTCACTGCAATCATTATTAATATTCTCGTATTTAAGTAGAAACAAGAAAAATACTTATTGAAATACTCAAAAATAATGGTCACCTTCATCGCAAATAATTCGTTGTGGGCTTAATGGCAAAAACAACGCATTAACATATAAGCGTTCAACAAATAAATAAAGCCTTTCCAATTCACAACACAAATATAGAGCTGTTCACCAAACCGAGTTTATTTAACACTATACAAATTTGATATTTATTTTTACCAAAAGATCCGTTGCAAGCCAACTAATAAATACAATGTTCATTTGAAAGAAAACAAAATTAAATAACACATTTTTGTATTGAAATTTCGATAAAAATTTGTACAATTATTATAACAAAACCACAAAGGTAATAAATTCATTACAAAGTAAAATATTGATGAATAAACATGTGGCGAAGTACATTGAAGTTTATTAATAATAAATTCGTAAATACAACTTGGATGAATTTGAGTTTTCTGTGGAATTTAAACAATTACACGCCAATATGCCATGTGTTTATTTCAAAATTTCTTAAATAAAATAGCGAACTCATTTTCAGATGTTGAAAGAAATGGGAATTTAAGGTGTGAGATGCAATCACTTTTTGTCTCCAATTAGACGGATTCACTTTGCAAAACCAAACGAAAACTTATTTAGTAAAAGGTTTTACCTCAGCTTGTGGTTTTCGCTGCAGATTATTTACAGTTTACACTTTCTTTGAATAATCTTTATCTTGGGGAAACTCGTTAACCGAACCCAACAAGATTGTCACTCGCCTGTTGAATTTGTCAGTTGATCACAGAAACTTTTCCACCATTCAGTATTCACTATTTCGATTTTCCGCTATTCCATTCACGTGCACTTGGGCGATAAGATTGATACTCGACGAGCACTCTATTAGATTTCCGTTCGAATTATGTACTGTATAGCTATGGGCTGTACGGTTGTATCTGTATATATCTGTATATATTGGTATTCCGCCGGAATATTGCCGGAATAAACGTCGCCCGACGCGGATGACTGTTGACTGAGTGCGAAAACGCAGACCCACCGGCAAGTTTTGCTGTTTGGCTGGCAGTTCGACACTTCTCTTGCCACTTCTGTTGACAATAATTTGGCATTAAGCATTATTTATTTAGCGTCCGATAGTGTGCCTCTCCGCTGGCTGATTGCGACTCCTTGTGAGCGGCGATGTGTGGGTGCGATAACCAAATTAGAACTGATATCGCAATACAAGTAGACTCAATGGCGAAGGCGGCAAAATAAGCAGAAGTGGAAGTGGGAATCTTAATCAAGCCGCAGGCCAACGCATTTCCCCACAAAAAAGGGAATAATTCAGCCAAACAATTTGCATATTCAAATCTCTGTATGTGTGGGATGGCTGAAATATTAGCTTAAGACTTCGGAAGAAAGGCTGCAAAAATCCCAAGGAAGTGGAATGGAACATAATAAATTCCGTGTAACCAGAACATTTTAAACTAACATTTAATTTATGTAAATTTGCTTTGGTTTCTCCACTTTATAAAACGTTTAATGCAATTTTAATTTGGCCTTTAATGTTTTGGTAATCTGCTTTGATAGTTGAGTCAACGTTATGGAAGGGAATTTTGAGACGAAGTATGTTATTTATATTACAATGAGCTACATTATAATTACATAAAATATGATAAACAAAACAATTTATTACAAAGTAAAGAGAGAATTCCCCTTTTTATCAGGCGACTAACATAAACCATTAATAAAGTGGTTTTCACCAGAAATAATTTTTGTGAACATAGGAACTTAACAATATGCGCTTTGGTTTTTCTTGGGAATAATATCTTACACCCCAAATCTTATATGATCAAAACAGAGATAACTGTAATTAAATGGGTTTATATTTAGCTTTATGTTTGGCAGGGGTTGTATGCCTTTAATTGAAGAGTATCCCCCAATTCGGCCCCTCTTTTTTAACCCTTTTTTTTTTGAGGCTTTGGACGCTGACGCGGAAAAGCCATAAAAGCGCTTATCGCTCACATGATAGCAATCTGAAGGGGGACGAGGTTCCGAGAGGGGAACTTTTACTTTTTTATGCTGCGGCTTGTGGGTAAATATTTGCCCAGCCTAGTGACGTACTCAAAGGTGAAAACTGATTAATTAGATACGATGCAGAGCCCACAGCTGTCTGTCATTCAGGGCCAAGGTATCGATCGGCCCCAAATGCAATGTGTGTGTGTCATCCCCAAAAAGATAACGTTCGCCTGCTTCTTTTAGCCATAATTGAGGTGGTCTACCGATATCAGCCTATAGCTTATTGAATTCCAATCTTGAGTGCTGCAAATCAAGTGTATTTTAAGGGGGCTTTGGCCTGAAAATAGATTTATGAACTCATTGCGCTGAAAATGTTCGGGATTCCATTTGGAAACCAGAAGTCGAAGCAGCAAAATGCGATCAGGGCTCTACAAATTGGCATTGGAGGCAGGCCATCGGCAATTGACCGCGATAAGTCATGGCGTTTTTATGAGCACTTTGATTGATAATCTAATTCGCAACTCAATTGCCAAGTTTGCACGAGCAGAGCTCCCTAATCTGGGTCCTCGGTCCGTTCGAATTCCCATTTTCATTTCCATTCCCATTTTCATTGCCATTTCCATGACAATGGCACCAATCAGTTGCAGCTTTACCCCTTTATCAACTGGGATGGGGGTTAAACTATTTCTTCAAAGGCGAAGGCAACAGCAAATTGAGTTGCCAAAATCCAATTACTTTGTTGCCAAGACCAAACTTATGAATTTCTAATTGATACAAAGCTTATCCTTCGGCGAGATGAACTTGAAAGATCGGGGGGCATAAGTTTCCGCTGGTTTTTGGCCGGGTCATTAATCAGGACGGCACTCATCTCCGGCATTAGATAAATCTGTATCATTGATGTTGGTGTCCGCAGAAGATTTATTTCACACTAAAAGTGGCCAATAAACAATGGAGCAGAGTGTTCTTTGTATACATCAGTGCTGACTTAAAAACCAAATAGATCGACGTGGAAAAATCGGAAATAAAGCTAATGGTATAAACAAAAAAAAAAAACATTTTTTAATTTTAATGTTTTGATAATAATGATTTCATCTGCAATGATTTTGTTGCCACTGCGAGTTCTCTTAGCAAAATGTTTCTAAATGTAATTGTAATGTTTTCCTAAACATCTTCTAAAATTCCACAGATTTTTATTTGGTTCCTTGACACTGCGAATTGTCTTTACGAAATATTTATCTAGATTGTTGTTTATAGTAAACAATGAAAAAAAAAACCCAAATTGGTGTAATAAAGACAGCAAACAAAGGCTAAACAGAATCATTTACACATTTTATTATCCGATAATAATTATGGTTTTTAATTTTTCCACACTTATTTTCGTAGTAAACAAAAGGACAAAGGATTCTTCTACATTTTAATAGCTAACGAAGGACAGATCTGTCCGGAAAAAGAACAAATTGGTTGCGCTGGCTTCTGCTTATTTATGCTTGCTCATCATTAAATATTTTTTAGAGATTCTCCAGCACTTCGCAGCTGGTGGCCTTCACCTTATTCCGCTTTAATTGACCAAGCCTCATTTCATGTGCGTTATTAAGAGATATGTTTGTTTTTTTTTTTGTGCGGAAAGGCCAGAAGGGCACTTCAAGTGTGACAATTGCAAGGCCAGCGAAAATGACTTTGGCAAGAAATAGTTTCAGACTTTTTCGTAATGTTTGGAATGTGATTTTCGGTTTTCCTAATTTTTTTTCTTTTTTGCTGAGTTCCGTTGGAATTCATTCGACCACCCACACACCCACTCGCCAGCATCCCACTTCCGCTGAACATTTGTTGCAATTTGTGGCCAACATGGCGTATGTGTAATGTGCATGTGAAATAATATTTCATTTGCATTCGGCAAACAGAAGGTGGAGGATAATGGGGGAAACCATTTGGCACCCCGAGGATAAAGGACGTCCCGCTGACGTCAAACACCCTGCCATCCAGTCAGCCAGGAATTCAGCCAATTGAAGCCACTATTTATCGAGACTGTCAGACACTTATTTGCCCTCTTTATTTGGCAGTGCCATCGAGGTGTTTAGCGTGAAAGCATTTATCCATTACCCGGACTCCTTGGGTATCCTCGCCATCCTCGGTCTCCTTGGTGTCCTCTGATCTATGCAAATGTCACCTCCCTTTCCCCTCCCTTCCCTTCCGCTCACTTTGCACACCTGAACTGGGTGAAGGTGAAGGGTTTGAATAGGGTTCTCCCCACCACCAGAAGAAGGACCTCCTCCTCCTCCTCCACCTCATCCACCTCATTCATAAGAGTCCTCGTCGCACTGTTTACTTACTTAATGCAATCGGTTTCCTGCACAGTCCTCCGCTTTCATATCAAAACACTCCGCATTGTTTTATTGACACAAAGCTGTTAATATTTTTATTGCCAGCTGGCTATTTTTTCATTACTCTTGTCTGAAGGGAGCCCTATTTAATTGGATACTTTATAAGTGCACTACAACTGCAGTTGAAGGAGACCCGCCTGCAGCCGCCACTCACTCACTTTCATTGTATTTTCCTATTATTTTATTTGCATTTATTTTTGTGTGTTGGCTGACTGGTTCGTTGGTATTTTTAACCGCGTGACGAGCACCTTGCACATTCAAATTAACGTTTGTGTTATCGGTCAGTTAAGCCGGCGGCTGATCAATCGCTCTCGGGAAATTGTCGAACTCGAATCGTCTGATTGAAGACCCCCACGCGGTTTTTTGGGACTCCTTTTTGGGACCGATGGCTCTCGTGCGCTGGACGACCGCCTCGGTTGAGCGCTTGAGGAAAACTGACAGCGGAAAGCTGAAAGCTGAACAACTGAAAACCCCAACCGACGAACGGAGGAGAGTCGGCCGAAGTCGGCTAGAACTACAATTCTGTCATGGTGATTCCACTGAATCGTGTGGATCCCAAGTTGGCGAGCGGGCAAACACGCGACTTTCGAAATAATAATCCTGTCCTGTGTTTCGCCTGTCGCACGTTCTATTTAAACAATTGTACAAACACTCAAAATTTAAATATTCAAATGCTTTTCTTCGTCTCGGATCCCGTTTAATTCCAAGAACAATGTTTAATTAAGCCGTGTCTAATTCCCCCTCTGTTGATAAGAACACTGCGTATTTCAGAGGTCCAGCAGACGGATTTTACGAGAATTCCTAAATGAAAACATAAACGATTTCGCGGGTACTCAGGAAATCTAAATTAAGACTTTTATGGTAGCCTTATAGACATAGATATAGCAGGCGTGTGTGCGACCCGGCTCTATCTATATATACATACATACATATATATACGAGTTCAGATAGATATATCTTATTCGTGTGGAGAGGGGGCCATTGTTTGTACATTTTATAACTTGCAGATGCGTCTCCACACGGAAATGCTCTTACTACACACTCATAATGAGTAGTGTCAACAGCTGCTGGCAGAGGTTAAATTCGGTGGGATTCGATTGCGATCCACAGGTTCATTGTTCAAGGTGAACGCGTTCCACCCTCGGTGGCGGCAAAATGCCCGATATGGAAGGTAAACAAAGGCATGCGCTCTCCATCATCTGCGATTTGCCCGAAATAATGGCAATGGCACGGCGCGAAAAGAAAAGTCCGTCTCCAGCCGGAGGGCAAGTGGAATCATTTGAAGTGAAACGCAGAGGACTCGGAGGTATGTTAATTCATCGTTAATAGATTTCAAATCCAGCTAAAGGATGGATTCATGACTTAATCTTAGATCATTCGCCAGAGAAATATATTAAAAGAAAGCTTTGACCTAAATATAATCAATTCAAATTAGGATTTCATTTTAAAACCAAAAGATCTTCAAGAAATTAATACATATAACAACAAATTACACATACGACGTGTAAGCCTGCTAAGTCTTCGAAAATGTTATTTAATATTTTCCAAATATTACTCATACGCCACGTGTTTATGATTATACGAAAAAAATATACATACACCAAATTAATGTCTAACAATATTTATTCAAAATGTGTACAAAATGTAACACTTTGTGGCGTCTTATATTTGGTTTCCAAATTTAATTTTCACTACAAGAGAATCCACAATAATTTTACTTGCACAAATTGGAACTAACTGAAACCACTCCTTCTTCAAATTCAAAATTCCCGTGGCTTGAATAAATGTGTTTAATTTTTAATTTTAATTATCAAAAGGTAGCCGGTAAATCATCCGCATTATCTTGTTGCACAGCTTGCGGCGTGGCCCGTAATCCTTGAATCAGAGCCAAAACCACTGCATACCTTTGGGCAGTTTCCCCATTCCCATTCCCCCTTAACATATTTAACCATTTGCCAAAAACTGCTCCTGGCCACCTGTAATCTCCTCGGCGGATTGAGCTGTGACCAGTGGGCAGTGGCTTCCAGTGGACATCACTTAGATTGATTAAATGCTCGGAATCTGTGCGGTTCGGGTACGTGACTCTGCGGAATGGCCGGGCATAATTGGTGTGTCCATGCAAAGGCGATGATCCCCAAAAAAGGCGAAAGGGGTGAAAAGGGAGAAAGGGTAAAGGGTCACCGGCTGGCACCGAAAAATGGCTTCTGGCCGTAGACAAAGTTTCGCAACATCATTTAATTATCAAATGCACGTACATAAGTGAGTTTCTGCAGTGACAGGAAGGTCGTCACACGCTTCCGTCCCGAAAAAGAGCTCCTCTCGTTTCCCATTTTCCATTACCCGGCCAACTTCAAGGCTGACTGAAAGTTTTCCCTACACCTCACCCCCCCCCCATTCCATCCCGCCAAGAGTTCTGGGGAAGAAAAAACTTTCCATTTCTATGCAGCAAGTCTTGGCAATCGCAATGGCAATGGCAATGCTAAATTGAGTTTAACAATTTGTCTTACTGGCACTTGCAATGGATTCAGTAATTGCCTGACAAATCGCTTCCCCACTTGTTGTGGTGCATGACACTCACGCACGCGAACTCTGCCACTCCCCCCGCCCTTCCCCTTTCCCCACCGCCCACTACAAGTGCACTTGTATTCGTCGGAATTCGCAGGACACGACTATTTGCCGCCTAATGTCCTGGCACCATGTGTATGCCAGTGTCATAAAGTTTTAATTTCGCCAGCATAATTAGTCTGGGGAAATGGCGGAAGGAAGCCCTATCCCAGCTTCTATCGCATTCCCGGATCTCAATAACTAAGTACTAGTAGTACACATGACAAAAAACTATCTGACTATATATACTTAATTAATAAATTGTAATATAACTGATATTTTTAATAAGGGTATTAATATCGTGATGCTGATCTGGGGTTTCTCCTTCACTGCGTTGCAAACTTCTGACTGAAATTATAATACCCTCTGCAAGTGAATAATGACAAATACGATAATGTTCTTTATGAGAATGTTCATTTTATGAAAGCGAATCATAAGTAACAAAATAAATTTGAAATCCCTTAAAAAAATAATAATATTTCACCAAATCCATTACAGTAAATCAGAAATAAGTCAAATTTATTGCTCGAATGTCATGGCAAGCGGAGCAAATAAAACATTCCGGATTGATGGCCAATTCGAGTGTCATTTTTTCCTTGTGCAGAGCCTGTTAAAGTTGCTTTTAATTGATAGGTGAACGAACCCGCTGGGTCCCTAATGTAATGTGGCCGCTTAGAGACGGCAAAGGCCAGAGGCTATTAATAATTTTCAATCAATAAGTGTAATATTATTCGCGTCAACTGGATCAGCGGCAGGAACAGAAACAGAACACAGGATGCAAGGACCAATGGTTTGGGGATGGCCGACAGACAGTGGCTATATACTCCGATTACGGTTACCAGGCTGACGCACACAAACAAATACATATATACATATATATATATTTTAAATTTGATTCTCGAGCATCCTCGACTTTTGCCATCTTCCTTTCAATTTATTGTTCCCCTTCGAGAACCGGCCATTCCGGCCTGGACTTTCCCATTGTCCGTTAAGCAGATTTCGAGCTTACATTGCGTTGTTGGTGAAAAATTGAGAGAATCATACAAAGGACCAGGTCGCGTCCTTTGAAGGCGGCTTAGCCCACAGCCCACAAAGGGGGCGTGGCAGTCCAACATGCAAATAGTGCAAATCGAAACGAATGCTAGCTTTACCGCCGCCGATCAGCCATTTTGGCCATTAATTGGTTAATCAAGTTTACAACTGCCAAATATCCACTGGTGAAAATGGCAATTTCGGCTGTGGCCATAAACGCGAGCGGAAGCCCCGGGAACAAATGACCCAGACGGTTGTGTCCCACCGTCGAGCAACCGCAAAAGCCGCACGAACACTAAATGCGTTGACCACCGACGAAACCAGAACCGGAGCGCTGAAAACAGAAAACATTATTGGAAAATATGGGGCAGACACAGGAAGCGATTGGGAGGCGGGCCCAAATGCCCACAGGGATTTATGCGCATATGAACCGAGATAATCTATTTGTAAATTATGAAAAAAGCCATTTTTCCATAGAAAGTTTGAGATTGTTTGGGCGGAAGAAGAGTGGAAATACTTTTGGCATTGCGTAAAAAGAGATGATTTATTCCCATACTAGTTTAGCAGTTCATCCTGACGTGTCGTAATATATTAAGTAATTTAATTTATTAATTACAGTTCAATGTGGGATTAGCTGTGCATTTTATGCAACTAAAATGCAAATTAAATCATTTTAAGAGGCTTTGGTTTTTTTATAGGTACGCAGTAAATAAAATAAAAAGGAACTGTATTAAACAGCAACATTTTAGTTAAGAAACATTTAATATTTGACCGCAACATTTTGATTAAGAAACATTTAATATTTGATGGCAATTAGAGAACTTTTAAATGGTTTTTAATAAGCAAAGGTTTCTCAAGCTCTACCATCTCATTTAATTTTATGTGTTCCAGCACTTGTTGTATCCGTTTAAAACAAAGGATACTCTTTACTGAAAATGGGACACTAAATCATTATTAAAATGCTCGTTACCAGAGGAGCAACTCCTTGTTGTAAAATATGGGAGCCCATTTGGATAATGAAGCGCAGTAAACAAAGCTAAACGGAAACCAATCCCTGGGTAATTTACGAATTACGAGGTAAAATCGGCTTAAAACTGGAGCTTTAGTAATTACTGAACTGTGGCACCGGATGGCTTTAAAGGCAATGTTATAGCCACTGCAAGTATACAAGCTTTTCCGTTGGCACGGAGTCAAATATTTAATACACGCTCCGCTCGAAGGTGAAGTACTATTTAAATGAAGGCCAACCTGATCGGGGAATTGCGCATCCATGAAGCTCCTGGCGATGTACTGATGTACTCGACTGTCCGGTGGTTGGTTGGTGAAATTCCGCCCGACTGGTGGCGGCAGCCATAAATAATGCCACATGAAGTTTAAAATGCAATAATGAAATTTATTAAGAACTTATGCGGAGTTAAAACACCGAAGACCAGCAGCAACGACGACCTTCCGCCCAGTCAGACGCACTCCGGCCGGAGGGCAGGATCCCCGGAAGGAATCACGGAAGCCGTGGAGCGCAGAAGTCCAGATACTCTTGCGAATCGGTAAGAGCCTAAGTTGGCTGAAAGTTCTGCAAAAGTTGGCAACTTATGCACCGTGAAAACTTTGTGGAAATGAATGTGGCGAGGCGGAACATTTGACCATATGGAAGGGTATTATGGCAGCGTAATTTACGCAGCATGTTGCCATACACATGTGGCCAAGCGAATCGAGAGGATGGCTGTGGGGCAGAAAACATAAAGGGCCGTCATCTCATACGACCTGGTCGGCATCCGCATCCGCATCCGCATCCGCATCCTTCGCCAGGATCCCCAACTCCATGGCCAAGCACTTACGTAAATGCCTTACGGCAAAACTTTCCCCTTTGTTGTTGTTGCTGTTGTTGTTCGGCTGTTTTAAAAGTCCCGAATAATTGAGTTTTACGCATAATTTGCTTGATTTTATTTTACTTACAGATGCCCCCCAACCCTGATCCCTTTGTTAACCGAAAAATAAGAAGAAACAACCAAAAAGAAAAACTGCCTCGTGTGCAGTCCACCACAAAGGTAAACAAAAACAATCAATAGTCCCAACGTTTTGCTTTCGCTTTGTTTTACCCTCCTTCCTAATGAAACTCCTGGTCGGGATTATCATAATCCAAATCGGATTGAAATCCATAGTGCACCGCACAGCAGAATCCTCGGTTTTGACAAACACTAATTAAAATAAATTATTTAATGGGGAGCAAATGGCGGAGGCGCAGAGATTTTAGCCAAACCAATTATGCCTGTATCCAGAATCCACGTCAGTTGGGATGCAATTGGTTAGACACAGATAGTTGCAACATAAATCCATTTATAATTAATTTTTACAAATGAATGCGATAATTAAATATGCGCGCATCTGAATCAACACGCTTGCCAACAAAATGGAAGGCAGAGCAATTAAATGTTGAATTATAAATAATTCACATTGGCATCCTCTTGCAGAAATCCCCAAAGTATCTAAACGATTAAGCCCGTTTAAAGTTTAAATGCGAGAAGTTATTATTAAATGGATTTTAAAATTAAGTTGGCTATGTCCCACCCTTGGGTATATATGTATTTTCAAAACAATCTCCTTTTAGTTGGGCTTAAAGATTCCATTTAATATTGTAGATGATACAAACATAATCATAATACATGCTTACGCCTCCATATAAGTATATATATTTATTCTTTAACACATTTACAGTTTATTATTGAACCTTACAATGCAGCTTGGCAAAGGGGGGAATTATTGTTTTAGATTCTATTATTACAGCTCATTTAGGGAGTTTTACGCCTGCTCCTATTTTAGCTCCAGCTTCCACTTCTGACCCACATTTTGGGATCGATTCAAGTCGGGCGAGGGAGCAACACCTCGAGTACAATGTATATAGTAATATATGTTTAACACCTTGGTATTCGCAGAGGTAGGATAACAATTGTCAGATGTTCACTGAATATGGGAAAATGCATTTCATACATTTCATAGGATGCGTTAGCCACTCAGATAACAGATGAAACCGCTCTCGGTGGTTCGGTATTCGGTGTTCGGTGTTTGAAGTTCGGTGTTTTTTGTGGTTTAGTGTTCTGTTTACTGGTTATCGGGTGGTGGATAGTGGATAGTAGAGCTTAGCATACACTCGAAATACTGCACTGAACAATGATTAATGTTAATAACCAACCAGACTATAACATATAAATATTCATACTTAAATTATTACAATTTGCTACCTTAGACAGACGATCGAGCTTGAGACGGCGACCAACGCCAATTTGATTTTGATGGGTCGCTTGAGTTGCTTGATTTCGGGTGCGCACAACTTACAAATAGTACTCAATTAGAAAAAATATATATATGTATATTTAAGTACATAGGTAGTGTTTAAGGGGAGAGGGCCTTCTTGTTTTTAGTGAGTGTGTTGTTTTTTTGTTTTTAGTGTAGGTTTAACGTTTTGTACATGCCCAAAAAACTTTAGCAAAAACTTGAATATCACTCGTATTTATGTTAAAATTTGCAATTTTCAAATTCAATTCTCTTGCATGAAATAGGTTTTACAATAAACTTTATAAACGCCAATTAATCAGTTATCGATATAGTAATTAATATATATGTATATGTATATATTACGCGCGTATGTATACAATAAAAATAGGGAGATGCTTACACTAAAGATCTTTACAATCCTATCTTTACCGTTGGGCGTGCGCAACTCATGGTTGGAGCCACAGGCGAACATATAGTAAGAGACATGACCCTTGAGTAGTGGTTTGTAGATTATAAATTCGATTAATGCGCTTGGATTCTGGTTTCTGGATTCTGGGCGGGGGATCGAACCTCATCAGATGGATTAACTCGTACACTAAGTCGGTATTAACTTTTAATGATTTATGTTAGACCTGTATTCAATTCAAACAAACTTAGACGCGAACTCTTAACACTTGAATGGGGTTTAGATTTACAATTAGTCTGCCTATTGGGCAATACAAAAATAACTATTGTAATTTGCCGTGGAATCGAGCTCTCCTTCTCCAGCGGTGCGATTTGTATGTACATTGAAAGTGTCTCCTCCAAATCGCCTTGGCTCAGGAGTCGTGTATTTGCTTTTTCTTTTGCTTTGTTTTGGCACTGGTTTTGCGGCCGACTGGTGTGATGTGAGTCACGATGGTACATCAAATATTCACAAGTGCAATCTGCGAGCAATCAAAATTCAACTGTACAACCGTCCGGTTCGTCCCGCGGTCCGTAAAAGTCCGTCAGCTAATCCTACTAATTTTCAGCTTAGCAGCTGCTGAAGATCTCGATGGATCTCGATTAATGATCGGCCCATAAAAACCGCTGATTCCTCCACTCGAACGCTGGCCTCGAACATTTACTGACTTTATCTCAGTTGTTGTTCTTCCAGCGCGAGAGCAGGAGCCTCCAGCGGTTTTTACGCCTTCTGCTTCAAATTTGCCATATCAATAGATGGTTGGTGCTGTCCTCACGGCCGGCGATCTCGCTCAGCGAATTGGCTCCGGAGTTGCGGAAGTCCTCGTATCCATCGCCACCGGAAATGATCAGCGTGTTGTTCGTCTCGGACTTGGATTTGGAGTGCTTGATGGATCTACAAAAGATTTAGATTTGATAAAGAACTTCTATTAAGCTTTATATATTCCAAAGCTCACCCCTGTTTGGTGTACTCATCGCTGTTGGAACCCGTATCCCGAGCTGCAGCACTTGGTGCCGCTCCCTCCAAGCCCGTAGTCTCCACAAAGGTGAGGAACCGCACGTGACCGGTGTGGCCATGGGGAATGCCGGTGGGCACTATGTTGATGGCACCCTTCTCGTAACCCTGCGCCGGAATGGTCAACAGGACACCCGCACTGGTGCCGATCCAGATGAGATCCTTGCAGCACAGCAGCGATGTAACCCGCAGACAGGCGGCCTTGTGCTGCCGAATAATCTCATCGCAGTTCGAGAGCATTTTGTTGACGGCGGGGGCGAGATTCACTTCGGTAATAAGTTGGTGGCTAAAAGGGAGTTCACATTTGTTAGTTAAAATAAAAATATATTAAGAAAACTATCTACTCACGTATTGGAATGGAAACACTTAATGTGTGCTGAGTTCTGTATTGAAATCCAGACATGATTGTTTGAGACTGTCATGTTTGTGATCGGCTTCGAGTCCGATGAAATCTGTATTTGATTTATGACCTAAGCAAGAAATAACACTTTAAATTGGATTTATTTAATAATAATTAGAGTTTCTTTTCTTACTGTCAATGTCTCCACATCCAGCACTTTTATAATGCCTTGAATTGAGCACCAAAGTCGGCCATTGACGTTCAACAACTTATTTACCGGGCTGGTGACCGTGCCAATGGACAGGCAATGCGATGAGCAAGTATTCCAGGAGGTGGCTAAAAAATCAGGAGAATTTCGATTGTGACTAATGAGATAATGTTAATAAATGAAAATAACAAAAGTCTTACCACCATCTCTCAGGTAAACACAGATATCACCATTTGCTAATGATACAAACACACGATTGTCCAGGTACCTAAAACGATAAATAAATTTAAACTGATTAAGTGAAATGAAATAATAACTTTGTTGGCTTTAAATAAATATATTCAAGATTATTTAGGGTTTATATATATAACTTATACTTACAAAATGGAAAAGACGGCCGAATGGTGTTCGATCTTGATGCGGTTCTTCTTAATGCGAATATTGTCAGTGCTATTATAAACGTGGATGCAGCCGTCTTCAGTGCCAATCCACATGGTTGATTGATTGCTTTCGCCCTCCTCGGGATTAGAGTCCTGTCGGGGGTAATAAAATGAGTCACAAGTGCACAGCGAAATTATCAAGCAATCCTCACCTGATGCCCATGATATGAGGGCGCAGGACTTGGTACCCGTTCTGATAAAGTTGCTCCCGATCCCGCAGCAGTGCTGCCAGCGACATTCAACGAGGCGGCAGCGGCATCCGTTTCATCGTCGCTGGAACTCAGGTTGAGCTCCAGCTGAGTATCACTGCCGGTGGCCGTCGCATCCGCAGGATCAGCTCCTGCCACTGGCGTCGGCGTGGGCGTTAACTTCTTCTTCTCCGGCGTCGCTGTCGTCGAAGTGGAGGCACTCTGGAAGCTAGGCGAGATGCTCTTGCGGTAGTCCCGCAACTGCTGTGTGTAGCTCTGTGGGGTGCTCCTCTTGTCCTTCTCCTCCTGGCCACCGGAACCAGCCGGCTGCTCGCCACTGCTATTTCGACTGGAGGCCGCCGAGCTGTAAGCCGGCACAGAGGCAACACACAGGATGCGGGCATTGCAGACGCCATTGCAGCTGGTGACATTCGGCTCGGGGTGCAGGGACATGATGCACACCTGACCCACGTAGCCATCGCTGTTGCACACCCACACATCCCGATTGTCACTTAAGGTGGCTGCCGCACAGGTGAACTGCAGCCCAGCTCGTGTCTTGCGGATGGGGATGGAGGTGAGGAACTCGGGGATGGGATGTCGCTCCAAGGTGGCAGCTAAAGGGAATAGTGTGGCTATTAAATATTCAAAACTTTTAAAAGCGTCTACTGTTTTATTTACCCAACTTCTGCTTCGCCTCGTTGAAGCTCTCCTCCCACTGCGTCCGCTTCTCCGTCTTGTTGAAGACCACTGTCAGCTTCTGGTTGCCATTCCTAGAATATTAATGTATTTTATTATTTAAAAGTCTTAGCAGTTATGATAAAGAGTAATAGTTGCGCATGACTGCTTTAAGAGGTAAGCATATTTTTTTAAATTTAAATGGATAAATCGGTTTCTATATTCTACTAGTTTTGCTATCTGCTTCTATTAATAAATACTTAAAGCGAGCAAAAACATTTGATCAAACCCCCACTTATCAAATTGCTACCTTATATAATTATATCTAATGTTTTCACAGCTAGCTAACTTACTATTCATTTACGTAACTCTTCTTAAAACGTATGATTTGGTTTCACTTACGGTGAACTGACTGTAAGCTCGAGCATATTTAACTGGGTATCGTTTGTCTGGCGCTCGGAGAGCTGTCGCTGGACATCGCGATGGAGTTCGCGGATTACGTCCTCCAAATACTGATGTGGGTACTTTAGGGAGGCGGTTATGTCGGAGATTTGCTGCAACTTGTTGCAGTCATCGGCCAAAGTCTCGATTTCGCTGACAATGCGCTTAATGTTTTCGTCTTTTGCTGCAATACACACAATAATTATTACTAAAGATTGCAAATCTAGAGAAAATAACACTTACATTTGACAATTTCCAGGCAGTCCAGCGAGATCTTGGTGAGGAACTTGTACTTGTTGGTGTCCAGGGTGGTGGCCACTGTTCCCGGACAGACACTGCTGTTGGGTTTGCGGATGGTGCCGCTTCGTTTCTTGATGCTCGTGAGGACGAGCAGATCGTTGAACAAGAAGAAGCCACGATCCTTGCGAGCGCCTTGTCCCGATGGCATCGATACCAAATCAAAAAGCAGGAACTGCCTTTCTGGTGCAATAAGATCGGTAATGCCCTCGATGACGCCTTCCAACTCGCGAAGAGTGGCTTCCCTCTGCCCGTTCTCCATGATCTCGCGTTCCTTGCAGTTAATGTGGACCAGTATGTCGTGGACCAGCTTGAGCACGTCCTGCAAGTGCTTTGTATCTGGATGATCGTGATCTGTGTGCTTAATCAATCGCTGGAACAGTAGCTCATAGCTGGCGATAAATAAAAAACTGAATTGAAAAGGAATCCTTAAAATGAAATGTTCAAAACATACTTGGGAAACTTCTGCACTGGCTTGATCAGCAGATTGTCCAGGGTTAATTTGCCCTTGTGCTCTCGAGCTGTTGTCTCAAGGAATTTGGAAAACGAGGGTCGCTGGTGCTTCATAGAACGTATAGCGTTCTTTGCCCGATTGCAGTTGTTCACAAAAGATGTGTAGACCTCTAGGACCTCTAGTTTCGAAAACTATTAGGGGAGATACCAATATTAGAGAAAAGTATTGCGAAAATCGATAATCTAAGTAACGAACTTTAAATCACCTAACTTAAACTTAACTTTTGATTAAACCTTTAACTGATTTCTGTACTGTCTAAAGACTTAAAATAACATTTCAAACGATTGTTTAATGTACACTTGATATCTCAATGGCCAGTGACTTTTTTTCTGTGGGTTGTTAACTTGCAAGTGCTTTTAGTTGACATTACCGTGTCCATGAAGGCGTCGCCCACTTTCTGCTGGACATCCCAGTCGTCCAAGCGGCTCTTCAGGTCGCCCAGAAACTTCTCGTGAATCTCAAGGATGTCGGGGACCATGAAAAAGATCTCGTCTACGGTGCGTGTGTCAATCATGCCAGCATGTTCGGGCGCCTTTAGCACCTTCAGATATTTGACGACCACGGTCTGCAGGGATTCCACGTAGGATTGCTCATTCCGGTAGATCTCCTGCACCACATAGGTGCGTGTGTCCTAAAATTAGATATTTTTTACAGGGAATTATTAGAAATGATAGATTTTAACTAAGTCAGAAGTTAGTAAGGGTTATTTGCGACCAGACTTACGCCTTCATAGCCGCCCAGATTCCATTTACTACTCATCTCGAACTGCGCCCGCCGCTCAGAGTCGTCCTCCGAGTCGGAGCAGGTGATCGAAGTCATTTTCTTCAGCCTGTCGCACTTGTCGTTCTGGTAGACACTCCCGGCCACGCCCCCTGAACCGGCAGCCGCCCCGAATCCGGCCTTGCTCAATCGGGCCACCGTTGTGGTGGCCATCGAAACCGCCTGCGAAACGCTGCTGTTGATGTTGCTGCCGCTGCTGATGTTGCTAATGTTGCTGCTGCTGTGCGAGTGGGTGTTGCTGCCACTGCCGCTGCTGCTGCTGATGTTGCTGCAGCCACTGATGTTGCTGTTGCTGCCGGTCGGCAACTGTTGCATGTGGGCGGGGGCTTGGGGGAGCAGGGCGGCGGCAACGGTTTGGGAGGGCGCCGTCAGGGTGGCCTGCAGATCCAACAGGCTAAGCCGCAGATTCTCGCGATTGTGCGACATGCTCGGAATGTAGTTTATTGCGAATTGATTTCTTTTTTGATTTGCTTTACTTTAACACTAGTTTTGTTTCACTGCCGCAACGCCTTTAAAGATCCGGTGCACCGCTGAAGCATTCTGTTTTTTTTTTATAGAAAAAAGCACACGTCTGGCCTGACTTAAGCATCCAAATAGACTGAAAGTGCAACAAGCGTCTGGCAAGAAGCGATTGCAGCTGGCCGGGGATGTTGCACATCCACGAAAACAGACTCACACACACATTCACACTCACATGGAGAACAACCTGCGTAGACGGCGAGTGGGAGAACCACTTGCCCACGTTTTAAAAGCCCTGCACACACAGTCAGAACAATAATAAATATGTACACTACGAGTTTTCCAGGCAGGCAAAGATTTTGATAACAAAGAAACTTTATTTTACTAGCTTTTAAAAAAGAAACTAGAGCATCTAAGGAATTGTGTTCCATTTTGTGACACGAAATATTTATCAACTTTAAAAACAATTTTTTCGTCTCTCTATTTTTTGCGAGTGTAAGTAACTACAGAGAGTCACGAGTCACTCACAGGGACAGCCTTGAGCACCCCCCATCTCCCAGCCCACCGCCTGCATTGCACGCGTTCGTGTGCGTGTCTGTGTGTGATTTGATAATGACACTGACCATGTTGTTGTTTGTCTTTGCTGACTGAAGGCCAATAAGAAGCAAAGAAAAAACAAAGGGAAAGCGTGGGTTGGGTGGAGGAAAAATATACGACAAATGGCAAAAAAAAACCAGTTGCGGTTCTGTTTTCTTGTTTTTGCTTTGAATCACGGCCAACTGCTGTTCAGCTGTGTTGCTGTTGCGTTTTTAAGTGCCCGTTTAGGCCCATAACAAAAGCCAGGCAAGCAACATGTTATTACGCACACACATACGCCCTTCCATAAAAGTATATATGTCTGTGTTTGTGTGTGTGGGGGAGGTGAGCTTGTTGCACAGTTAGTTTTGTGGCCGTATTTGCAGCATACATTTGTGCGCAGTTTAGATGGCCGTTGCAGTTACCGTTATAAGTGAGTGGGTATATGCGACGGTTAGCGCAGCGCAGGCTGCATAAGGCACACAATTCCATTTTACATTTCCCAATCACAAACACACACATGGCGGAGGGCTGACAGGTAATTGATTTGCTCTCTCCTCTCCTCCATATCATGCCATCTCGCTCGCACTCACTTCAGTTACTGCGGCTAAGTTGAGAGTTTATATTTGCACTCTATGTATATTATTGGCGTAACGCGGCGCAACAAGAGGTTGGCCTTGTGCACTCAGGTACACATATACATACACACACTGTTACACACATACATACAGCTGGATGGGAAGAAAAATTTTAATTTGAATTAAACGAAAAGTGATTTTCTCCTCCGCCTTTGAGACATTTTTTTCCCACGCACATAACCATGCATTCCACCTATGCAAAATACACAGACACTCACACACACGCACAAATACTCCAGCGATAAATTATTTTTCTCTATAGGTTTTTCGATGTTTTGGCAATTTACGATTTGTTTTAGTTATTTTTTGGCTGCCCGTTTTTTGTACTGATTGTTTGTTGCTTTACACGCCGTTACGGATTCCTCGCTCCACAAAAAATAAATAACAAACGAACGAGCGAACGAAACATGAACAATTCCGCCACACAATGGTCGTAGAAAAGCAAATAAGAATTGAAACGCGCACAGTGGTCTCTTTTCAGCCTTTCGCTGCTCTGTCGCAGTCGCTGCTGCGGCTGCTGCTGCTGCGGCGGCTACTGCTGCTGCGACTACTGCTGCTGCTGCTGCGCGGGAGAGCAGCCACAGTGGCACATCCCAAAATCCAGAGGCCACAACAGGAGTGCGCGATTCTGCCACTCGACTCAACGAACACATTCCATTGTGCCATATACACACTTAATTTCCATTTTTCATATTCCAAGCGCACTGAAAAAAACTCTCCACCACCCCCACTCATACTACAAAAAACACCCACCACCCACTGCAAGTCAAGAGAGTGAGAGAGAAAAAATAGAGAGCAGAGCGCAATAAAGAAACTAATGTTTAAAACAAAAGCACAAACATCTGGGCAAAGAGGAAAAAAGGCGCATAAATTTTAGTTTTTCGATTTATCTGTTTTGTGGCAAGACGTCAATTATCCATGAGAACGGAAAGCAGATCATAAACACACTCAAAACTTTGTGTAGTGCGCTAGTCTCAGCTGTTAATACCCCGTTGGAATGCCATGCGCCGCGCTCAGAGAGCGGAAAAGCGGGAAAATGGGAGAGCGCTTTTCCGTTGGCTTTGCATGCGACAAGTGTCCGTAGGAAAAGAGTGAATTGGTTAAAGAAAGGGTTAAATATTTTTCCGGGTTTTCGATCGTATCTAACAACGCAAACTGATTGTTTTTAAATTCTTTAGGAAAGCGAATATGTAGGTATATGGCTAAGAGGGTAATTAATTATAGAAGAAAATAAATAAGTAGATGAGTACATTTTTAAATCCCTGTTGGTAAACAAAAAGGCTATAGAGTAAAATTCATTTTTCCAAGTTGTGTCATATTTAAAATGAATTTCTATTCCACGCGTAAACGTTTGAAGAACGTACCAAGTATCAGTCATTGGCCAATAACAATTTGCTGGCAGTGTAAAAATAGTTCACTGCAACCACTGTGCCTGGAACGGAGCGAAAAGGAACGAAGGGAGCCATCCGGAACGAAGCGAACTAAAACGGGACTAGCACACTAACACACATTTCCAATGCGCACTGTTTTCTTTCTTTTCTTTTGGAGCATGCGCCTCGTAATTCACATGGCGCCTCTGTCGCTATCTCTGCCACTGCCGGCGTCGCTGCCACTGGCTCTGCCCACACCCACAACATGCACTTCTACTTAGCAAGCAAAACAAAAACCGTGAGAAAGTTGCCTCGTGTGTGTGTGTGTAGGTGAGAGTGTATACAGCAAATCAGCTAGAAAACAAAGAGTGGGAAAAACCAGGCCAAGAAGGGAGGAAAGCTAACGATCGCAGCCGCAGCCAATGTGCGTACTGCAATCGCGAAAAGATAATGATTGCTTACTGGAAAATTCTTTTTCAAAGCCACGCTTAAAGTCAATGTATCGTTGCATACTTCTGAGCGCACTTTCTTTGAAGTTGCGCTTAAAATGTTCAAATTAATTAGTTCGGCACTTCCTTTTTAGAGACTACCTTAAACAAGTATATTTTCAAGTTAGTTAGTTAGTATTTACTGTACTTTGTATTAATTAAAAACTGGTTTTGTAAAAGATCACTCACCGCTATCGTTTTCTTCCTCTGCTCGGAGATCATGTTCTCGCTGGAACCCTTCAGGAGTTCAGCCAATAGGGCGGGCGTCGGTTTAACTAGATCCTTAGAACCTTTTCCCGATCCTGGAGAACCTCCTGATGGTTGAATAGCTTTAGAGGCCTTATCCCCGGATCCCGCATCCGGACTCCTTTTGGTAGAGTGATGGTGACTGTGACTGTGGCCGTGACTGTGACCGTGACTGTGACCATGGTGATGGAGACTAGGACGCTCCGTACTCATCGACTGACTGCGCTTGCTGTGATGAGATTTGGGGGCAGGAGCCTCGGAGGCGGCCCTCTTCATATGGTGCAGCTGGTCATCCAACTCCGCCTCATTAAGATTCTTGGCGGACACGGATATCTGGGCGGTGGCCGCGGAAATGCCCTTGTTGCCATGCTCAAGTTGCGAAGGTGTGGATGCAGCACGAGCGTGAGATGGAACCGGTAGAAATGTATTCGACTTGCGCACCCGCATGGAATTGGAGTATTGGGGTAGATTGCGGGAAGGAACTCCCGATCCACTGGTGGGTCCACCAGGAGCAGATCCACGCAGGTGTAAACTGAATGAAGAGAGTTAAAGTTAACGATTTTATTTGAAATTGTTGTTTGATACGTATACGTAATATGCGAAAATTCAAAGCCTATTACAACACATGACCCTTATTTAGGGAGAATTCCTTTTTTATTAGAAAAACAAATTGTATTGCTTACCTGTCCGTTTCTCGCAGCTCCTCGAGGATCTCCTCGAAGTGCATCCGGTTGGGTTTCTTCATCTCCGCCTCGAGCATTTGACCATAGGGACCCCTAAGCGGTCGCTTCGAGAACCTTTTGTAGTCGTAGTCGCCGGTGCTGGGTGTGGGACTCGAGGTGATCCGCTCCCTTTCCCGCTCCCTGGTGGCCCGATCACACTCATTATCCGAGGTGGAGTCGGTGCGCAGGAAGCTCAAGCTCCTGCTGGAGGCATCGTCCTTCTCCTCGCTGCTGTGGCAACTGAAGTTGCTCAGCAACTGCGCCTTGTCGCGACTCAATCCGCCACTGCCCCAGGATGGCGAACCCTTCTCCAGTTCAGGGGTATTCAGCTCAAAGGAATAGGAACTCTGTGGACTGCTGATGTACATCTGTGAAACTCCGGGGGTGTTGGCATCTGGAGACTCCGGTTTGATGGCATTCAAGTTAGCCACACTGATATCCAAGGCGAGACCACGTTGAGGCGACTCCGTGGGCGCCTGCCAATCCGCATTGTCTATGTACATTCCTTTTCTTTTAGTTGACTTGTCCAGGTGCCTCCTTTGCCGCTCATCCGTACTGTGACGAGGAGTGGCAATGGCCTCCAGGGAGCTCCTCAGTTCCGCATTGGTCAAATCCAGGTCGTCGTGACTGTACTGCTTGACGTGCTGTCCGATTGAGGGATTCCTGGCTGTGGTGGCCACCTCCACTTGAGGCACATCCTCGATCTTGGCCAGCTCGTCACCCTCCTCGGAGGAGCGACTCACGGATATGGTGGGCACCAGGTCACTCCTCACAGCTGTGGTCAAAGTGGATGGAGTTTGGGAGATTTTGCAGGCGGCATGTGGGATGGGTGGCTGTATGGTCTCGGGCACAATGCCAAACTCCTCCGGAGCCACCTCCACCCACTCCTGGGCAGGAGTTTCCAACCACTCCTGGGCGGCACATTCGTAAACCGGAACGGGAATCTCGCAGGTGGTGGCTGTTTGCAGGAAGTTATCCGGCGGTGCCTCCAGTGGCAGCTGTTCCTCCATCAGGGTGGCCAAGTTGGGAGCACTGCCACTCACCGAGGAGCTGGGCGGTGTGATCTCCAGTATGGGTTGTGTTGGCACCACCTCCTCCTTGATCAAGCAATCGCTCTCCGACTGAATGGTATCCGTTAGCGATTCCATGGTGGCATGCGCTGCTATCACACTGCTCGCGGTGGCCACCGGAAAGAGGATGCCCGAGCTGCCACTCGCAGCCAGCTCGTTGCTGAAGATGTCCTCCTCCTGGATCGCGTCGTGATCCAGTGACTTCTCCTGTCCGTAATTCAGATTGATGCTGAGTTCCGTTTTCTTGAGGGGAATGCGCACCCAGCCGGGATCCGCTGGGACGACCGGCGGTGGTTCCTCCTCGCGCGAGTGCGTTGGACTCGGACTGGGCGCCTCGATGGCCTTGTCCCGCTTGAGGCGATCCCGCAGAGCGGTCAGCGTGGACTTGCAGTCGATCTGCGAGAACGAAACGGATCGAAACGGGGCCGTTTTGTGCGCTGCGCTGCGTGAATGCGAATGTGAATCCGAGCGAGATGCTAGCGCCGTGCTCTCGAAACTGGCACTGGCCGCAGTTGCCGACGACGCATCTACGCATCTGCTGTTGCTGTTGCTGTTGCCGCTGGCCGCAGGTCGCAGACTCTGATTCCGATTCTGCTGCGCAGGTGGGGGCGGGGACTTGGACTTCTCGCGGTTGCTCAACATGAAGGCCTCCAGGTTGGAGAGACTCGTATTTGGCCGCAGGGAGGCGAACAGACGCGCAGCGGTGCTAATCGTACCACCACCACCGCTTCCCCCTCCACTGTGACGTGTGGTATCTTCGGTGGGTCCGCGCAAATGAATGCTGCCCGCTTCCGATTCCGACGTGTGACTGGCGCCCGTGTCCTGGCGCTCCAGGTGGGAATTGCGTGGCTTGCGGGGCGGTGGCACCGGTGGCGGGGGAGGCGGTGGCGGAGTGGGCGTGGAGGAGGCACGGGAACTGCTGCCGCCACCACCGCCCCTCAGCAATTCGGTCAGCTCGCGGAGACGCTCGGAACGATCGGATGTCTTGCGGTGCTTCTCCGGACCGGAAGTGGATGACGAGGAGGACGCGGACGTGGAGGCAGCGGCCGCTGGCGATGATTTACGCCCGAAACCGAGGCGCTGAAAACGGTCCAGGGTATTACGTCGTTTCTCCATTGTGTGCTGCAAAAAAAAAAAGAGAGATAGAGATTTTGGGGAGGGATAATTCGAGTTAAACGTTTATTATTCATCAACGGATTTCGCTCTCGCTTTCCCCCTTCTCCTCCACATCTTTTTATGGACTAGCTGTGGGCGTACTTGTGATCCCCATCCCCCCATCGGCCCACTCCACCCCGATCACAGAATAAAAACAAACAAATCGCTGGCAATCCAATTCAATAAACTGAAACACACAGCCAGTACCAGCAAACATTGAGTCAACGTGGCGTATGTGTAATATCCAGAGGGGAAAACATCAAGAATTCGCTTTCCCGCAGGATCTTTTTGTGGGTCGATATACCGAATGCTAATTGGAACGAGCATGAGCATTATGTATTCCAATTTCCGGAACCCAGGCAGCATGATTATATTAGGCGCCTCATCGCTCCCAGCGTCATTATATTCACTGCACAATGACACACATACCAAAAACCGATCCCAATCCAAGGAGCCGAGGTGGCAGAGAGAACACAATGTAAAGAAAGCCAACGGTGCTCTATATATAAAGCCGATTCGTGTATACATACGCACACAGTGATATTTTTAGTATAAACAACAGAACTCAGCCGCATATATAACAAGCGTACGTATTTAAATCCAAATACGTATATATATATATGCGTATGTAGGTGGAATATACAGAAAATACAAGAGATCTTTGGCTATGACTGGGAATGAATGAGCGGACAGGCTAACTTACAATACACTGCTACAAACTGACTAATCTAATAGAAAGCTAGATAATTAAAATTAAGGAATTAAAACTAAATAACGAAGTATGCTGATCACCTACCTAAATATTTATTTTTATTTCTTAACCATTTTGTGATGTGTTTTTCCCTTAATCTTAAATATTATGCACCTGGAACTGACTTGTTTATTTTCTTCAATAATCTAACTACATATTTCTCCTAGTGCAGGCATTAAAAGAATCGTACAAATAACACAAAAGTAGAGCAATACTAGCAGAGTGATCTCTGCTGAGCAGAACTCTCGCAACCAACACAAATTAAAGACACAAATCCCACATTCTCCCGATTTCTCCGATTGAGCGGCGGAACGTGCCGTTCAGGTGGTGCCCATCCATCCATCCAACCAACCGCACATATATGTTTTATTCTCTGGCCCAACTACAATCTCCGAGAGATATATTTCCTCCCATCGAACGGAAAACAAACGGACGAGTAACTATATGATATATGGTATCAATAAAATCGATCAAAACAAAAGGTTTATGGCTGAAAATTGCACTCCCTGACAGTTCGGGTGATGAATGGTGGCCATCGAGATTCGGGAAATACAAATATACAATTGTCTATATCTGTTTGAGGTTGGTTTTCTCTTTCTCCGATATTCCATGACCCATCATATACTATCTTAACTCATTATATGCCTTTCGATGCTGCCTATATTTGTTTTATTACACTGTGTCTATTTTATCGCTTTTTATGTGACATATTGACCTGATTTCACTTCTAAAATATTTGTTGTCACTCTGAATTATAAAATTATTATTTTATTATAATTTGTCCCAAACTCACCCCGTTCTCCTTGTTGACTTCGTATGGAGCATCCAAATGGAAATTGCAATGGCAGGGCAGAAGTAAATTATTTCGCTTAACTTGGTTTGGATTATGATTCGTTTGGTTAATGGGATTCACTTGGGTAAAAGCATTGCAGCCCCGATTGTGCAGCGGTAGACAGAACGAACTTTCCCGGTCGCTTCTTTCTTGGTTTATAACATTCGCGGTCACACGCGACAAATCGGTGTACGGATCGTATGAAACTTTTGGCTCTCCGTAGAATTGTGCTTGCAAACGCGATTCACTGAGCGATTTCTGCACCCCGATGCTCTTCTCTGCGCCAACTTCCGGTTCCGGTTCCGAATCGAAGATCAGGCGACCGTGCCGATCGTAACACAGGGATCTCGGTCCCTTCAGCAATCCCCAAGTGCAATCCCCACTTGACCCGAACCGACAATTATAGTTGGCGTTGTGATTGAAACTCCCGTCGAATGCGTAGGGGGATAATCCTTGGGGATGCAGCAGCTGTTCGCGGGATAAATCCGATTCGAGTGGTGTGAATGGGTGGCAGGTGGCTGGTGATGTGGCTGATGGCAGACCAAACGGCGGGTCTTCAGAGCAGGCTCATCGGATATGGAAGACTCGACACAAACACGCGGTTTCGGCGGAACTGGCGGAGGATGGCGATAGCTTCGATAGCTAACGGTGGCACAGGAATTATAGTGTTGCAGTTGTAGTTGCTGTTGTTGCTGTTGTTGCTGCTGCTGCTGTTGCTGCTGTCTGAGATGTTGCTGCTGCACTGGCTGCTGTAGATGTTGCTGCTGTGACAGTTTTTTGTCAATTGTATAACAACAAATTGCTGGTGACTCGTCGCTGATTTCGGATGACAGGGACAACACTGGCGATGACGCGACTCCCACTGATGTTGCTGCTGTTGTTGCTGTTGCTGCTGGTACTTTTGTTGTTTGTATTGCTGTTTTTGTAGCTGCTGTTGATTTTTCCGTTTTCGTTGTTGATGTATTCGGCTGCCGCTTTTCTATTTCTATAACCGGCGGCCGCGCAACGTCATCGTCATCGTCAGCGGCATCCTCCTCATAATGAGCATCATCGACCAAAACGCGCCTCGTGGAATCGACTTCCTCCCCATCGAAGACAAAGCGAAACGACGACAATTCGGACACTGAATCGTAGTCCCCAAACGGCAGCTGTTGCTGCTGTTTCTGCTGCTGATGCTGCTGCTGATGTTGCCGCTGCTGTTGCTGATGTTGCTGTTGCTTTTGGCGGTCCATAGTGCTGCCAACTTGTAGCTGTTGTTGCTGCTGCTGCTGATGATGCCTCTCCCCGCAGCAATTCTCGCAGAGAATCCGTGAGCTTTTCGCAGCGATGCCAGGAGATAGCTTTTGATGCTGCGTGTTCGCAAAGTATTTGGCAATGGGATCGTACTCCTCATCATCATCATCATCATTGTTGTTGTTGTTATTATTATTGTTGTTGTTGTTTAGCTGTTTGTGGGTGAACTGCTGATAAGTTAGCTGCTGATTGGCCCTGGCCTCCTGGCCCTGGGCGATCATTGATGGTTCGAATGGCCGCCGAGAAGGCTGCTCCTCATTCCATGAGAGCTTCTTGTAGCCGCGATTTCGCACCACCCGTTGGCCCAATTGCGGTGTGGTTGGCAAGGAGCTGGACAGCTTCAGTGGTGCAAGGTGCGGCACCTGCTGATCGCCTGTTTGTTTTTTTTATTTTTTGGATGGCAGTGAATGTGAGTGGAGTTCGTGTGCTCTGGCAACATGCATTTGTGATCTTACCAATGATGGCCTCCCCCTCGAGTTGGCTAACTTCGCTGTCGACGGTTCGCGTGGAGTGCCGCATGCAGCAGCAGGAGATAAGGCGACTGCTCTTGATCCTTCGCCTCACCGACTGATCAACTTCAGTGGGTGGCTTTGGGTTTGTCCTCAGATCACAGTTATCACTGCAAAAATATTAAATAAATAAGTTTGATGGTAAACATGCAAAAATTATTAACGTTTCTATAGAAAAAAAAAACAAAAACAAACATGCCACTGCATAGTTAAATTTAGCCTTGGGTTCATTTTTATATCTTCAGATAAGCTATAATTAACTTAAAGACTTGCAAAGCATATATGCTCTTAACACCTTCAAAGATAACTTTAAAGTAAACAACTCACATGTTAGTAAAGTTAAACGGTTAGGAAACTTACTGATGGAAAATTCTTATGAACTGTTTTTTCGGTTAGGTAAACATGTCTTTAATATAACTCATGCAAATTAATCAAAGCTAAAGAAAAGCTATTTAACAAAAAATCACCTAAGAGGCAAACAATTTAATTCTTGGTGTAGGTAAGTTATTGAGGAATCTAATATACCCCACGGGGTTATTTTGATCATAGGATATTGCAAATGTTTGCCCAAAAGCATGCCACAAGCACTGAACTTCGAACTTTCATGCAAATTGAAATGATTGAGCATCGTTTGGATTCTTCACCTCTTCCAAGTGCTTTCATTCTGAGAGCCCACATATAAAGCCTTCATTGGCAGATCATCATATTTTCCTCGAGAAGGCATATCGTATGTTATGTATCCCTGACGTGCCTCCGGCATTTTTCTGATCTATGGGATGTAGTAGCTGATGACAGTCCCGATTCGGTCGAGTGTATTTCGCAGTAAAGTTCAGTGCCTCAAATATAAAGCACATCTATTTTTAGCCGGTGCAGCGCATACTTCAATCCCAATGCGATCGGGGCTACAGTAGAATTCGATATTATTATATCTTGATGCATGCCTTTCAATAAAATCATTCAGCAGACATAATCGTATTTTTTGATCAACATATTTTACTTATCTTGATACTGAAGGCAAGCAGTAAACAATCGATAAGGCTTCACGCAAATATTTATTTAAAAAACAGAGGAATCCAATACAATGTTTTGAAGAAAAATAAAGCTTAAATCGAATAGTTTTTGACACAATATTTTGCCACCCACATTACCTTAACATGTTTTTCTGTGTTTCTGTTTCTATCTTATGATTAATACAACTTTATTTTCTCAGGTATTTTTTAATTACCCACTGTATTTGTGAAACTATTCCAAAGCCTCGACCCGACTGGTTATTATCTGCCATTTTGGCCTCAGCGCGATTTGCCACCTTTCGATTTCCTCGAACGGAACCCGAGTGTTACGCATGCGAATTTTTAGCACAGAGCTGCCAGTCGAAGCCATGACCATGACATGCCCCTCCTTACACTTATCCGAAACCCCCCGCCCCCCGCGGACCGCCACTGCCACTCTCCGTTGGCTGTCATTAAATATGTTTAGTTGGTATCCCCGCGTTTTTTTTTTTTTTTACTGCATCCACTGGCGTGTCCATTGTCTTTCGGGGATTGGTTACCCGAGTTGGCCAGGCTTTTGTTTCAGTGGATGACTTTTTCTTTGGCTAGCTGCTGTTGTTTTTACCGAACAAGTGGCTTTCCTATAATCTTAATTGATGTTGAACAAACAGCAGAGCATGTTGCACAAGCCGGAGACGTCTCCGCTTTTTTTGTTCGCCTGCAAGAGTTTACCATCCAGCTACACATTGTTTAAGGAGAGATTTGCATGAGCTTCTTTTGCTATCTTTAAAATTTTAAACAAACGATTTTAGTCTTTACTCGCAAAAAGAAAACTCTGCTGCAAGGTAACACATTTAAAAGATTAAGCATCATTGTTTGATGAGGGACTTGCATTTTATCAGAAAATATCCTAAATTAAAAGGAAGAGACTCAAAACAAAGGAGGTTTACTTGGAGATTTAGTCTAATTAAAAGGTGTAACAAAATTGCATAGAAGGATAACACATATTTAAGTGATTGCATGTATCATCTGAAAATAAATATATAAAAAAAAAAAAATAACACTTTACGTGGTGTAAATACCACGCTTGTTGGGAGTCACACATTTGTCCCCAAAATATCATTCCGCCAGAGAACCAAAAATATCTTTTCCACCAGCAGGCGCAGAACACCAAAGATACTTTGAGTGAAAGATGCTCGTGGCGAAACAATTGCATTGCCATGTGCAGACAGTGCGGAACGAAAGTATAAGTCTGGGAAGTACAAGATCTTATGTCAAAGAACGCAAATTATAATACCAACTCTTACTCATCTCAAATTAATGACAAAATTGCTGTTTGATTTGTGGATCCTCTAATGGAAACCATAAGCAAACGTATTTAAAAAGCTGTCAAAGCCAGAAATGTGTTTATTATTTCAACTCTTGCTCATCGAATCATTATGAAACTTTCTGTAGAGCGGCACATATATATAAGTGCCTCTGCTCGTGTGTACATAGAATTTTGTGTAAGGCATTTTTTAGCCGAGATTTCTGGGGTGTCAGTCCATCGGATACAAATGTATCTTTCGCAGCGTAATCACTCAGGAATGCAGATGCACAGATCTGTGCGGTCTGCTCTATAAATACCCGACCAGCTTCGAATGGCCAGCCAGAGCCCGCTTATCAGCAGCTGGACTTGCACTTGTCAAAGCAAAAGATACAGATGCATCTCTACCGCATCTGTATCATTTCTATCGCATCTGTATCTCATCAGTATCGCGCAATTAGAAGCGCCTCAAGGTCGACGGAGTAATGAGATCTAACTGCGAGCAGCTGATTTAACTTATCTGCTTGGCGGCTAGAGCTTGAAGCAAAAAAACAAAGACCTTCCAAAACAACTTTAGCACATAACTGTCGCCGAGAAATCCGTGAGTTTATTGTGAATTCTTTTTGGTGTACGCCAGCTTCTTGATAAATATACAAGTTTTTTGAGTGTTTGCCCATGGAATACTTGGCCAGATAAACCCGCGCACAGATTATCAGATCTGGCGACAAGGCAAAACGAGCGTCAGCAATCAGAAGTCAGCGATAAACAAGATGTAAGATACCCCATCCCCACCCACTTCACAAAGAAACCGAAAACGAAAAAAAAAAAAATAAGAAAAACCCCATTTGAGAGTGAAGATACATTATAAATAGTTTGCCGCCAATCATAAATAAACAAAAATTCAATTAAAATCATACTCAGCGCAAATCTATATGGGAGAACCATTAAAAAACCATAAAAGTTTTGACATGTTGCGAACATTTTGCTGTCAGCTGCAGAAGCGGTCCCCATCTCTTCGGCTTCCATCTCGCCACAAACAATAATAACAATTAAGCCAGCTCCTCGCCCCCCGGGGAAACACCTATTTTTTTTTTTTCATTTTCGCTCTTTTTTTCGTAACTATTTCATAGGCCTGCCCTCCGCCGGCAGAGTCGTTTTGACTGACACGTGACAGCGGGATCCGTGATCCGTGCCAGATGCCCCCTGCTGCACATCCCACATCCCCATCCACATCCACCATATCCCCATAGCTCCACATTTCCACATCTCTGAATCTCCGGCGGCATGCAAAACTTCTTTGTTATGGACTTTATGATTAATCTGCACAGCTTTTCAGCGGCATATCAGCAACACCTCCAGCATTCAAAGTGCGTGATGGGATTAGGAGTGCATCTAGCAGATCCCTTTCAATACCATTTATATATAGTAACTCACATACAAGTATATATGTTTGCACACCACCTGAGAGGGAAGGTATTCCCGATCCAGATTGTGATCCCGTGGGCGACATTAGCACCCCTTTTATATCCATCGCTCACCTGAACCGAACTGAACTTGGACTTGAATTGAAATCGAAAATGAAATCAAGAGTGGCCTGGCCCAGAGACCTTGCCAGTCTCTTTTGAATTGCAAATCAGACGATTCTCCCAGTTCGTACCCCCCATCAATGCTGGATGGTTGCTGCGCAAGTGTGAGCTTGAAATCGTATCTTTCGGTTCAAGTTCAGTTCGGTTTGGTTCAGAGCGACAAAGATGCGAACATTAGAATTGGACTAGCGGACACCCGACACCCCCATTCAGATGCTAAACATTGTTGGGGCATGCATTACCTCTATATGGCTGTAGTAATACCGACAGCACTGAGAAGAAAAGAATTCTAATAAGGGAATTACCTTAGTTTCTTAGAGGGATAAATATAGAAAAAATAGTACAGAGTATCATTTGCACAAAAACAAAAATTTAATTTAATTTAATTTAATACCCAAAAGGTTATTATGTTAAAACAGCTATGTAAATAAGATTAAACATAGCTTAAGATAAACAATTTATTATGTTATCTGTTATTATATCTTAAGTGTTTTCTGCGTAGTTTTTAACGTATGATTAAATATGAATACCTCAGTACAAAAGCATAATAGTGAACTACAAAAATTTTCAACGGAATTGAGATTTCAATATTTACACTAACCTAGGCCAGGAATGTTGGTTTTAGCTTTAGATAGGGGTTTTCCCCCAGTGATTTACCCATCGGACGAGCGCCCGTAGAAACCACAAAAAAGTAACCCACACCTCGAGGCAAAGGCGGAGAAAAATTGGCTCTTTTGGGGCGAGGCGCGTAATACCAGATGCATTCAGCACTCGGCATTCGGCATTCGACTTAGGAACAGGCCAAAAATCTGGCTGGCCAAGCTTGAGTTATGTCAGTCAGTCGGTTAGTCAGCTAAAGCTAAAGCCAAACTGTCTGGGCCAGGGTTCGACATTTCACTTTTGATTTTCGATTTCGTACTTTCACGAGCCGAGTTTCTGGCGGAGTGACCCTAAAGTTCAACCCGGCTGAACCCGACTCGATGTAGAAGCGATGCAGATACAAATGGGAATGGGAATGGGAATGGGAAATGGAGAGGGAGTTAAAGCCGAAATGGGGTTTTAGCCCGAGCTGCACAACATTCAATTAGTACATATTAAATTTGTTTGCCCGTTGTTGTTGGTTTTCTTTTTTTTTTTTTTGTATTTTTGTTGGGTTCGATTTTATTTTTATTTTTTTTCTGGCCAGTCCGAACAATGAAGCGGAACTTAACTCGATTTAAGTTTTTATGAGCGGTATTTTGTAGTTTGTATCTGCTGGCTTGTATCAGCAGACAGCGATAAATTGTGTTATGAAAGTGCACTGCAGATGCAGTGCAGGAAGACCCCAACTTCGACTTTGACTCCGACTTCGACTCCGACTGCGATCCCAGTTTACAGTCGCGAGTCAAAGTTGAACAGCAACATGGGCCAAAAATCTGAGGCCATTGATTGTTACATCGATTCGGGTGATAACTCTCCGGCAATCAGCCGCAGATCGGATTCGGCGAAAACGGGGAAATCACTTTCATAAAATGTTGTCCATTGAAGAGTTCTTTATCTAACCGGAGATTAAGTTGGTGGTGGCTTTAAGGCATCTTTTAATGTGGGTTATTTCCGCATGAAGATTACCCAAGGTGTTTTCTCAGCTTAATTGGTGGTGAGTCAAAAAAGAAATAAAGCTACAATTAACCCAAAAAATATTCTTTTAATTCTTAGCATACGTCTTGAGAAAAACAAAAACATTTGTTTAAAGAAACTTCTTTGGTTAATAATTATGATCTAATAAAATTAAAGTAGTCTGAATATGCTCAGGGTAAGAAAGTATGTACTTTGAATGAGAATGTTACGAAGTTTTAAGATCTCATTATGTATACATATATCTCGACATCTCATGGTACTTAAATAACAATAACAGTTTTTGTTATCTTATCAAATAGTAGCAAATACCTAATGTGAAAATCCCATTTTAAATTTATTTTCACAGACAATGGCGCAAAAGTGATGGGCACTTAAACGAAAGTGGATCATCTTATATGCGCCATATCGTAAATACTTAATTCCCCAACCTTGCAGTTGCACAACCCAACCGATTTCCCGGATGCCTGATTAGTCCACCGATATGAAAGTTATTCTCAGCCCGCTCTGATGCATTTCAATTATGTAAACTCGGTTTTCACATTGATATATGCACAGGGTTCGGAGGAGGAAAGGTGGCCGCAGGAGGAGGTGTAGTCCCATCAAAGTTCGATCGTCGTCGTTTCCTAATTTTCGGGTTCCGGGCTCCGAGTTTTTGCTGCCGGGGCAGCCGCCTAAATGCTAAATGCATGCCGAGATGCAGATGGATAGCGTTTTGGGCGGTGTGGGCGTGGTCGCAGCTAACTACTGACGAGGTCGTGAGTATCACTCAAATTGCCTTGCCGCATTCATCATCGGACAGCGGCCGAAACAGAAACCGTAAATGTAACATGTGAGCATTGGGGTGGTCCCCCAGATATTTTTGTGAAATATTATGCTAAATGGGTTCCCTTATGAAAACAATCTCGGAAAGTGAAAGCGAGACTCTTCTAATAAGTGTCGGTGGGTAATTAATCTGTGAAACTGTCTAAAAATATAATTTGCTAACTTGAAAATTTTATTTCCTAATCTTAAAAGATTATTTTTTCTTAAAAAAAAAAACTGTATTTAGTTTATGCATAGCGTTCATGATATTTATACCAAAAACATTTTTTTTAAATATTTAAAATTGTAACAAATTTTATCTAGTACATACTTATAAAATTTTTTTATGACTTGTTGTCAAACTGATTTTAATGGTAAAATAATCAGATTTTTTTTTAAATACTCAATCATTGTAAGTGTTGTTTTAAATTACCCATATGAGGTAAAGAAATCCCAATGGGTCCACCCTATTAATCAGTCAGACAGCGGAGTTCAAGTCGTTGTTGTTGCCGCTTTGGAGCTGTTAGTTTAGCCGGTTGAGGGGCGTGTCCGTTCAGCGCTGAACTCTTTTGGCAGAGACGACGTCGTTATATATGAGGCCCCGTAATGGGTTGAGCTCTGGCACACATACGAATATGAGCTTGGAGGGACCACTTGTCCCCAGCGACAGTTTGCCACTTTCTCACCTCCCCCAAGGAGGCGGTGGTGGGGCGGGACTGGGGATGGGGATAGGGATACGGATCGGGGAGAAGGAGAAGGAGTTACCGATTCCCGGCCAGGCAATAAAAGTTCACCGCAGGGACGGGACAGTACCACATGAGGGAACGCGGAGCGTTGGGAGATCCAACTGCAGTTGGGCTAAGCTTTTCATTACTTTATTTTCGAGTCTGGGCTCAATCTGAATCTGTCTTGCCAATAACAGCAATGCCACCAACAACAGCAACCGGCGAGCGGGAAAACTGCGGACTTGCAGCGCTCGTTTAAATGCGGCGTCGCAATCGCATTCGTTGTTTGAAAAATCCAAAATAGACAGACGGAAAGAAAACAAGAAATAAGTATATTACTCTAAAGGTTATCCCAAAACCAACGACTCACTGATACCCTTTTCCACTTACGGTAGTTACGGTTTTCAAATAATCGATAATCAAGCTAATAAAATGTCTTACACTGTTTGAGAAGTGATTGGAATGCAGATTTTATAAAATTTCTGTGTCCCTTATATTTATTATTCATTCTGATTTCAATCTGTATTCTAGTGATCCAGTTTAAAACGAAGAAGTTCGTATTAGGTGGGATTGGAGCTGGGAATACAAATTTCAGCTAGCTTGTAATCCAATTAATTTTGTTTCCTAATAAACAACTAACTAATTTACCCGACACCTGCTAACTTGACATTTGATACTTTTTTGTTGATGCAAGATAGCTTTATAAATACAGCTATGCTGTTGTAAATTGTCTAAGATTGTTGCCATAATAATATATGGTTGCAAAATTTCCTTCATAAAGTAAAGGAATATTAATGATTGAATATGACAAACGGTACGAAAACGGAAACGGAAAGGTTAATCTTAACTAATGAAAAATAATATAATAGATATTTTTTTTGAAACAATATTTTTTGAGTTCTCTAGCCAGTTATGCACTAAAATAATCCCTTAAAAAGGGTATGCAGAGGTCTTAAAAAGAAAACTAGGAGATAGATGAGGAGCAGGCGGGCGAAAAGGAAAACAGAAATCGTTTTTGCGCAATCCCCACAAATCTGATAAGCAGTTAGAGAGCATTAGACCAGCCAGCACACACTCTCAAACGGGCCAGCAAACAAACCGGGCAGCAGACAAACGGAGAAACACATCCAAAGAGTCTGGGCCCGAGTCTGGGGATCTGGGGATCTGGGGGTCTGGGTCTGGAGAGCCAGCATCAGCATCAGCATAAAGCCAGCGTCAAGTCAAAATCCCAATACCCAACCAAACTACCCAACTGGCCCGACCGGGCTAACTTTTGAGTGTTGCAGCACTGACTGAGCTTAGCCCGGCCCGGCTCCCCAGATCTCCTCCAGAGCCCCGCCGAATCCTCCTTCTCCGTCGCCCTGCCCCATTGATGCTCGAGAGTCGCGACGTAACATGCAACATTACATGCCTATAATTTGTTTTCACACAGCAGGACGTTTTCACTCCATAAGACATCAGAAAGAGGTCTTAAATGGTCACATTACTGCCATTTCCAACAGCGTTCAAATGTCCAAAGACTGGCTGCATCTTCTCCAGCGTTTCGAGGCGGGTTTTCTCCGCCAGTGCCTTTCGGCCAGATCCATGCTACACAGCCTTTGGCCAATGCAATAATGTTTGCTAACTGTTATTTAATATAGTCATTATTTGGCCACAACTTGTCCCACTGAGCAAATGGCACTTCATTCCCCAATTTACCAACGCATCCCCCGCGGCATTCTACCGCATCCTCTATTCACCGTTGTGGCTCGAACTTTAGCAGACGCAATCTGGGAATAGTGCATCCTACACTCCAAATAAAGTGGGAGGTTTATGTACAAAATGATTACTATTGATTCGAAAACTTAAGTTATTTTCCAAAATGTTTTTTTGTAGTTTATACAATACAATATAAACTACAAATAAAAATTTACAGCGTCCTTAATGTGCAATATTTAGAAAAATAAACTTATCATTTTTAAAATTGTATTGATGACCAAGTTTGTTGCATTGTTAAAATTAAAAAAAAAAAAAAACAAAACGTTCGCTGTTCTTTTCTTTATAAATACATTGTTGCTAGTCACTAAAGGTGCACATAAAAGCAAAAAATATTAAAATTGGCACTGTACCAAGGCAATCTTTTGATTGATCATCAGACTATGATCTATTGGCCAGCTAAAACTACTTATAATAAGTGAATTACTACATTAATATTTATTAGAAGCGTTCTCCTAATTATATCATTAAGTGAACTGGCTAAGAAGCGTAATAAAGAGTGGTTTTAGTGTACGGAACAAGGATAAGCGAATTGCTTTTACTTCAGTGCTCCGATGATCGAATGCACAAGTGCCGGCGCTGATCATCGCCTCCTCCATCCCGCTCTATCTTTGCATCTCCCCTCTCTCTCGATCTTTTCACAACCGAGGCTAAGCCCCAATTTGGATTATTTGTAGACATTAAATAAGCTGCGGCCACTGCAAATGCAGGAGGAATTAAGTCGCGCCAGAGTTAAAAATATCCGCGAGACGTCTCGGGATTGTCCCATTGCCAGTTCCTAGATCGAGTTGTGCCGATAAAGGTGCAGCTGCAGATCGCTTTTTTTCGGATTTCGAAGGAGGAGGAGGGGGGATGGAGAAGTGACAGTGGGTAAAAGGCATCTTTACACAATTCAATTGAGTGGCAGACGGGCCATTTACATATGAATACCAAGTGTCCTTTACCGTTATGGCCGGTAACAATATAATATGGAAACAACAATAAAGCCAACTACTACCAACTGCTGCCCACACTAAACAAGTTAACATTTACCGACGGCAGCAGTCAACAGTCAACAGTCAACACCAACAATAACAATAACAATAGCAATAAAAATCAAAATAAAAACAAAAAAACACAGCAAACACAACACACCGAGGGGTGGAGGGCAAGAAAAACACAACACGAAAAAGTATCTTCAAAATACACTTATGCTGTCTTTTTATGGCATATCTTTTACTTATTTGCCCGCACTTAAGTATCGCGGCGCTCGTCTCCGCGGGTAAAGCTGCTTTTTCTGATTTTTCCTCTTTTTGTATTTTCGATTTGTCTGTTTTATTTTTTTCGCTGTTTTGGTTTTTATTTTTATTTTCGTAAATGAAATCGAAATATGGGTCGTCGGCGCGCAGTCTGATTCCGATTCCGTTTTCGAGCCAGTGTCCCATCATCCATCGCCCACTTCCACTCCCCCTAAAAAACCCCTTCGGAAAAAAAAAACTCCTGATCTCGAAACACACTTCCAAAAAAAGAGATGCGAGCAAAATTTCGAGAGCATTATTGGCACGAATTATTAACCTTTTCTTTTGCCATGCTTTTTTTTCTCGGATTTCTTATGATTTTTTTGGTGGTGCACTTTAAGCCCACATCTCTTTGGTGCGAGAAATTGGCCCAAACATATGTACGTATATGCGGAATGAGCCACACAATTCGGCACGAAAGATTGTTCCAATTGGAACATGAGACCGCGACGAGTGCACATCCATGCATTCGTATTTATAAGTCCAAAGAACTTTCACGCAACTGGGTTAATCGAAAATAAAGGCGTCTAATGAGGCCTGATGTACGTACTATGGAGCATATGGAACTTGTGGAGCTGACCTTGCCCACGAATTGTGGGTACCGTTATACGCCCTTGGCTGATTTTTAACCTTTTTACCGTTACGACGATCACTACGGGGCACTGTTTTAATCGGTTTGAACACCGCCCGAATCGTGGTTAATCCCACTGATAACTGATTCACGTAGCGCGAGAGACGTTAACGCTTTTTCGTATTTTGGTGCTTCTGTCTGCGGACACCTCCGAACACGGCCAAATGTTATTGCCAAATGAAGATCGCTCCAACAACCGGCCCTGTGCTTCACTGTGTGGTTGTTGTTGCTGCTGCCGACCGACACATGGTGAATATTCAGTCAGCTCAGCTGCTCAAGTGCACAGTGGAATCGATGGATGGTGAAACATGTTCTTAATTTGTTAATATGTTTTTGAATTTTTATAGAAGAGGCTCAATAATCATAAGTTGAAATTATTATTATTTAAATTTGAATTCCAATACAATTATTATTATTATCAGTATTTCACTTATTTTTGTTATTTTAAACAAAGAATAATTCCACTGTAAAAACGCAGTAGGAACTTTTGAGTGCTCATAAATGCGTTTGCCATTCAACACAATTTTGTGTTATAAACAAATTAAAGAGTAATTATTTGCATGCAAAACTAAATAAATACATTATCCTATGCTTTAATCCATAAATTAAACTTTAAATAGAATTACTAAAAACTTATTATAAAACAACTATCGATAACTAGCTACTTTGTATAGACGTGACAACCCTATTACTCAAGCCGTTGTTGTTCTTTTAATTAAGCCAATATTATTTAAAAAAGGTACGCCCACGCCCTAGAAAACAAAACAAGCAGGTTCAAATTAAAATAAAACTTTTAGTATAGCTTATAAATACAAAAAGTGAATGAAAAACCATGAAAAGCGGTTTTTGAGTTGTGTTTTCACTGACCAAAATATTTGGGCGTTGACGTTGTCACGCAGACCAAACAAACCTGTGACTTAAAGGTGTTTCTAAATATTTTGTGGTGTTTTCCTTCAGAATAATGGTCGTGCTAGAATCCTGCTGGTCACCTATCATCTGGTCTGATAATGTACGGACTGGAAGTTACGCCGTGGCCGGCTATACAGCAGCGCTTTCCGCCGTGATGATCACGTTGATTTCTTATATGCTTGCGGGCGGGGAGTCTGCGCAGCTCTATTCTCCGCTTTTTGAAACAGATATCCGCACATCGATGCCAATTGCAGGGGGATTCTTCATTATCTACTTTCTGCTGATCATCTTGGCCTCGTACTTGGTCTACTACGGAATTAAGATCAGGTTGGTCTGGATTCAAACCTCTAATCTTTTCTAACACTAATTCAATGTAATTCCTAGCACTCGTGGGTGGCTGCTGCCATGGTTGGGTCTCATCGGACTGGCCATCCTCTTCCAGTTTTGTTGGAGTCTGTGGCTTATTGGAGGCTATTACATTTATGTGAGTACAGACCTACGGCTCTCTTTATAAACCGAAACTAATTATTGACATCTTTTCTTAGCTGGAGCAAACCTTCTCTGCTCTTTTAAACTTTGTATGGGTTGCCTACAATGTGAGTATTAAAAAAGTTTAAATTCTCTTACTCAAACATTATTAATCTGTACTTGTTTTAAAAGAACATACTGAAATGTTTGAGTAGGGTTTTAAAATTAGAGTGATCGTTTATATAACGATTTTTCGGTTCTCAGATATATTGCTGGCTCGTGGTCTTCTCGCAATACCAGATCTTCTTGAAAATCCAGAATCCCAACATTGAGCTGCTGATGCCATGATGGAAGCCATTCCAATAACAAGCTCGAATAATCAACTAGAATACTTCCGAATCAATATGCAACTTCGACCGTCCAAGCGCATTTTTACAATAAGAACTCCATTCATATCCACAGATGCCTACCAAATAGTTTTATATAAATTTATATATTTTACACACCTTTATACACGATTAATTATACAAATGTATAAAATCGAATGCCTTAGTCTGCTAAACGACAATTAAAGAAATAGATTCGTACAACTTCTAGATTGTTTAAAATATTGGGTCCTTGGGGCCAAGAAATCATTGTGTTTTGAATATCAACTTTTATTACCGTAAATTAAATTAAGGTGTCCTCTAATTATACGAGTCTGTGTGTGTGTGAGTGTTTACATTGATAAGGGTATTATTTGTACAGAAACATTAAATGAAAGCTGAAGAACTTTAACCACTGAAGCAGGGGATCTAGACTGGATGAAAGAACGGAAAGTCGGATAGGGAGAGGGAGCGTATTTGCGCGGGTCATTAAATATACATTAAGGTAAATCTTAGGATCGAATAATTTACAGAGCCTGGTGTTTGACACAGAGCAATGGGTTTATGTGGCGAAGTGCACTAGGTCTTCTCCTCCTTCTCCTTGTTGTAACGCTCCAGCTCCTTAAGGAACTGTGCCTTAGGCTTCATCACGTTGGGCCGTTCTCCACGGCAATTGGGGCAGAACCACTTGCCCTTCGGTTTCAGCACCAGAGAAACGCACGAAAAGTGGAACCACTCGATGGGGCACAGGTCGTTATCGCACAAGATCATCTCGCCAAAGGAGATCTGTTAGAGAAAATTGATTAGTTGGGGAGTTTTGCCAAAAGGCAAACATTTCCAACTCACCTGATTGCAGACACAATAGGTCGGCTCGTCGGGATCAATGGTCTCCGGCGGCGGCGTCTCTTCGCGCGTACTCGTATTAGCATTAGCAGCCCCAGAGCCGCGGACCTTGCGTTTCTTTTTCTTGCCGGAATTGTTGCCACCACCGACCACTCCTGCTCCACTGCCGCCGGCACCGCCACCTCCTGCTGCCCCACTGCTGGTGGACGCTGAACCGCTGGCCAAGTTGCCTGCTGCAGCCTGTAGATTGGCCTTGCGTCCCTGTCCCGCTCCACTACCGCCGCCCAGTGAGGCTTTGCGTTCGCCACTGCCGCTTCCGCTGGCCTCGTTCGCAGAGTTGGACTCATTGCCGCCCATCTCCAGCGAGCTGCCGTTGTTGACCAGGCTCTCGTTCCGCCGCCTTGACCGCTTACTGCCCGTCCGCTGCAAATCTCCGCCAGGACCGCCACCCCCTCCGCTGACGTTGCCATTGGAGCCGCTGTTCCCGCCATTACTGACATGGCTGGAGCGCTCTGAGTTGGGCGTTGAGCTACCGCCATTGCCGGAGGGCAGGGCATTGGAACCGCTCACAACTCCTCCTGCATAGCCGCCCAAGGCATAGTGATCCTTCGCTGACAGCAGGCCATTTCCGTTAAGGCCTCCATTGCCGGTTCCCGCTTGGTTGCCCTGCTCTCGCATCGGACTTTGCAGGCGCTGCAGTTTTGAGGGTTGCCCATCCTCCAAGAGCGTCGCATACCGATCGCGTTCCTCCTTCAGGTCCAGGTTCTGCTGGTCCGTGTCCAGCTGGCGCAGCTTGCCGTCAATGATCTCTTGCATGTGGTTCACAATTTGCATCTTTTCGTCGCCAAGCTCCTGCGCTTGAATGAGACTCTGGTGCATTCGCGAGATGGTCCTCGACCGTCGCGCGGCATCCGGGGAGTTCTGCAGGGACAGATACAGGTCGTAGTAGTGGTCCACGTCGCGGATTAGGCCTGTCAATCGAAGAGATTTCGGAGGTTAGGTTTTTGGTTTTCCTTCCGTAGGAACTTTGTCCAAAATTTACCTCTGTACTGCACGTCTATGTCGCGGATGCGGGACAACTGGCGCTGCACGTCGTCCGGCAGATTTTCCACGGAATCAATGTAGTTGTCCACATAGGTGGCCGAATTGATGGCCTCCGATTCGGATGCAATGGGGTTTATCATCTTGTTTGGACTGCGATTTGATCTATTCCCGCCGCGACATCGGCTCGATGACGTGGGATCTGGGATTTGGGCTGGAAGCTGGTCGTCCTGCGCTCTGGAAGGGATTGGCTAGGTAAATCTTTCTCCGTTTCCACTAGGTTCCAACTTTTTGTATGGCGTTGCGAGTCGCAACTTGCGACTGTACTCGTGTGTGCGTATGTGTGCGTAAGTATTATTGCAGATATATGTATGTATACAATGGATGGTGATTTTCAACACTGGTCAGTAAGCCATTTGCAACACCGAAATCAGGGTGGTTAACGGCACTATTTTTTTCGTATTGAACATTTAAATGTATACATATGGTACATTTTAATAATAAAGGTTATTAATTTAATAAAGATTTAACCAAATAATTTTTTTTCTTTAGGCACAGGATGTTGTATCGTAAGAACTTTACTTTTCCCAGAACTTAAGTTTACGCTGAAACTGAAATATAAATCTTAAATTTCGGTAAAACGATTAAACATTGATTAAACATATGAAAAATCGAAACATTTTTTTTATAAAAAGGCAATTTTTGGCGACAAAAATTTATTGTGTTGGTAAACATTTTTGATTTAAAAAGGGCGGTTAATTGCGCGGCAAATTTAAATTTGTATTTAATTTTTTCATATCAGAAATAGATTCTCTACTTGGATTTATTTTTCATTTTGTTTGTATTTCAATTTATTTTTCACTCATTGGGTTTTTGTTCCTATAAATAATGTTTTAAAACTTGGCTTAATTCGATATGCTTTATTTTAGAAAAAAGTATAAATTTCAAGTACATACATAAACTGTCAAGTCTTCCTTTCAGCTTAGACTTATTTTATTTAAATGCATGATAATCCTGATTTTAATAGGTAAATAAAATCTTTGCTCTCCTTGAGTCTTTTGCACATTATCCATGGGCTGTTGACTTACATTATTCATCTAATCCGCAAGTATATGTGTATAACAAATTTATTATAAAAAGAATTCTGGTCTGGTCTTCCTGAGATATGGCACGTACTTTCAGTGCAATTAGCTTAATCATAGTTAACAGTTTTGTTGATTGAGATTCATTAGTTCATATGTGGATATCTTTGGAGCTTAAGATTCAGAAGTTTAAAAAATCTGTAAGCGTTTGCTTCAGTCCATTGTATTCCTCTTCCTGAGCCTTTAGCACATTGTTCTTGTGCATGTTGCTATTATAGTGTTTGTTTAGATTATACTTCTGGCGATAGTGAACATCGCAGAACTCACACCTGTTGAAAAGGGGAAAGATTTAACTGATCGGTATAATTACGATTTTTTTGCGATACCAACCAATGAGGACGTTCAGCAGTGTGCACTAGCTGGTGCTCCGTAAGTTTGCAGCGTAGCAAGAACCCCTTGGAGCAGATATCACAGTGGTAAGGAAACTTGTCGTGCAGCCCTTGATGCCGTCTCAATGCATTTGGATCCGTAAATCCTCGCCCACAAACCTTGCACTTGAAGGGCTTCGTTCCGTTGTGGGAGTTCATATGGTAATTTAAGGAGTTTTTTGTGGTAAAACTTTTTGAGCACTTGCTGCAAAAATATCGACCGTCGTGTTCGTCCTTTGTTTTCTGGCGTGTGAGAATTCGAGGACCTGCCCCATGGACTTTTCTGAAATTTTTGGAAAGACTTAGAATAAACTCAACAGTTTTACTTAAGGTACGGTACGTACACTTCGTGCTTGTGACGACTACTCCCGCTTGAAAACGACATATTGCAGTGATTGCAAGGAAAGGGATTCTCTCCCTTGTGCAGCACTCGTATGTGCATGTTTCGCGTATAGGCGTCGTAGAACCTTTTCGGGCACTCCGGACACTCGAAGTTCTTGGCCCTATCGTGACGGAGCATGTGCATCTGCAGCTGGCCGGGATGCCGAAAAGAGTGGCCACACTTTTGGCAGATATGATTTAAAGGCTTCTCTCGAGCCCATTCGCGATGCCTACGATTTTTTTCCTCCACACTTAATTTGGGTTTGCGGGCTTTTGGTGGTTTTTCCTTTGGTTTGGATGGCTTATTGTTATCTTTGCGATTGCATTCAGCTAGCACAACCTTGTAGATCTGAGCTCCGTCATTAACTTTCCGAATATCTTCTTTGGTTTCACATTTTGTAATGCTTACAATCTCATTGCATGCATGTTTTGGCTGTCTGGATTTCTTTTCTTTCTCCTTTGTATCATTCGGAGGCAAGTATGGCTCTCCATCCAGGGAGAAATCCTCTTCTGTTAGGGATAAATTTGACTCTAAATCTGGAGGGAATTCGTCTTCTTCTAGGCCATTCTCACTACTCGACCAAAGGTCTGGGTCTAAGAATCCCATGCCTGCGACATCGGTTGTCTGCTGAGCGGATTGTTCGTAGAGGACATTCTCAAGCTCCGCTTCGATTTCATCATCATCATTTTGAAAACCACATTTATAGTTAATTTGGCTAAGATTTTGGTCAATCCTTATGCATTTTTCACGGAATTCAATAGCTGTCTTCAGTGTGTTTTGACAAGTTGCACATATGTGATGAGGTACTCCCTTAATTCCTGATTGTATCTGCGTAAGGTTTTAATTAAAAAAAAAACACTCAGATTATAATGATCTGTAAAATGAAGGTCGATTTTTAACTATAACTATTAAATATAATAATTGATTTTCAAACAAACCCCCGTTTGCTTTTTAGCAAGATAGTTTTAAATATGATGTGATTCCTGTGCAACTGTGCAATACAAAAACGGAACCACCCTAAATTAGACCTACCCTCACACCGGTCGTTAGCTTAATGCGGTAGAGAAGATCAACGTTGTCCTTGGCATACAGGTCCTTGACATTGCCATCCAGCGATAAGCTTCGAAAACAAGTACGACACTTGGTTCCTGGGATGGGTTCATAGTCATGGGTTTCAGTACTGTCCGCTTCGGAATAGCTTTCAAAAAATGCACTATCTGAAGTGGGAGTGGCAGTTGAGATATTTGTGGGCGTAGCGTTTCTGTCCTCTGTTTCCGCGAAAAGGAGCCCTCCTAGTTTGTTGTTGTTTTGCCTCGTGGATTCAGCTTTTTGCAACCGGTTCACATGATATTTCTCTGCGATTGGCAGATTCCCCTATAAGCACAAAAAGTGTACATGTACGTGATTATAATATTAACAAGGTGAAAAGGAATTTGAGGGACACACCCATTTTGAATCACCGACCGGTCTGGATATTCTCATCTTCGAAAAGTTCCAAACAAACACCGATATTATCCAGATTCAGCAGGGCTGCGAATTTTTTATCAATGAGAAGTTTCGCGGGAAACAGAATAAGTGGAGATAACGCCTTTGTTTTCACTGCGATGTTTTCCTACAGGCTTGCACACGGAACTTTAGCCGTAGACGTGAACTGCGCACTTCATCCTTTAGCGGCAAACTGCGAAATGTATGCAAAAAAAAAACAGCAAGCCGGGTTTGCAGGGCTGCACAGCCTCAAAGTAGGGGTTGCAGCCAGGGCTGCGGACATGTGCGTAGCAAGAGTTCCTTCAAGGGGGTTGAGATTAAAAATATTTATTAAATCGATTTGCCGTCCCCCTTTTTTTTACCTCTTTTAATGTAAGTCCATTACTGCTTAAGCGTTTATATTTGAGTTCATTTCGCATTTTTGCATTGCCCATCGCTACGCCTATGACTATATTTAAAACAACAAAAGCTTGTTTGTTCATATGGCGCGCACGTTTTAATATTTCATGTTTGTTTTATATGAAAAAATATGCACAAAAGTGGTTAAGGAAAAACGTAAATCATTACAATAGCTTTTAAAAGCATAGATCACAGACAACTTTTTAACAAACTTATCATATAAACATCAGCTAAACCCACCCTTTAGCTAAGACTTCTCTCCGTTGTCTATCTTCGCCTGCTCCTCAGCTCTCAGCCGATGCTGCTTCGATTTGAAGTGTGTCTGCAGGCTGTTTCTTCGATTAAAATGCGACTGACAAAGCTCGCACCTGAAGAGAAAGCATCTTATTTGGTATCCAAAACTATTCAAACAGTAAAAACTTACTTAAACGGTTGTTCGCCCGTGTGCACCACGCTGTGGTTTTTAAGACCCTGTTTATTTTTAAAGGTCTTCTTGCAGACGGGGCACACGTGCGGCCGGTGGACAGGGCTCTCTTTGTGGTTGCGCTCGTGAAACAAGCGCTTGAGGCAGTTGTCAAAGCGCTGGCCGCAGTACTTGCAGACGTAAGGTAGTTCCCCGCGGTGCTTGATTCGCACGTGCAAATTGAGCAGGTGCTGGGTGAACTCCCTGCGATCGCACTCCTGGCACTGAAACTCCTTAGTGCCCTTATGCCGCGTAAGGTGGACGTTAAAGTTGCATTTCTCTGCAAAGGTTTTACCGCACTGATCACAAAAAAAGAGTCGAAGCTCCTTTGCACGAGCTCTTTGCACCGCAGCCCATTTTCTCCGAACGGCGTATTTTTCTTCGGTGGTCCTATTTCGTTTCACTGTAGGCGAATCAAACTGTTCCTCGATAGTTATATCTTTTAAAGACTTTGTGGACTTTGTCTTTTGGGCTTTACATGGCCTACCTCGTTTTTTAATTGTTAAGGAATGATTTCTCTTTGTAACTTCATGATTACTAGAATGCTTACTAGAATCATCATCTGCAATTAGTTGCTTTTCAGAAGTCCTATCTGTGTCTTCTTGGTTTTTCTCCTCATCTACTGTTTCTGGGTCTCTTATTTGCTCTGCCTCCTCATCCAAATACAGGGGTTCGTTCTTCACTGGAATAATTTCACACCTTAGGGGATCCATGAGTTCACCTAAAGATACGTCTGGTATGATCAAAGGACAAATGGGATCATCGATTGCCTTGGAAGACCTCTCATCTGGTTTGCTGGTTTGTTGATGTGGGACATGACGTTGCGAAGGGATCATCTTTGGCTCTAAGGTACTAACAGGAAAAATTTCCAAATGGAGGGCATTTTGATCCTCCTCCTGCTCATTGAACCAAGAGCTGTTGGTTTTAATGCAGCGCTCCCGGAAGGCAATGGCTTCCTTTAGATCAAGCAGGCAGGACAAACAAATCCTTGAGGGTACATCGGGCTTTTCACTTAACTGGAATTAAACATGTATCAATAACTACCTTTAAATTTCAAACTCATTATTTTTACCCATAATCCTGTCAACTTGAGGATGTTGTACAGGACGTCGCTGCTCTTCTTGTCGAAGAGCGACTGGGCATGCTCTGCCTCCTGGCCACAAGTGCGACACAGCGTGGCCATTTTGCTGGTCCCCTACTTGCTCCTTTTCGACCAAGATAAGTTTTGTTTATTGAATTTACGCTGAGATCGTCTTTTGTTTACCATAGAAGTGGCTTCCTTCTGGGTGAATGTTAAAATTGCAGATGAGTTGTGAATGGCGAATGAACACTGAAAAAAAATAGTTGGTATAAAGGTAATTTCAGGCTTAAGTGACTAAAATTATGGATGCTTTCGGCAATTAAAAAACATTTTCTTGAATAAATATTTATTTGAAAAATTATTATAAGCCTCTTAGTAGTTTCATTTCCGAATTTCCGTTGTTCTAACTCCTTTTGCGCTCAATTTTTGAAACCACTTTCTTTCTATGCTGCTTTGACCGGAAGTGTGTTTTCAGGTTAAAGCTGCGCGTGAAGGACATGTTGCAAATTTCGCAGCTGCAGTTTAAAATAGAAAAGGGAACATATAGTTAGATATGTATATATATTATATGGGTACAGTGGTTTTTTTTATTACTTGATTTACCAAAATTATTTGATTTAAAAATAATCAAACTACCTTAAATAAAATAAAAGCTTTAACTCTTACTGAAAATTGCGTTCTCCAGAGTGAACGACTTCATGTATTTTTAAATGGGATTTGCTCTCGAAGCAAATGCCGCAATGTAAACATGTATGAGTCTTGTTTATCACCTTGTTACCGTGCATCCTGCTGCAAAATAAAAAATGTAAGTCCCTTTACCCAAAAGATATTTAAATAGTTACGTTTGGTGGCGAGTTCGTTTGGTGCTGTTCACGAACCGTTCGTCGCAAAACTTGCAGGCAAAAGGTTTCTCTCCACGATGCTTGACACGGATGTGAATTTTCAGGAGGTACGTGCTGAATTCCCTCCGATCGCATTCTGGACACTGAAATGGCCGTACGCCAGAATGACGGACCAGGTGCAGATTAAGGTTTCCCTTATCATTGAATTGCCTGCCGCACTGATCACAAAAATATATTTTAGCGCCCTTGCTCTTTCCTTGCTGCCTTTTCTTTGAACGAACATAATTACTTTGTGGGCTATGTGATACTTCTTCTTTTTCGACAGATTGTCTTGTGGTTTCTACAATTGAGGCTGCCATACTGTCGCCATTGCTATCAATATCATCTTCACTTGTATCGTATAATTCGTCCTGCTCTTGAATGTACCCAACACAGCTGTCCTGCCCTCTCTCCATTTCCTCCATGTAGGCACGATATATTTCCTCTTCCTCAAAATCCTTCTGTTCTTTCCATAAGACATCTTGGTCGTCTTCCACCGAGGTATCACTTCCTCCTCTGTCACTTAGTATATTAGCCAAATCTTCATATTCTTTGGTTTCCGGCGTTTCTAATTGGTTGGAGAGTATATTGTTGGTTTTAATGCACAGCTCTCGAAATGCAATGGCTCTGTTTAGACTAACATGGCAGCAGGCGCATATATTTTTAGGTAAATACAGTTGATCAGTTAGCTAACAAACACATAAACTAATTTATAGTAAAGTTTAAATAATTAATACGAATTACTAACCCAGATGCCCGTCAGCAAAGCGAATTTCTTTACAATTTTTCTGGTCCCTTCAAAGATATTTAATGGATTTTGGCTATATATTATTTTACCACATGACCGGCAATGCAACGACATTATTTAAAATTTTGATTTTTTGGGCTCTTCAGAGAATGCAGTGCGGTTATTATTATTATTAATGATGTCCAGAAAAAATGGGTGGGACTTACTGTTATCACTTTGTTATTGTTTTCGTTTTTGATATCCAAGTGAATAGTTATAGCGATGGCTGCGCGCCTGGGTGAATTCCATTTGCTGGCGGCATAAATTTAAATCATCTCGGGGCTCGTTAAAAACAATTTTTGTTTTGTGTAGTTTTACATAGTTTTGTTATTCTTATTATTAATTTACTTTAAGGTAGAATACACATTTTAAGAATTAAGATTATTATTTGTTTGAATGTCCATTTAAGGCTTAATGTATAACATAATTAAATAAAAGATAACGATGGGCAGTCCAGTGCCAAGAGAAAAAACACAAAAAAGAATTATTTCAATAATGTCAAGTCAAAAATATTTTCAAAATGACAATTTTAAATGGAAGTTTCTGAAACATCAGTAAGGATTACGTCAACTGTGTTTTGAATTTCATCGAGGTGTGGGCAATATTCGATGTTCTGAAGGGATGTTGCCCTTTTCTGGTGCGTCTGTGACTTAAAGTGACTCGTTAATTTTTCCCTTCGGGAAAACTTTTTGTTGCATAAGTCACACCTAAAAAGAAAAACTGGGAGTAACCCCGATTTTTTTTTAATTGATTCAGATTATTTACAAATAAGGTTTCTTGCCAGTGTGTATGATCTTGTGCTTGTTTAAGCAGCTCTTCGTTTTAAATTCACTGCTACACTCATCGCACTTGAAGTTCCGGCTCCTGATGTGTTTTACTCTGCGGTTAAGGGAATATATAGTAGAATTTATTCACTTCAATATATATATATATACTTATTTATTTATTTGGCTATATATATAGAAAAAATAAGTACATACTGTTCGTGTCGGCTTTTGGAACTGCTAGTAAAAAACGTTGACGGGCAAAATGTGCACTTAAAAGGCTGCTCACCAAGGTGGCGAACGCGGTTGTGCAAATTTAAAAGGTGCTTTGAGACGAACTGTCTGTCACAGTATGAGCAGGAAAAATCCTTTTGTCCCTTATGGCGCAAAATATGCATCTTTAGGTTTTCGGTTGACTTAAGGCACTTGCCGCACTCAGTGCACTCCAAAGATGTAACTTTTCGGTTTCGCCTTCTTTTGGCCGGCGGAATATTCTCAGCTGACACAGATTTTGGAGGAGGGGTTACCTTTTTTATGGTTAACTCCACTTTATGTAGGGACAACTGAGTTCCAATTTCAATGATCTTCGCTTTGGGTTCAATAAATTCATTGTTGGTAATTACATTTTCTGCTGCTACCGAAAAAGTTTCAGATAGAGGTTTTTTACCCTTTTTATGAAATCTTGCGGAAACTGGTACACTCAAAGGGGCTGAACTTAATTGATCTCGTTTTTCAAAGCCCTTCTGATATTTCGATAATGAAAGTATTTCATTGTCGTTTTCTTGGAATATACTTTTATAATCAAAATTGGGTTGAGAATTTGATATCTCCGTATCCCCATCAGAAAATGTTATATGATCTTCCTGGTCTTTATATAAAGGATCTAGTTTATCCGAACTGGACAGATCAAAGTTGTCAGAGGTTTCTAATTCTTGATCACTATAATTCGCCAGATCTACACTGCTTAGGTCAAAATTTTGATCATTTAATTTAAAAAGATCTGGAGACTCAGTTATATTGAAGTTAAGAAGCTCTTCGGAGTCATTTGATTCTTGATTACTTTCATTTGCCTTCAAATGATCGAAATCAGTTGCATCTATGTTAAGTGGATCCCTTTCTATGGTAATGTTATAACATTTTGGATAAGTATCAGATTCTTCGGACTCGTGACCATACTCATTTGTACATTTTAAGTAGGATAGAAAGTCAGGACTTGAAGATTCTGAATAGTTAAGATTATTTTCTGATTCTTCATTTTCAGACTTCTGATAAAAGTTTTCTGTTTTCACTGAGACTTGCGGCCTGAGTAGATCGCAAGTCTCTTTAGAATCCGAATTTGAGAATTGTGTTTCCCATTCTTGATTTTTTTCCATTTTGTTTCTTAGCATCAATATCTCATGGGTCCAAATGATTTGCTTCCTTAGTTTGAACGATATATTCAAGTCTTTTAGACAAGACGGACAAATGTGACGGGGTAGGTCCTCCATCTCATATAACTGTAAATTGCTTAAATGGTTAAGTTCATTCAAAACACACCTAATTTATTGTAACCACCAACTCACCGACAATCCAGTGAGTACTTTGATCTGGAGGAGAATTCCGCTTTCGAATAAAATCTTGGGGCTCGGGTGGCAGAAATACAAACCACACAGTCGACATTGGGCATTCATATCGGGTTTGTTTTGGTCACTAAATCTAGGAAACACTGTTTGGAACCTTATGGGAATTAGACAAGCTTTCACCTCTTTTATGTTTATAACAACTTTCTGGTTTGATTGCGAAAACAAGACTTTGTCCTGTTTTAATAGATTTTTTTACTGTAAAGTCAATAATTTTAATTAAACAACTTATGTTAGGACACCCGCCTAAAAAGTTTTGTCTTGGCGTCCATGGCGCTGCCAGATGTTCATAAAAAAAATAACTGTTCTTCAGTCTTATTAGGGGTACCTTAACGAGCCGAGATTTGAAAAATAAGTAACATTATCTTGTCGTCTTAAATTAAACATATAATTTAATATATTTCGCTCGATATATTTTGATTAAAAAAATCATATATTGTATATGTTATTGAACAATAATTATATTAAGCTAACTCTATTGTAATATTTTATAGAATTTAAATCGCTTGAAAAATTATTAAGGAGAAACGGTTGCCTGCATACAAAAAGATTGTTTTTTGAACCAGCCAACCGAACCAACTAAAAATTCCGAAAGCGTGCATCCCTGGCAATTGTGAATGTTTGGCGCCGCTTTCGCCATAAAGGTTGCGTTAAAAGTTAATTAAACAGCTCCTCTTCCTCCACGACAGCTTCGTCATAGTCAAAATCCTCGAAAGGCTCTTCATCGTCCAAAAGCTCTTCGTGGTCCTCATACTGATCTTCTAGATCCTCCAATAGTATATCCATTTCGGCCTGACTATCTTCCATTTCAGCCTGCCCCTCTTCCATGTACCCAGGACTCTCTTCCTCCTGTTCGGCATCCGATTGAAACTCTTCTTTTGTCCCTTCTACCAACAAGTTTTCACGCTTGCGATGGTACTTGGTGGTGTAATGCCGTGTTAAAAATTGCGCCTCCTTAAACTCCTTGTTGCAGGTGAGGCAACTGCAAAAGTATAAAAGGTTACTTCAACTACTTTAAACTGTTTGGAAATATATCTTACATGTGGACATCCGGTTTGTTGCTTTTGTGCCCCTCTTCGTGCTTGTTTCGACCTTTGTCGCTGTTGAATCGTTTACCGCAAATGCCACAGGGAAAGGATAGTTCGTTTGGATGTACATGGCTGTAAGTAAGCAGAGATTTAGCCGCATTAACAAAATTTTTTTTTCCATAAATTATTCCCTTCTTATGAGAACCATACTTACCGCTCATGCCGACAGCGGCTGGGACTATTGGCGAATCCCATGCCGCAGAACTTGCAGACATAAGGTTTTTCACCCTTATGATGGACCCGAATGTGCAGCCGGAGCAGCGGCATGGTGTAGAACTTGCGACCGCACTCGTCGCACGAAAACTGCTCCTCAAAATGTCGCAACTTGTGGTCCTTCATATTGCTCATGTCGTTAAAGGACCAGCCGCACTGGTCGCATACATAACGCTTAATGGAGCGATCGACTTTGGGACGTGGTCGCCTCTTTCTGGGCTTGCGACCCGGTTTCCGAGGTGGTGGGGAAGGAGCAACTGGTTTCTCATCCTCCGGCACACGGAGGCGCTTGAGCCTGACTCGTGGTGATTGGTTATTGACAACGGTTGGGGCCTGTTTTATTTTCTTGGCCGGCGGCGACACTATTACAGGTTTTATATCCAGAAACTCTTTGTCATCCTCCGTGTCGTCCACATAGTCTGGAACTTCGCGTTTCATCGACGGACCGTTTGCCGCCTCCAAAACCAACCCATTGGCCTTCGAGACAGCGGTTTTGGAGGAGGAAGATGCGGTCCTCCGGTGAAGATTCTCATGAGTTTTCAAACAACGCTGCCGGAAGTTAACGGCATGACTAAGGTCAAGCAAACAGCAGGAGCAAATGTGCTGAGGCAGCAGCTCTTCCAAGACAACCTGAAATTTGTGAGTTTGTAAATAATTACAGACATTAATGGAAGCGACGCCGCTACCTCTAGTCCAGTAATCTGTTCTATTGCCGTCAAAATTCGATGGTTTTTCTTTTCGAAAATGTTTTTCGGGTTTGGCGTGAAAATGCGTTCCGCACATATCCTGCACTCGTTAGACATGACTGCAAAACTATGTTCAAATTGTCAATTTTATTATTTTTTATTTTGCACCGGGTAAAATGGTAAGCCAGTGTGACCGTTGCTTGCTGTGGGAAAAATAACTTTGGCGGGAACCAAAATTGTTTAAGGTATGATCTCTGTAGTATTATATGAATAAACAAATGAACAGTGAAGAAACTAAAGCTTTTAAGTTTCATATTTAAAACAACAGCTCTATCTATTTGAGTTTAAAACAAATTACCAATTAAATTATTTTGACCAGTGTGTCTACACCTCAAGTGGCCGAGCATCAACAAACAACAGCTGATCTGCTTCTTCTTCATCTGCCATTTACTCAGAATTCGATTAATTTAAAATTTAATTTTTAAAAACAATTTGATCTATAGGAGCTTGTTGAAAATGTCTGCGTTGCGCTCGGTTTGCCGTACTTGTGGCAAAATTGTTGGAAGTGGACGGGCAACCAAACTTTTTGACAAGTCCAACTACAACTTTATTAGTTTGATTGAAAACATCACCGATATGTTTGTGAGTTTATAGATGGAAGTTTTTTGTTTTCATCTTTTAATAATGAGGTGGACTTAATTTTTTAGCTGGAATTTGATAAAGTCATGCCACATCTCATTTGTAATGGTTGCAAACAGATGCTGATCAGGGTCTTGGCATTTCGCAGCAAGTGCTTAAAGGTTCATCAGTCCTTTTTGGCAACCAAGAAGAAACTTTTGCATAGAAAGTCTGTAGTTGTTGATCAACTTGATGTGGAGGACGAAATGGATGAGGAAGAGATTGAGGATGATGGGAATCAACCGGAGGATCTTGAAAATGATCTAGAAGACGAGGAAGTGTTTTTGCTAAAGGACTTCCAGGAGCAAGACCAGGAAGAAGATGATGAGCTCCAAGAGGAGGTGGAGTACCAGGAGTACCTGTTCCAAGAGAAAGATGAATACATGCTGAACCAGAGCCCAAAGACCATAAAGAAAACCCATGTCCGCCAGTCGACGCAGGCAAGGCGCAGTACCAAAACTTGGATCTGTGACCAGTGCGGCGGGGTGTTTAAGTGCTCTACGTACCTAAAGCTCCACTTGCTGCGCCACACCGGGGAAAAACCATTCGAGTGCGACATATGCCAGGCGAAGTATTACGCCGAGAATGAAATGCGCCGTCACCGGATCCTACATACGGATGCCAGGCCTTATGCCTGTCGCTTTTGCGGCAAAACCTTTCGGGGATGCAGCAGCAAGGTGATCCATGAGCGGTCGCACACCAACGAGCGGCCCTTCCAGTGCCAGCACTGCGACAAGGCCTTCACTTCCACGTCTACGCGCCAAAGACATGAAATGTTGCACACCAACCAGCGGAAGTATCAGTAAGAATTAAAACTTTGCTTAATTTCTATACCAGGACTTGTGGTTTTTCTACAAAAAATGAATTTTCACTGTTTTTCTTTGCAGCTGCGAAACCTGCGATCAGTGGTTCTTGCGATCTACCCACTTGACCATACACCAGAACACCAAACTGCACAAGCGCAGAATGGAAAGGGCTTTAAATCGGTAAACAAAGACAACATTACATTACATTGACAACCTTAAATGGTAAAAAACGTATTTTTTTTAACCTTAACATTAAGATACAAATGACTGCCCAAAATTTAATAAGATCCGACTGAGAATCAACTTTTTTTAAGTTTCAATAAGAAAAACATCGTGTTTTAAGTTTAATTTGATGACAGAGAAAATTAACAATAGCATTGATTGCTTTATTAGTTTATAAACATACATAGTTTTAGTTAATTTGACTTCGACAAGATATTTGTAAGTGTTGGGAGCTGTGGCAGCCTAAAAGAATTGCATAGCCCAACACACATAAAAATGTTCATATCCTATTGACTCCAGATTGCTTAAGTGTAAAAGAAATACTTAGAAATAAAAAAATATGATATTTTGCATTTTACTGCCAATAAAAGCACCAAAACCAAATGGATTTGAAATGTAAGTACGCGCCGGCGTTGCGGGCCGAATGGCCATTTGGGGGGTGCGAAACGAGAGTGACTTTATGACGGGGTGGCTAATGGCAAATGTCACTTTTCTTGTTCTTCCTCACAAACAAAACTATATTGTTGTACTTCCAATTGATCTCTGTATTTTATTGTTAAAAAGAAACCATGAGGTACATTTGCCGGACTTGCTCGCGAATGGCCGATCCCTCGGCAGCCAAGAACCTATTCGAGCCGTCTAATTCTTCCGTTTTGCGACAAATTGAGACATTGACCAATTTAAAGGTGAGTGTGGGTGTGTTGTCAAGGTTTCTAAGGTAAAATACCGGATGTTAGCTAAGCTCTAAATTTACTTTTCAGCTAAAAGAAGACGACAAGTGGCCCAGGTTCATGTGCCAAGATTGCCAGCATGACCTGCAGATTGCCATAGAGTTTCGCACAGCTTGTATCGAGGCACAGGAGCTTCTCGAGCTGCAGCTGAAGCAGGTGAAACAAGAGGAAGAGGCTTTCGAGAGCCTGGCGGAGCAATGGCTGGATGATTGCCCCCAAGAATTCGCCAACCCCTCCGCGGTGCCAGAGGTTGATGAAGACAAAGATTCCATAATTGTAAAGGAGCTAAATGATTATGTTGAAACGGTGTCAGCGACCACATCCCACAAAAATCAACTCCTTTCAGTGGACACCGATTCTGTGGTTCCGGATTTACTGACGGATAGCCAGATGTCAGATGAGAACTTTGAACTCATGTTCTCGCCGAAAACTAACCCTCAAAGTCGTAAAGAGAGTGAAGTCGTTGATAACCCAGATACCTCAAGTCACACCTGCAGCAAATGTGGTCTGGAATTCGACAATCTGGACGAGCTTTCGACACACAAGTATCACTTGCACGACGTACCACTAAATACCAAGTAAATATCAGATTTTATAAATCCAAATAGAATTAATTTGGATTACCTTTAATTATAATTTCGTTGCTTGTATACTCCCTTAGTTAAAAAATCATAATTGACTTAAATATTGTTTTCTAACTTTAAAAAAAAAACTAAAAAGCACTTAAGATGGTACAATGCAAAATTTTAAAGTTATAACAATTATTTATTACCTATGACCCTGCTTAACTTATATTTTTAATTTTATTTTAGAACGATCTTGTATATGATTTAATTCCGGCTGTTTTTATGGGGATTGAAGACGAAGGATTTTTTTGAAACCCCTTACTTATAGACTTCCTTGAGCCTATACAAGAACTGACTAACAGTCGCTCACACATTTTTCACAGTATGAAGATTCATACCATCAAAAATCAATATCTAAAACTTTTTCCATTTCAGGTTCGTTTGTGGTCACTGCAGCGAGGGCTTCCGATCGGCAGCCGCCCTCACTAGGCACTGCAATATGATTTCTCTTCCACTGACGCACGCGTGTACCAAGTGCAGCACCAAATTCCACAGCAAAATCCTGCTAGAAACCCACGAGGAACGATGTCAGAAGCCGCTGGAGACGGCGCACGTGTGCCACATCTGCGGCAAGCGGCTGACCACGGCCTTCAACCTGAAGAATCATCTGGTGCGCCATGCAGGCACTCGACCGCACAAGTGCGAGCAGTGCGATGCGTCCTTCTCAGCCGCCGCGGAGCTCAATTCACACCGGAAAACTCATACGTCGGAGCGTCCATACGCCTGTCGATACGACTGTGGGAAAACCTTCAGATTTTGCAGCGCACGCAGCATGCACGAGAGGTAGAACTTGGCTATTAATTTACTAGTTTCTTTTCCTTGTCTAACTGAAATTATTTATTTTAAAGAATTCACATGGACGCTAGCAAACGTATCTACCAGTGCGAGTATTGCCCCAAATCTTATGTAACCCCAAGCGACTGCAGGACACACCAGAAGTATCACAATTTGACTCGTGATTTCAGGTATTGAATACACGCCATACATAGGTGGATTCTATAGAAGTGAACAATTACAAGCTTTAAAGTAACAATTGTGATGGTAGTAACTTTCAAATTTATAACACGAAAAAACTTCTTGAAATTATAAATTGTTTAATTTTACCATACCAGAAAACTGCTTGTGTGCACATGCATTAAAAATTCAATCGATATCCACTTTATATGTTAAAACGAAATATGTGTGCAAATTATTGTATTTGAAATATGCATCCGAATTGAATTTTTGATGCATATGCCCCCAACCCAAACATTGAGCTAACCATAATTTTCCACCTATTTTTTATTCCAGTTGCGACCCTTGCCGAACCAGCTTCAAGACCCTCAAACATTATAAATCGCATCTCAAATCAAATACTCACAAGACAATTGAGGCTCGGATCAGAGCTGCTAAAAAATAGTAATTTGAATTGAAATTATTATCATCAGCTGCATTTTTATTAAATATATGTACCTAAATTATATAAATCAAGCTTCCATTATGCGATGAAAAATAAATCACTTGCGTTGGTCAACTTAAAACACCTGAGCGTTTTCAATAACCTTTTCGTTGTCGTAGATCTCCTTGGCGTAGCACAAGCTGGGGTAATCAAAGGCGGCGCCATAGCGATTCTTGCAACCTGTGGTGGCCTTCTCTCCAGGAGTGTAAACGGGTTGACCCACAATGTTCGAGGTGGCGAAGTTGCAGGTCAGCACGAAGTGGTTGTAGAAGTCCTGCGAGAAGCGAACAGCGGCACATCCCACGTGAGTGTTCTTCTCGGCGACAGCAATGGTGAACTTGGCCACGTTCTTGTTGGGCAGCTCCTCCGGGAAGCTGGCAAGGATCTCGGGAGAGGCATTCAACCGCTCGGCGAACCAGTTCTCAATCTGCTCCTTCACAATTTCGGCATCCGTGTACTCCGACTCGGCTCCACTGTAGCTAAAAATGGCGTTGTTCTGGCCAGCGTAGGCGAATCTCTCCGTGCTTCGGCATTTGTCAGGCAAGGACTCACAGGTCTTCACGTTGAGCAGGGCCAGGTGGGCGAGCTCCTCGCACCAGGACATCTTGGCCATGCGAACAGCCTTGGGTAAACCCTCAACTTTTCCCCCAGCCACATTGTTACGAAGTTCGTTAAAGAGAGTCAGGATCAGTTTTTGATGCGGTTCGATTTTTACTTCCCGCACATCCTTTGGACAGTTCTCAGTAAAGTTCTGATAGTAAGTAGGGTAAGTGTTTATTACTAGAATAAAGTAGGATGTCTTCTTACCCCTTTGTTGTTGCAGGCTATATGTTTATCTAAACAAGTTGGTAAGGCACAATAGTCCACGGCTGAAGAAATCCCAACCAAAGCTAGGAGAACTACTTGAACTGCCTCTGCAAATGCCATGTTGCTTGTTCTTGGCTACTGGATTGCAACTGAAGAACAGTACTGAATGAGCCCTCTTTTATATGGCAAACCGGCTGAGTTTAATTGCATATTTCTGGACAGACATTCCCACTAACGCAGCTGTAAACATAATGGGACACTGTCTCCAAAAGTGATTGCTTTACTAGAAAACACACCCAAAGTTTTCCTATAAATAGAGACTTTTGGTAGTCTAAGCTTCAGTGTAAAGCCAACAGCCAACATGGTTACTAAGTCCCTGATCCTGCTCAGTGCCATAGTGGGTTTCTGCCTGGCAGTCGATTACTGTGCCTTACCCACTTGTCTGGATAAGCACATCGCCTGTAACAACAAAGGGGTAAAAACATAGCGTATACTTATTTTCTTTTTCGACACTAACGGCATGTTCCCTTCAGAACTTCAGTGAAAACTGTCCCAAGGATGTGCGAGAAGTGAAGATAGAACCCCATCACAAACTGATCCTGACTCTCTTCAACGAACTTCGCAACAATGTGGCTGGGGGCAAAGTAGAAGGCTTACCAAAGGCTATTCGCATGGCCAAGATGTCCTGGTGCGAGGAGCTCGCCCATTTGGCCCTGCTCAACGTAAAGACCTGTGAATCCTTGCCTGACAAATGCCGAAGCACGGAGAGATTCGCCTACGCCGGCCAGAACAACGCCATTTTCAGCTACAGTGGAGCCGAGTCGGAGTACACGGATGCCGAGATTGTGAAGGAGCAGATTGAGAACTGGTTCGCCGAGCGGTTGAATGCCTCTCCCGAGATCCTTGCCAGCTTCCCGGAGGAGCTGCCCAACAAGAACGTGGCCAAGTTCACCATTTCTGTCGCCGAGAAGAACACTCACGTGGGATGTGCCGCTGTTCGCTTCTCCCAGGACTTCTACAACCACTTCGTGCTGACCTGTAACTTCGCCACCTCGAACATTGTGGGTCAACCCGTTTACACTCCTGGAGAGAAGGCCACCACGGGATGCAAGAATCGCTATGGCGCCGCCTTTGATTACCCCAGCTTGTGCTACGCCAAGGAGATCTACGACAACGAGAAGGTTGTCGAAAACACCAGAGTATTGTAAATTTAACAGACCTTGTTAAATGAACATCATTATCAGAATCCCCTATTGAACATGCAAATAAATAGCTAAAAGAGCTAAACAATTCGTTTTACCTGCTAAAAAGTTAAGGTTTTGAAACTTACGTGAAAAGACTTCTACAGACTTTCAGAAATAATACACAGCACTTGGCTTCTTTTAGTCTAAATTGTTTTATTTAAGTATATTATATCATGAGAGAGGTATTTAATATCTTGTCGTTTGCCTACATCAGCTTTCGTCTGGATGTCCAACTTGTACATTTAAAACACACGATATCACAATCTTACACAGGTATACAAAACATTATTTCATTTACGGAACTTGCGAGTCCCGCCCTTTAGTGATCCTAGACCTCTTGATCGGTATAAATATTTGATGATGCAATAAATAGAGTTACTGATTGCTAGGTGGAAAGTTGTAATTGGGCTAGCCGACATCATTCAGATGATTTTTAGTTAGTCAATGACTTTGCACTACAATGAAAAATAAATCAAAAGGGGGATTAGGTGATATAAACCAATTAGGGATAATACAATGAGACAAATAAATTATATAATAAAGCAAATATTAAGTATGTATAAATTACACATAAAACATATTTTAAGGGCATGTGTTTTTAAAAAACAAATATTACAAATATTTTGATAAGGATTCGAAGTGTTTTGTGTTCGTGAGACAACAATTTAACCTACAACTAGTATTAACTAAGTAGGAACTGAGCATTACTTTTCCTTGGGCGCCTTGTCGAACAGGTACTCCTTGGCCATGCTGTAGGCCAGTCCTACAGTCAGACAACCCACAACGGTTCCTTGGGCTGCCACACGAAGCTGCATCAGAAAAACACTGGTGCTCATCGTTCCCCGGTTCCGGTACTTGTACGCTCCAATCAGCCCGGCGGCCACGAATCCGGCAATACCTGTAAGTAAAAGTAATAGTGTTTGATTAATTTCACCTGGTCGTTATGTCAATGAATCTTTTGTTGTTGCTAGCTGGCTGTCTTCGCCAGCTGATAAAGACCATACGACGAAAAAAAAAGCAAACACTAGAATAGACTATATGGAAATAGTGCTGCCTGAAGTGTTCACAATTAGCTAAAATATAGCTGAACTGATTAAAGCTCTTTCAGTTACTTTCTTATAAATAAAACAGTTAAGATCTGAAGAAGGTTTAACTGCTTTATGTTTGGTTTAACATGTTTCCCCTTAGGCTTATTAAAATAGTAATTTATATTTAAAATTTCAAAAATATTAGTTTTTTTAATAGCCACTTGTTAGCGTCAGTTGTGAGTCGTCACATATGCAAGCCTTAATAGTTTAGTATTGGAACACGCGCCAAGATCAGATGGCAGCGTGACGTCATGGATGTGATAATCCACTGCTATTACAATTCCCAGGAATGGCACAGCATTCCCGTTACATCATTTGAGCTCCAGACAATTTGCCAGATTTCGCATTGCTTACCGTTATGTCACTCAAATGCTTGGCTTCACGAAAAAGTGCCGTAATTTCATATAACCTCAGTGGTCAATGTACATGGCCAAGGTCAAGATTAGCCGACTTCCCCGCACACGCATTAAATATATGTATGTACATTAATGCATCGCAGCCAAAAGTTTCCATGTGACGTCACATCGGAAACTTCCGCTATGCGGAAGTCCGTTAAACTTACCCACTAGCATAAAGGGCGATTCCTTGGCCTTCCTTGACAATTTGTTTGACTGGGCGGCATCTTCCTCGCTGTCGAATAAGGACTTGGAACTCATTTTGAACGCGGGCGAATTTAGATCGGTTTCCTCGTTTTGCAACGTTCGCGAAAGTTTCGCGGCGAAACTTTTAGCAATGACTGGTGCGGCCAGCTCAAATAACTATCGTACCACAATTTAGCTGAAAAGCTAGAGATGGGACTATTGGGTAATTGAATAAATTTTAATAGGTTGTTATGGTACATAAGAGTCGGTGAATTTTGTACTGATGTAACACTCTTTGTCGTTGAACCAATAAAATAATCTTAGTTTAATCTTAACGACTTAACGACAAAAAAAAATCGTTTTATCATATACAAATCATAATAGTGTGGAGAATCCCGTTACCATTTTCTAGATAGTACTATTTAAACTTGCAACAAATACCAAATACCGCAAACAGCTGTTCTTCGCGCTTTTGGCGCTTTTCACCAGGTGGCGCCTTCACCGCTTCTGTCATGACATAAGAAATTGGTATTTTTAAAGGGAAAGGGGCGGACTACAGAAATCGACGTTGCTTTGCTTTGGCCGCTAACTCTGTTTAAAATTCGTGTGTATTGAAATAAATTGTAAAGTGATCTGAAGTTCGCGAAACAGAGTCGCAGCAATGACGGGAATAATTTCGATCGTAACGAGGCGGCTGCCCCAAACTTTGGGAGTGCGAGCCCTGCGGAGTAATGAGGTAAAAGTCTGGTCGTACGAGAGGGGATTTCCGAGTGCGGGGGGGCACCAGGTGTGGATACATAACCCACCGATATATATCCATTTTTATCCCATATTTGCTGCCCGCCTGGCACTCTGCGATTATGTAATTGTATGGGTGTGTGTGCGTGCGCGGCTGAAAAGTGGGAAAAAATGTTTGTTTTGGAAGCCCGCTGCACGTGATACGTCAGCCGACATCCGTTCCCGATTGTGCAATCACTAACGATTGGATATATCCCTCAGCTAAAGCGCTGCATCCGCCAGTATTCCCGGCTAGTCGTCTGTGCCGCACAGCAGCAGCAACTTCTCCGCCTAGATGCCTCCAATCGCTGCCAGGAAGCCTCCAGGTTAGTGCTGTCCCGTCCATTTGTGACTCCCCACTTAAGATTGTCTATTTCTAGGCTTCTCACTTGGCAGGGCATCCACACTACGTCTAGAATGTGGTCGGAGCAGACAGTGAACGTGCCTCCCTTTGCCGACTCGATTGCCGAGGGTGATATCAAGTAAGAGCAGGCCAAGCAGCAACAGGTTCCTCACTCACTAATGGGCAATCCCCTCGAACAGGTTCACCTGCAAGGTTGGTGACTCATTCGCCGCCGACGAGGCCGTCATGGAAATCGAAACCGACAAGACCACGGTGGCTGTACCAGCTCCATTCGCCGGCTCCCTGACCGACATCCTGGTCAAGGACGGCGATACCGTCAAGCCCGGACAGGCTCTGTTCAAGATCAAGCCCGGTGCTGCGCCCGCCAAGGCAGCTGCTCCAGCGGCTGCTGCTGCGGCTCCCGCTCCTAAAGCTGCCCCAGCTCCAGCTGCCCCTGCTGCCGCCCCTAAGGCGGCTCCTGCTTCAGCTGCCCCCGCTGCTGCAAAGCCTCCACCACCGCCACCAAAGGCGGCGCCTCGTCCACCGCCAGCAGCACCTGCCGCCGCCGTCAAGCCGGCCGTCGCCCAGGTGAAGGTGCCACCCGTAGACGGGTCTCGCCAGATCCTCGGCACTCGGTCGGAGCAGCGCGTCAAGATGAACCGCATGCGCCAAAAGATCGCCGCACGCCTGAAGGATGCCCAGAACACATGTGCTATGCTCACGACCTTTAACGAGATCGATATGAGGTGAGTGATCTAATAACTTAATAAATCTCAACCTTGTTTTAAAACCAAACCTGCCTGATAATTTGTTAAAAATTATATTATTTTTTTAAGTTGCTTTACCATTTTTTTTTAAATATGCGTACATATAATAAGCCACATTTCTAACATGGACTTTAACTGAGATGGTGAAATTTGTTGTTAAATTTCCTTATCTTCCGCATAATCAGAAATCATAAAATACTTGTCACAAGCAGAACAATTTATAAACTTGTTGTTAACAAAAACAATATGTGCTTGCTTAACACGTTAAACTTGTTGTTATAAAAAATAAAATTATTTATACCTATTTACAATCATATATTTATACAATCTATAATAATTTTTTAGCTACGCCATGGACTTCCGCAAGCAGAATCTGGATGCATTCGTCAAAAAATACGGAATTAAGTTTGGCTTCATGTCGATCTTCTCGAAGGCCAGTGCCTATGCGCTGCAGGATCAGCCCGTTGTGAACGCTGTTATTGATGGCACGGTAAACAGGCCTCTGCCCCGCCCTCCGCTTATCACCTTCTTATCGTCCGTGACGTAGCTTGATAAGCCCCACTGTTTAAAGTGCTCTTATCAGGCTACAAATTAGTGCTTTATGTCGCATTTGTTTATGCAATTTCCCGTGGGCAATATGACGAATGTGGAATTTTCTGTGTTGCCAAGCGGGCTTAATAACTTTCTTTTTGCAGGACATCGTGTACCGTGATTATGTGGACATCTCGGTGGCCGTGGCCACGCCCCGTGGCCTTGTGGTGCCCGTCATCCGGAACGTAGAGGGCATGAACTATGCTGACATTGAGATTGCGCTGGCCGGTCTGGCAGACAAGGCGAAACGGGATGCTATTACCGTGGAGGACATGGACGGAGGCACCTTCACCATCAGCAACGGCGGTGTGTTTGGATCACTGATGGGCACGCCCATCATTAATCCGCCACAGAGTGCCATCCTTGGCATGCACGGCATCTTCGAGCGGCCGATTGCCGTCAAGGGAGAGGTAAGTTATCACCTGAATAATCAAAGTTGTCATCATTATTAACTATTTACTTCTGAAAACCAGGTCAAGGTTCGTCCCATGATGTATGTCGCTCTGACTTACGATCACCGAATCATCGATGGACGTGAGGCGGTCCTGTTCCTGCGCAAGGTCAAGGCGGCCGTGGAGAATCCAACGATTATTGTGGCCGGCTTGTAGAGTGAATTGTCTTAAGATGCGTCCACGGCCTTCAGTTGATATTAGCTTTCATAATTTAACGCAATATTTGGTTATTTATTATTTTACCTCTCGAGCGTCACAAAAAAATAGAAAAACAACACAAATCGAACTTTACTCGTACATTGAAAGTAGTCAAAATAAATTAATCGTGGATCTTTTCTGAAACTTTATGAACTGTGCACTGAATGTTACTGTTAACCTAAGACGCTGCGAATTCAAAATAAAGCGATGACGAATATTGACCAACCTCAATGCATGTGACTTTAGGCCTTACACCTAATGAAGCTTTTTATTAATTCAACAATTTATTTTTTAATGCAACTCGAAAAGTAATTAAAAGCTGATCGATGTTTGTACGTGATTGCAATCTTGTCTTAAGCAATTAAAATATCTGCAAACAGCCTTATCATTTGCTCAGTCATGTGAGGTTGGCTTTTAATTAAATTAAAAGAAAGCAAATTTACTTCTCTACCAGCAATTTAATGGGGTTAATAGCATGGGAGAAAATTTGTTCTCAATAATAAAAAGTCAAAAACTTTTTTTACAGAAACTTTGGCTCTTTGTGAAATAAAAACGATAGGAATGCTCGTGTAAAGTTTATATTTATTTCTTATTGAAATTGTGATACACAACCATGTTTTTTTTTTATAATACGTTGCGACAAACTAAATACAACTGATTAACCGCAAATTAGAGAAAAACGGGTTTTGCCTCTGTATTTTTTATTACTATGCATTTAAGCGGCATGCAACTGTAATTGCCGGTATAATTTGTGTGTTTGCAAAACGGCAGTAATGTTTTGTTTAATGATAGATTTTAATATATTTGAACATTTATAAGCTGTTTATTTATTTTACCACTTTACCGCAACTGAAGTTAGGAAAAACTTGGAGGACTAAAAACTCTAAAATGAAATTAAACTCAGTTTTCATTGTTTTGTTACTTGAGCAAATTGGCTATATTGAAATTTGACTTTTTCTGATGTTATCAATTTTTTTTTTTTGAGACTGTGCGGCTCTAGCATTTTTATTTTTTTATCATAATTCATTTTCAGATTTAAGGAGCACGCTACATTAATTGTCGATTTAATTTATGTGTTTGCAAAGTGTAAGTAATGCTTTGTTTAATGTAAGGTTTTAATATATTTTAACATTTTTAGGAATAGTAATCTTAAATAAAATAAAACTCAGTTTTTATTGTTTTGTTATTTGAGCAAATTGGCTTGTACAATTTTATTGATTTTTGTTTGATAACATTATCGGACTATTTCTAATGTTTACAATATTTTTTGTTTTGAGGTTGTGCGGTTAAAATAACAATTTAAAATATATGTTCTTAAAAATGATTAAATGTGATTTTGAGAATTTTTTAAAGTTACTTTTGCTTACATGAATTTTGTTTCTAAATGTACTTATTGAAAATGAATTTTTTTAGTAGATCTATCAAAGATTGATTACCACAGTTTTGATTTTGCTTGGGTTCTTGGATTTATGTTTTCCTGATGTTTTGCTTTACATTTTTGCTTATCACATGTGTCGAAAAATATTACAACTGAATCTGACGACGATAATGATAGTAGGGAGAATATCGAAATAAATATATAAAAAATATATGTGTGTGTAAATACATAAAATCACATAAAAAATGCGGCAATCGTTTCGTCTAAAACATTTCGCAATTCAATTGCGAATTTTCCAAGAGTTGACATTTTAGGCAAAAGGATTGGCATTATCTACATTAGTTTTCCTTTCTTTTGCATTTTGTGCGTTTTTGTGCAATTTCTCGTATTAATTTTAGCTTAACTAAGGGGATACAGAGTGTAGTTACGTGGTAGAATTCGCGCTTAATCGTAGTTCCTGATGATGGTGCTTTTTGGGTCCAAAGAGGCCTAAGGATTTGTTCATTCATTTTGATCTGCCCGATGGGGAATTTCCATTGTCTAGGGGTAAGGTTTAGGGGCGTTGTGGGCGGGGTCAGTCGGCACTGCACTCGGGAGAAGTGCAACGCTCTTAAGTCTAAGCAATTACACTAGGTATCCCCAACCTTGTGTCCGAAATGTTTTTCTTATCTCATTGTTTTTCTTTTTCCTGTTCGGTTTTTCTCCTGTTCTGGCTATAGAATATATATATATTCTCTGTCCTTTCTGTTGGCTAGTGTCTCTCTATCTATCTCTATCTGTCTCTCTCTTTGCGTAGATCTTGGTCGGAAAGGATATGCTTTTTTTCTTTTCATTTTTTTACTTTTTTGAATACCTTTCAATAGAACTATTGTACAAGATTCCATTTGCTACTCTTCGTGGGCGCGTCTGTCTCAATGATTTTGCAAATTTCCAAATTGCCCGAAACTTCCTCGGTAGAATTTTTCTTTTCTGTCCTACTAGCCAAAGGTTGAAGATGCTGCTCTCTACTGATGGGCTGTGTGTAAATAAAATTTATAACTAAATTTTCCTGGTCCGGATTCATCGTGGGGGTTCGAGCTTGCTAAAACTGCTTCTTCGCTGTAAATTTGGTTGCTTGAATTTTGCTTTTTTTGGGCTTCGGCTTGGGTGTTTTTACGGTTTTGCTAGTTTTGCTAGTACAAGTCGGAAATGTGTAATTTCATAAGACGGTTTTTGCATTTTCTTGTTTGCCAAGTCATCTGGGTGGTTGTGCGTGTCGTGTCGTCATCGTCATCGTGGAGTCGGCTGCCACTTGGCCGGGCAACTTTTGCCATGAATTTATAAATCAAAACGTTCTGCTGCTGTCGCTGTCTAGTGGCCATTGACTGGATGCTGTGCTCATGGGGAAAGGGTTTTCGGATTGGGTGTCGTCTCTTCTTGGCAGAGGGTCTGTAGTGGTCCTGCTTGTGCTCCACCTCCTCACGCCAGCCATATTTTATTTATTGATGGCAATTATGCCTCGACCTCGACTATTGCCAGTAGTAGTTGAAGTAGTGGTATAGTTTATATAAATTTGGAGTTTTGTTTGATGTGCTTTCAGCTGCATGACGCTGGATGATGATGATGGTTCGAACTTTTGCCAAAGAAACCAAGTCTGACCACAATTTGAAAGGGAGTTTTTTGGAGCTGGCGCTTGGGTTTGGGTTTGCTTGCGAGTTTTGCTCGTGACACTCGTCTCGAAATATTACTTAAAGTTGCGGTTCTGCTGGCAGCGTGCTGCCTTCATTTTGTTTGAGATTTTGATTTCGATTATAATTTTGATTTCGAATTGGATTTGGGTTAAGTTGTAGTAGTTGTGTGTCTTCGACTTTTCGACTTTGTTTTTCTTTTTTTTGTGCTTTGTGCGGCTGCCTTCGGGCGAAAGTAATGGGCTTTGGGCCTCTCCTGGGGCGGATCAAAGTGGTCATCGCCGAATCTTTAGAGGATGTAGAGGATGCTGCCTGGGAATGATTTTGCCGGCTCAACTGATTTTGGTTTCTGGTTTTTCAACCCCCTGCTATGGAGAGTTTTCTTTGAATTCGCGTGCCTTTGTTTTTGTTTCAGTTTCAGATTCTGCTTCAGTTTTAGCTTCAGTTTTTGTTCTTGTGGATTTGGAATTTTCATGAGAACTGGGAATTGTTTTGTTTTGCTGTGATTTATCTGCCGCCTGCCGCCCGAATCGCCCTCGGCCGCCATTTGTAAGATTTTGGCCAGAAAGTTGCCAGGAGTTTCCCTAACCATGTTCCTGTTACTGTCGCGTCTTCTTCGCCAGCTCCTGCTCGGAATTTTTGGTGCTTTTCGGCGTGCTCCGTTTTTGCTCCTGACATTTGTCGCATTAAAACTTCCGCAGTTTCTTGTAATTTATAATACTGCCTTTTTGAAATTTAGCTGGAGTTTTTTTTTCTCTCTTATTTTTGAATTTTTGGCGTTGTTTTGTTTCTGAATTTAATGGGTGGGCTGCGAATACTTAATCATCTTAATGTGGTAATAATTATGCACCGAAGGTTCCTCGAATGCTGCGACTTCTGAGCTGAATTTGTTTGGTTCGCGGTTTATTAAATATGGCTTGGCTTTGGATGAATGTTTTGAATTTCGGATGCTTCTTATTGTCATAATATTATTTTTAAAAATTTTTTGTGCATTTACTTGATTTTGGCTGATCGGAATAAAGATTTTTGTTTACCTGGTCTGATAAAATGCTTTAAATTTAGGTTTGGATTTTGTATTTTGAATTTTGTGGCCGGTCAATGGTTGAATTTTGTTTTGAATTTTGGTTTCATTTTCGATTTGGATGATTGCCAGAGGAGCCGAAAGATGAAATGGAAATTTTGGATTTGGTTTGGCTGGTTCTAAAATAAAATAATTTGAATACAGAAATATTATTTTCGGTGTTGAAATATTAGTTCCTTTGGTTAAATAAAATTATAATCATACATATGTCTTATTTGTTGCTTTTTGAAGCTAATTTGAGATATATAAAAACTTTTTAGAATTTATGGTAAAGGCATATCGATTTCATTTGAGATACGAGACGGTTAATTTTGGTATTCCAGACCATTTCCTTAAAGTGTTTATCACATTTTCCAAATAACTATAAATTTAGGCAGTGTTTGTATTGTTACCTCAAATGTTTAAAAATTAACATTTTATTTTGAATTTATGCTGTTATTTATAAACTGGTAGTCTAATTGTAATCTAAATAATCAGGAATTTTGATTTTTGTATTGCTTTTTGATTTGAAATGTTTTAAAATATATAGAAAATATTTTTTGGTGTCTAAATGAGCAGTTTCATTAGATTTTAATAATGATGATTTGACCATATTTTTCTGTTATTGTTTTTGTTTCTAATTAGCTTTGCAGACATCAAAAACTAAAATAAATTTGTTAGCTCTTTTTAAAAATACTTCTTATGTTGTAATATTATTAAATGAATGTTTTCAATTCAAAATTTGGTAATGAATATAAAATTTTGTTATTGGTTTTTTTGACTGTGTGTTTTGCTTTGAATTTATAGATGTATGTATTTTTGTGGCAGTTTTTGAATATTTTTTACCGACGGTTTATATAAAAACACAAAAAATGTGAGATAAAGGAATCTTTTAAAGTTTAAGTAAAATCACATCAGTGCTGTTTAAATTTTACTTTCAAAATGGTTTTAAATATACTTTTAGAATTTTATTAGTTTTATTTTGTGAATGCGAATTAAAATTTTAATTATGGTTTTTTGAGTTATTAAATTGGGGCCTAGTCATTGAATTTTAAAGTGCATTTTACTCTTTTTTAAATTGTTATAATTTTATTCTGAAACTGCTATTTTTTAGTTTTTTATTTTT